TTGCTTTCATGCAGTTATTGCTGTTGAAGTCAAACGACGGAGCATATACAGAATGGTGTAGAGAGGTCAAAGGAAACATGTACGATATGGTTGTTGAAGGTTTCCAACTGTTAAGCAGATGGACTGCACGCATTTGGGAGCAATGTGCTTGGAAATTCTCTCGCCCGTGTAGGGATGCAGCAGAGACTCAAGATGCTTCCGGTTCATATTCTGATTACGAGAAGGTGATACTTGTGAAATATTTGAACATTTTTCTCAAAATATATAGTTTTTCTCTTTCATGGTAACAAGTTTTTAACTTTTTTCAATAGGTGGTGAGGTACAATTATACTGTAGAAGAAAGGAAAGCTTTGGTAGAACTTGTTGGCTTTATAAAGAGTGTAGGATCGATGCTGCAGCGCTGTGACACATTAGTTGCAGATGCTTTATGGGAGACAATACATGCTGAAGTTCAAGATTTTGTACAAAACACGTTAGCCACGATGTTGCGTACCACCTTCCGAAAGAAGAAAGATCTCTCAAGGTGAATAAGTTTTCCTTCTTTTATTTTTCTGTCTATCTCAATTTACTTTTTCTTAAGTTTAAGTTTTTCATATTGTTAACTGTGTCATTTGTGTGATTGCATTCAGGATTCTTTCTGATATGCGGACACTTTCAGCTGACTGGATGGCAAATACCAGGCCTGAACATGAGATGCCATCTTCGCAACATGGAGGTGATGAAAGCAAAGGGAACTTCTTTTATCCGAGGCCAGTTGCCCCAACAGCAGCACAGGTTTTGGGTCCATTTTAAAATTATTTTATATACAAAAACGGATGGTAAGACCCCGTGCTTTAACGTCTTGCTGTTTTGTTGTTTCAGGTTCATTGCTTGCAGTTTTTGATATATGAAGTTGTCTCTGGTGGCAATCTGAGGAGGCCAGGGGGATTCTTTGGAAATAATGGCTCAGAGATTCCTGTTAATGACTTAAAACAATTGGAGACTTTCTTTTACAAGCTCAGCTTCTTCCTCCACATATTGGATTACTCGGGTAAACCCACATGCTTATTAAATATCTTTTTCGTTAGTTTCATTAAGTGATCCTGATAATCATTAACTTCGTAAGCTGACTCCTCAACTTTAATCCATGATTCGTACAGCAAGTATTGGAATATTGACTGATCTCGGGTTCCTGTGGTTTAGAGAATTTTACCTGGAGTCTTCACGTGTTATTCAGGTAGTGGCAATTTGAAAAGGCTATGGCCATTGTTTGTTCCTCTGTTTTCACTTCAGCCCTGATGTGTTCCTACTAATAGTTGTATGTCCACTATTGCAGTTCCCTATTGAATGTTCACTACCATGGATGCTGATAGACTACGTTCTTGAAGCCCAGAATCCGGGCCTTCTTGAGAGTGTTCTGCTGTCTTTTGACATTTATAATGACTCAGCGCAACAAGCCCTGGTTGTACTGAGGCAGAGGTTCCTCTATGATGAGATAGAGGCTGAGGTATACCGATCTCAAAAGCTATAAAACTATAGATCTTCTTGATTAAAAAGGTTCCTTGAACAAATTTTTTTGTTTCCCGTATCCTGTTTTCTTTCTGTAGGTGGACCATGGTTTTGATATATTTGTTTCAAGACTCTCGGAGTCTATATTCACGTATTACAAGAGTTGGTCAGCAAGGTACTTAATTACTTGGATTTCAATATATTCATCCCCGTCCCTGTTAAATAGTGAGGAGCTAAACTCTTTTGTCATCAATTGTTGAGTTCAACAGTGAGCTTCTTGATCCGTCATTTCTCTTTGCCTTGGACAATGGTGAAAAGTTCTATATCCAGCCTGTGAGGTTTACTGCGTTATTTAAGATGACAAAAGTAAAGGTGAACAATGATACTGCTCTCATTTTCTGGGTGGACATATACAGAGAAGTCACAATTAGTTGAATCTTAAGCTCCACTGTTATGAACATTATGTATAACTAGATTATGTTTCTAGTACTGAATCTAATTATGTGTGGCTTGGCATGCTTATACAATCTTCTTACTTAAATTTTGTTGTGATGTGCAGCTACTTGGTAGAACAATTAATTTGAGAAGTTTGATCGCTCAAAGGATGAATAAAATTTTTAGAGAGAATCTAGAGTTTCTCTTTGACCGTTTTGAGTCGCAGGACCTATGTGCTGTAGTGGTAAGTTTTTTTTTTTTTTTTTTCAATTCATTTTCTTGATTTTTGTCTGTTAAACCATTGCTTTTAAAATATACAAATTGGATCCTTTCCTTAAGTGCAGGAACTAGAGAAGCTCGTAGATATTTTAAAGCACTCGCATGAACTGCTCTCACAAGATCTTACCATAGATCCTTTCAGCCTCATGCTGAATGAAATGCAAGAAAACATTTCTCTTGTCTCATTTTCCAGTCGACTTGCTACACAGGTCAGCAATACAATAGTTGAAGAAATTATAAAATTCTGGGTCTAAATTCTCTCAGCTTTTCTTATTATTTTTTTTTTGTTTTTTTTTTCTATTGTGCATTAGATTTGGTCAGAGATGCAGAGCGATTTCCTACCAAACTTCATTCTTTGCAATACCACACAGCGATTTGTCCGCTCATCTAAAGTTCCTCCTACTCAGAAACCATCAGTGCCTTCTGCTAAGCCTAGTTTCTACTGTGGCACTCAAGTAAGGAGCAATCTCTTGAGCCAATTTGACTTTGAACTGGTTCTAAAACAATCTTATTGTCCCATATTGTGGTCACTAAACATTGGATTTCATATTAATGCCTCCATTGTATTTTTTTGGTCTCATCTTACATTTTTCGGTTCATGCTTTTTTTTCGTGTAGGACTTAAATGCAGCGCATCAAAGTTTTGCCCGATTACACAGTGGATTTTTCGGGATACCACATTTGTTTTCCATAGTGAAACTTCTTGGATCCAGATCATTGCCTTGGCTTATAAGAGCTTTGCTGGATCATATATCAAATAAGGTATATTGCACATTTTGTACCAATTATTCCTGCTGTCTCGGTACTAATCATACAAGTAGCCAGCTAAAATAGTTCTTGTGTTTTAAAACTTTTAGATAACAACACTTGAGCCAATGATCTCTGGACTGCAAGAAGCATTGCCCAAGTCTATCGGATTGCTTTCTTTTGATGGTGGTGTCACAGGTTCTTATGAAATTTAATTCTTGATGTGTTTCATCTTTGTGTACTATGTATATTACTTGTTCATCCGATGCTCTTTTGTTGTATCATTTAAAGGTTGTATGAGGCTTATTAGAGAACAACTAAACTGGGGCACAAAGTCAGAACTCAAATCAGAAGTTCTTCGTGGAATAAAAGAAATTGGAAGTGTGATATATACAATGGGACTTCTCGATATCGTCTTGGTGAGTCCAATCAGACAGTTTGTATAAGATCTAAGGCTAGAAAGTCTTGATCCTAACAAATGTTTTATGTTATCTTGTTGTTACACAGAGAGAAGTAGACACAAAGCGTTTCATGCAAACAGCTCCATGGTTAGGATTAATCCCGGGCGCAGAAGGACAGATAGTTAACGCTCAAGACGGCGAAAGCCCACTTGTCAATCTCTTAAAGTCAGCGACTTCTGCGGTTGTATCAAGTCCCGGTTGTCTTAATCCAGCAGCGTTCTACACCATGTCCAAACAGGCAGAAGCTGCAGGTTAATTAGGAGCTGTAGCAATTCAATCATCAGTTTCCTGTTTACTCTTTTTTTTTGCGACAAATTTTCAATCTTTTTGTATTCTGTTTTATGTGCAGATCTTTTGTATAAGGCAAACATGAACGGTGGAAGCGTTCTTGAATACACACTTGCATTCACAAGTGCGTCACTTGACAAATATTGTAGCAAATGGAGTGCTCCTCCAAAGACAGGTTTCATCGACATTACAACTTCAAAGGATTTTTACCGTATTTACGGTGGTCTTCAGATCGTGAGCAAACTAAAAACCGCAATACCTTTTTTAAAAACATTTTTTCTTGAAACATTTTATATCTTCTGAATTTCCTATGAACATTTGCAATGAACTCAGGGATATCTGGAGGAGATAACAGTTCCACAATCAGTTCAACACGAAGTCCTTGGTGATTCAATAGCTTGGGGTGGTTGCACCATCATATATTTGCTCGGACAGCAACTTCACTTTGAGTTGTTTGATTTCTCGTACCAAGTACTCAATGTCTCTGAGGTTGAAACTGTGTCGGCTTCACATGCTCATAGGAATAATCCTCAAACTCTCCAGGTAAGATTTTGCTTTCTCCATCCTCTCATCAATAATATTTTTTTCTTTGTTTGAATGTTTTTTTTCTTCTGTGTGAGAAAGGGATGGGAAGGTTTGTTGGAAGGGATGAAGAAAGCTCGGCGGCTGAATAACCATGTCTTCTCTATGCTTAAAGCTCGTTGCCCTCTAGAAGACAAAACGGCTTGTGCCATCAAGCAAAGCGGCGCACCGTTACCACGTGTCAGGTTTGAGAATACAGTGTCTGCTTTTGAGACTCTGCCTCAGAAAGGTACCGTTGGCTGATGCGACGTGCACTGTAGTATGTACCATATGAATCCAAACATTCTGATTAAGACGTGTTCTTGCAACATTCATGAAGATTTGTTGATTTGTTGATTTTATATTTTGATGAAAGATGTGTCCTTTATTACAACATTAGAGTCAAAAGATGATTTAAAAATTATATAACTAAAAAACCGACTTGTAGAATGTAGATGATTGAATCATCCAAATCCAAATGACAGAAGTTTTACTTCTCAAATCAAGAAATAGAAGGAACCATCGAAAATCGTTGAGAACAGAGGGAAAAAAATAAATGATTGTTGAACAAATTTTGTCAAATGTGTCCACCTTTTATAATTAACAGGTAACAGCATATATCACAGTTAAAAAAAAAAAAAGCATACAGTATATCACAGTTACACAATAAAGGATTTAGAGAATTTATATTTTCCATCCGTTTTGCTAATTCAAAAACCGAGGCGCAGAAAATCATAAACCCGGTTTGACCAAACCGCCTTTTACGAGAACCAAGCAAAAGCCAGAGGCGGCGTTTTTCTCTTTTTCTTTTTTTTTAAGGAGAGAGAGAGAGAACAGAAGAGAAGAGAAGGTGAGAAGATTTGATTTCTCTTATTCATATTCTCTTAATTTACAGGAAGAGAGATCTTAGGGTTTTTGAGGGTATCTTCCGAGGTTTTACTGAAAGATTTCTAACATGGTGAGTTTTTGTGTTGTTGTTTTTATTTTTTCCCAATTTACTGTCTGAATGTTCCCCAGGTTGATCCTCTGTAACCTTTTCGGCTCGCATGCAAATTCGTACTTAAACCTCTGAAATTTTCTTTCTTTTTGAGCTGGATTGGTCAAATCGATTATTAGTTTCTTCTCTTAATTCATCTGCATGTCATTAGAACTTTTGGCGGAATATTTCTCCTTTAGGTTGTTGTTGAACATTGAAATTCTGTAACCCAGTAATCAAGTTGTTAGCTTCCGTGTTTCTCTATCTAAATGAGCTGTATGGATTTTGGTTTCCAATGTTTGGGATTTTGTTTTTGTAGGATTCAATGGTTACTCAAACTACTGTTTTGGCTGTGACGGATGATGTGGTGTTGCCTGTTAGCTCTGTTCTAACTTTAATGAAAGAGCTCGGAAAAGAAGGGATTGATCCTCTCATTGTTACTCAAGCATCCACAACAAGTAAATCTCTGGTCCTCTTTACTTTGCTTTCTGGTTATTTATGTAGCTCAGGCTCTAAATTAGTGGTTTGATTGCTTAACTAAGCTGTAATTAGCGTATAGTTTAATCTGGAATTGTACGTAAAGAGGAAGATTCGTGTTTATACTGTCGAGAGGTGAATGATTTTAGGCAAATACAGATAGTGGGTTATTTCGTGAGAACAGTCGTATTAGTATACATGCTGGGTTTTCTTTCTTCGTCTTCTTTCTCAATATGTTGAACTATTGTGCAGCTCTTCCTTTGGATTCTTCCTCAATGGACGCGGTTTTAGCCATTTTGAAAACATCTGACTTTCTCAATGATAAAATGTATGGTGAGTTCTCAAGAATTTTGAAGCCTGGTGGTATGGTTTTTGTGTGCACGAATTTGGAGGGTGAAACTGGCGAATTGCAACAGGTTTGTGCTGTGTAGATGGTCTATATATAATGGGGTTTCTTTGACCTGTTTCTTGCTTAATCTTATGGCATCTTCCTTGCAGACACTTCAGAGGAGAGTGACGTTGGCTGGTTTTCTGGAGCCACAATCTCTTGATTTGAAATCAATTAAGTTGAGCTTATCCTTTGGGGTGAGCACGTTTGCATATCTCCTCTTTCTTCCCTGTTTCAGTATGAGAAGGCTTTTGCTCTTACTTGAATATCAAACCCAAATACTTTGCATATATGCTCTCACTTTGGCTCATCCATATAACTGAGAAACATGTTGTCAAATGCAGATTAAGGCAAAGAAACCTTCTTGGAAGATTGGTTCATCATTTGCTCTCAAAAAGCCTGCAAAAGCTCTCTTGAAGGTTAATCTAGACGATGACTTGGATCTTATAGATGAAGATTCTCTTTTGACGGAGGAGGACTTGAAGAAGCCACAGCTTCCTGTTGGTAATTAAAGACAACCACATGACCTTTTATTATCCTTATTCATTCCTCGTGTGTAAGAGATCTTTGGATCTTTTGCAGTCAGTGGTTGTGAGACCACCCCCCAAAGCTTGCAAGAACTGCGTCTGTGGTAGAGCTGAGATAGAGGAGAAAGCTGTGAAGCTGGGCCTCACCGAGGATCAGATTGAGAACCCACAATCATCATGTGGCAGCGTAAGCTTCATTACTCATCTCTTTCTCCGTATGCATTGGATTTTTGATTCCAGAAGCCTGAAAATTTCTGAAACAATTCTTTCAGTGTGGGCTTGGTGATGCCTTCCGCTGCGGTACATGCCCTTACAAGGGTCTCCCACCCTTCAAACTAGGGGAGAAGGTAACCGAGTCCCTTATACCTATTACCATTGTAAATTCATGTAAATCGTTTTGAGGAATACAATCTAAGCATGCAATTTTTCTACCTGCGTAGGTATCCCTATCTCAAAACTTCCTGGAAGCTGACATATGAGCCTGTGAAAGGTGCATCTTCATGCGTGCTTGTTTCTCACTGAGGCCGAAACCTTTTGCTAATCACAGAGTAGTTTCAGCATTTACTTTGTGTCCTTTAGTATATTTTGTTTGTTGGTACTTCTTTTATTACCTGGCTTGTTAGTCAGAAACATTAACAATGTTACTCTACAAACAACAATATAATAAACGTTAAAGGAACACTGCCTTTTAGAATGAACAAACAAGTTCTGGTTTTCAAGAACAGGTCAAGTCAAAATTATCTGAGTAAAAACCACAAAAACCACACAACAAAATTTATATCTTTCTTTTTCGTCTCTTTGACTGTGGAAAAACCCGAGTCCGTAGACAGCATCTAAGCTCAACTCCAAACCAAAGTATAACCTAACCGATAGTAAGCTTCAAACACAATAATTGTATTCCTAACTAAACCGAGCCGAACCAGGGTAAATCAAAGGAAAAGCAGCTGATTTTACACAGGATCCCAAGTATCAGAGCTTAGGAGAAACCCAAAAAATCCTTTCTAAGTCTAGCTCTGTCAAGCTCCTCTAAGTTGAACTTCCAGTTGCTCTATTCGCATAGCCAAATCATGCTTCCCGCTATTCTTCAACCCATCGGTGACGATATCAAAGCACCGTGATATAGGAACCAAACCCATCTCTGTCATCTCAACCAAGTAATTAGCTGCATCCACGAACTTCCCACCACGACCACACATTGTGATCAGCATTGTGTAAACCGGCCTGTTTGGCGGATGAGCCTTCACCTTCATGTCACTGAAAAAGCTAAACGCATCATCAAACATCCCATTCCTGCACATTCCCTTGATTATCGGAGCATACAAACTAGGAAACGGCTTATGCCCATCTTCCACACAATTGTTCAACAACCGGAACGCTTCATCGATCTTCCCAATCTTTGAAACCGCAGGTATAAGTGTCTTGTAAGTGTCGATATCCACACAAAGACCTAACTTGCAAGCAGTGTAATACATCTCAATGCAGAAATCAACTTCCCCTGATTTAGATATAGCTTCAATCAGTGTGTTAAAAGTATGGATATCAGGAACAAACCCTCCTTTGGTCATCTTCTTCACCATCTCTTTAGCAGATTCCAAGTATCCAGCGTTTAACAACCCTTCAATCAGCAAATCACGGCCACGAGCCGGTGGATTAAACCCTTTCCGGCTCATTTCATCAAGAAACTCCTGAGCCTCCTTCATTTTTCCGGCGGAGCACCATCCGTTAACCAAGACAGAGTACGTTCGCTTATCCGGCTTGAGACCTTTCCTTATCATTCGCCGGATCAAAGCGTAAGCGCCATGGAACATCTTCACCTCGCAAAGCGCGTGGAGCAACGAATTGTAAACCTCTACGGTTTGTTGGCAACCGAGAGTCTTGGGGACGCCATTGAAGAGCTCCACGGCTTGATCTACATGGCCATTCTTGCCGTACTGCTCAATGATGAAGCAGAGAGTCTCGCCGGAGATGTCGAGAGACAAATCCTTCATCTGTTTGAGGACTTTCCACATCGATTCGTATTTTTTATGTGAAGCTAAGGATTTCGCAAGCTGTTCGTATTCTATAGACGTTGGTGTGTAGTTAGGGCTGGAGCGAGCCCAATTGAAGAAGCGGAGGGAATCGTTGGCGGATCGGGAGGTGGCGCGGAGGACTCTGAACACGAATTCGGAGGTCACAGGGAGACGGAGACGATTCAGTGATCTCTCCGGGTGAACCTCCCGGCGGACGATGTTGACGACGTGGTTGATCGCGGCGAAGTAATCGCCTTTGGTTGGGGTCGAATCGGAGCTTTGCAAAGGCTCGAGACTGGTAAAATGGCGAACAGTAGTCACACTGGAGACTGTAAAGTCGGTGGTGAATATAGAGAAGAGGCTTCCTCTGATAGAACGCCGGAGGAGTAACATTTTGATCTCACCGGGAAAATTTCTCTGATGAGATCGAGCCTAGAGACAAGATACTAATTGATATTCATTCCAGTGACGTGGAATATTATCAGTTTATCATTTTAATTTAAAACGCAGCGTTTTATCACAGAGGAAGCCCTAGTTTTTTTTTCTACTATAAAAACTTAAATTTCACATTCGTCTCGAAGTCTCTGAAATAGGTTTCATTTTTAGCGGCAGACGAAGAAGAAGCCCTAAATCATGGCGACTCAACCAGCTGTGGAATCTGTGCAATGCTTTGGGAGGAAGAAGACGGCAGTGGCGGTGACACACTGCAAGCGTGGGTCTGGTCTGATCAAGCTCAACGGTTCACCAATCGAGCTTTTCCAGCCTGAGATCCTCCGGTTCAAGATTTTCGAGCCAGTCCTTCTCCTCGGAAAACACCGATTCGCCGGTGTCGACATGAGGATCCGTGTCAAAGGTGGTGGTCACACTTCCCAGGTCTACGCCATCCGTCAGAGTATCGCCAAGGCTCTTGTTGCTTTCTACCAGAAGTATGTGGACGAGCAATCGAAGAAGGAGATTAAGGATATCTTGGTCAGGTATGACAGGACCTTACTTGTGGCGGATCCGAGGAGGTGCGAGCCGAAGAAGTTTGGTGGTCGTGGTGCTCGTGCTCGTTTCCAGAAGAGTTACCGTTAAGCTGGTTTGTTTTTTTATTTTCACTTTCGATCATCGGAAAGTTTTTGGAGTTAAATGAGTAATGGAGTTGTGAGACTTAGAGTTTTATTTTCAGTTTGATGCTTATTTTATAATGGATATTCTCCAAGAAGTCATGTTTTGCTATTTTTGCTATCTGAAAGTTTTAATTTTTATTAGTACTCCTGATTTCTTGTCCTTATTTCTTGTCCTTTGATGTATGGCATTTGCGTAGTATGATCAATTTGTTAGGTTAATTACTTCTTATATAATCTGCATTTTCGTTGAAAAGTTTGAGTTTGGTGTCGAGTTTGTGAAAAGGTTGTGGCTTGATGTTGTGACTAAGGTATAGTTAATCAAACATCTGAAACCTGTGATCTTGTCTGTGTAGAATTGTTTGCGAGTTGATATTTCCACCTCGTTAAACGTCTTTTAAACAATTCAAGTGTCTACATTTGTCGCTATTGTCTCTTGAATGAACTCAATAGAGAACTTGTGATCTCAAAACTTCATCAAGTAGCCATACAGAGTTTTCAGTCTTTAGTTTGTGTAATTTAGTTTATTCATTAGAAGCGAAGTGAATCCGATTTAGTCTATTGTGTACCTATTGGGTATGATTATATTTAATGTTTATCAAATCTTCAGTCTTTTCCCTGTGAAGTCTTCTTGTTGAATTTCGTCAAATGTCATCATTGTGAACCATATTTGCCATCCTCGTCTTATTTATTGACTAAGAAAAGTATTGCAGATTTGGTTTGTAGCTAGTGGCATCATCCCGACTATAAGAAACTGAAATTAACCGATAATTTAAGAGTATCTATTCATCAAATAACACATTGTTAATAAGCTCGAATCCTTTCTTAAACGGAGCATTTGATCAACGGAAACTTATTGGTCACGGTTTTAACTTCTACCAAAATGTTGTGCTCTTTCGTGTTCCCAAGTTTCAGCGGCAAAGACATTCGCAGAACCTTTCTCAGTCACCTTCTCAAGAAATTCTGGCGAAAGGCAAATCCGCACCTTCTTATCTATTTCTCTCTTGACGATATCTCACTAGGGGAATAAGTAAACAGTGAACATTATTTATAAAGAAAAGTCAACATCGTTGAAATTTCTTGCATTCATGAATCTTCCTCTTCCTCTTCCACTTGAAAAGTCAAGCTTTGCTGTTTGTTTTCTTATCTTACGCGTCTTTTCTGTGGTTCTCTACCACACATTACAAAGCTTCTCATTTTGTTATCTCTCCCGTTACTTGCTGAAAGCTTCTCATTTTGTTATCTCTCCTCTTCTTCAGTTTCTCATGCTCTCATCCATGGCTTCTTCTTCATCTCTGATTTGCAATTGGAGGTATCAAGTCTTCCCGAGCTTCTGTGGAAGTGACGTGCGCCAAACCTTTCTTAGCCACGTCCTGGAAGAGCTCAGACGCAGGGGAATCACACCGTTCATTGATAACGAGATCAAGCGAGGCGAATCTATCGGTCCGGAGCTTGTACGAGCGATCAGAGAATCAAGGGTCGCCATTGTCGTGCTCTCGAGGAGCTACGCTTCTTCAAGCTGGTGTTTGGATGAGTTAGTGGAAATCATCAAGTGCAGGGAAGATCGTCAACAGAAAGTGACGCCCGTTTTCTACCAAGTGGATCCATCTGATGTGAGGAATCAGACCGGAGATTTCGGAAAAGCCTTCGAGGAAACCTGTAAGAAAAAAACAGAAGAGGTGACGCAGGCATGGAGGCAAGCTTTGAAGGAAGTCGCGAATATAGCTGGTTATCACTCTAGCAACTGGTTCGTTCAATTTCTCTTCCACTTCTTGCATATTATAGTGTAGCTAGCTATCGTTTCATGATGACTGGTTTTAATTGAGGCCTCTGTATTTGTTAGGAGCAATGAAGCTGATTTAATCAACAATATTGCCTTATATGTTATGGGTGTGTTGGGTATGACACCGTCAAAGGATTTTGATGACTTTATTGGCATAAGAGCTCGTACCACGGAGATAATTTCGTCGCTGATCCTACTACCAGATGAAGTTAAGATGTTTGGAATTTTGGGTCCTACTGGGATTGGTAAGACGAGCACTGCCAGGAATTTTTTTGAACAATTCTCTGCTGGTTTTCAATTCAGCGCGTTTTTCAAGAATATCAGAGAGAGATGTGCGAGGGCTGGTTACATTGACGACTATCAATCGAAGTTGTGTTTGCAGGAAGAGTTGTTGTCTAAAATTTTCAAGCAAAGGGACATTGAGGTGAGTCACTTGGGAGTGGCTCGAGAAAAGCTGGGAGACAAAAAAGTGTTGGTCGTTCTTGATGAAGTGGATTCCTTGTGGCAACTGGACGCAATGGCAAAACAGCCTGGATGGTTTGGTCGCGGAAGTATTATTATCATTATCTCTGAAGATAGAAGAATTTTCACGGCACAGGGGATCAATCAAATTTACGAGATGAAACTTCCAACTTGGGATGAGGCTCTTCAAATTTTCTGCCTATATGCTTTCGGTCAAAAGTATCCGAAAGATGGTTTTGAAGAGCTTGCTTGGGAAGTTTCTGGACTCGCAGGTCAACTACCGCTAGGCCTGAAAGTTATGGGATCGTATCTACGAGGAATTTTGTCCAGAGACCAGTGGATAGACGCACTACCAAGGCTCAGGTCTAGCCTTCACAGAGAAATCGAATCAACTCTGAGATTTAGCTACAACGTCTTAAGTGATGATAAAGATAAGGATCTTTTTCTGTATATTGCATGTTTCTTTGTTGGTTACGAGGTTGATTGCGTTAAGAGGTGTCTTGCAAATTGTGGTTTGGAAGTCGACCACGGGCTTCAAAACTTATTCGATAAATCTCTCATATACATCACAGACGACGAAATCGTAGAGATGCATATTTTACTGCAGCAAATGGGTAGAGAAATTGTCAAAAAACAGTCTTTGGACGAGCCTGGAAAGCGACAGTTCTTGATGGATGCCGAGGAGATTCGTGATGTACTTGAGAAAAATACTGTAAGTTTTTAAATGCGTACCTGTAGTCTTGTGTTTCCTCCTTGGTTTTTTTTTTAAGCTGAGATTTTTGTTCTTTTTTTGAATTATTTATTCTAGGGTACTGGAACTGTTCTAGGCATAACACTCCTTGACCATCGGGAAATCGAAATAAGTAAAAGCGCTTTCCAAGGGATGCATAATCTCCGGTTTCTAAAAGTCCACTCTGATAGATTACGCATACCTCCCGAAGGCCTCAACTGTCTTCCCGACAAACTCAGATTGATACATTGGAAGGACTGTAGAATGAGATTTTGGCCTTCCAAGTTCTCTGGCGAGTTTCTTGTGGAACTTGTCATGTGGTATAGCGAACTTGAGAAACTGTGGGACGGTATCAAAGTAAAATTAGTCGCCATTTTTTTATATTATCGTTCTGCGTAAAAAGCGCGATTATAGTTATTTCTTTAAAGCTCATCCGATTATTATTTTGTTTTGTTTTTCTGTATAGCCTCTCCCATGCCTCAAGTTGATGGATTTGAAGTATTCTAGGTATCTGAGAGAGATTCCAGATCTCTCAAAAGCAACGAGTCTCGAGAAACTAGATCTCTATGCCTGCGAATGTTTGTTAGAGCTCCCAAGCTCTATCGGGAATGCCACGAATCTCAAAAAATTGATTCTTAGCAGTTGTCATTTGTTGAAGAAACTACCCTCTTCAATCGGTAGGTTAATCAATCTCAAGCGATTGGACGCCAAAGATTGCCCCAATTTGGTAGAGCTTCCTTCTATTGGCAACCTTCACAAATTGCAGAAGTTGTATATGAGTAATTGCAAAAAGCTAGAGACGTTTCCTACCAACATCAACTTGGAATCTCTCTCTTGCGTTAATCTCTCGAGATGTTATCGATTGAACACGTTTCCAGATATTTCAACAAACATGAAAGAACTCAATCTGAGGCATACTGCGATAAAGGAAGTGCCATCATCAATCAGCTCTTGGTCGTGTCTACATAGATTGGATATGTCATGGTGCAGAAACCTCAGGGAGTTCCCAAGAGTTCCTGACAGCATTGTAGACTTGAAATTGAGCAAGACAGGGATAAGGGAAGTTCCTCCATGGATTGAGAATCTATTTCGTCTGAAGGAACTAATTATGTATGGATGCGAGAAGCTGAACACTATATCTCCAAACATTTCTAACTTGGAGAATCTTCAATATCTTAATCTGAATATGTGGTACTATTCTGAATATTCTGATGACGAGTACGGTTCGGATTTTATACTGGATGAAGAGAGTGGAGATGGTGACAGTGGCGATGATGAAATGGATGACGAGAATGGCCATGGTGATTTTGAAGCGGTAATCGAGTGGGACACTGACGTAAAGCTCCGTTGGAGATTAATATCAGACTTCGATATTCACTACATTTTACCGATATGTCTACCCGCAAAGGCGCTTACATCTCCAATATCGCTTCGTCTCGAAATTAATGGTTTCAAGACTATTCCAGATTGCATCAGGCGTCTCTCCGGATTATGTAAGCTTGACATCAGTGAATGTAGACAGCTCGTAGCACTTCCACAGCTTCCAGGTTCCCTTCTATCTCTAGTTGCAGAAAACTGCGTTTCCTTGAAGAGAATAGACTCTTCTCTGCAAAACCCAAATATCGAGCTAAACGTTGCTATGTGCACCGACCTGAACCAAGAAGCGACAGAGCTCATCCAGACATCAGCTTGCAAATTTGCGCTCTTACCGGGTGTACAAGTGCCTGCACACTTCACACACCAAGCTACTTCAGATTCCATATGGATCAATTTGACTCCAAGGCCTCTTCCTTCATCCTTCAGATTCAAAGCTTGCATCTTGCTGTCACGAGTCAAGAATAATTCTTTTGTGGGTTATGGAGAGGTTGAGAATTCAACGATGTGTGTGTCTTGTCGCGTCAGGGGTAAACAAAATGGCCTCGTTGTCCATTATGGATCAAACGAGCACCATATGCCAGTTATAAATTCCAGATGGATATTGTTTGCAAATGAATATCCAGAGCATCTGTATATATTTGAAGATTCTTTCTGTCTAAACAAGGATTACCCTGAAGCCGAAGAAGCCACTTTGAGCGAGCTTGTGTTTAAGTTCATATCCCATGATAAATGGTGGAAGGTGAAAGGCTGCGGTGTACGACTTTTGGAGGTCCCTCATTGTATTCTTGACGGAAAAGAAACTGAAGACGAACAATGTAATGGCATAAACATGGAGGCCAACACTGAAGCTGAACAAGGAGAAGAATCTGAAGGTATGAGGATGCAGATACGAGGAGCATGAAACAAATGAGGTTAAGCCTTGTGTAGGTATTGGAAACTGTGATATTGTTAGATTTTCTGATTCCGTGCAATGTAATTCTCCAAGAAGAGAGAAGCTCAATCTCAACACCCCAGCACAATTAATCTGGGGTTTGTTTATTCGGGGTCCAAAAAAAATCATTGGATTTAATAAAACGGAGAAGCACTTGCCTGATCAACGGATTCTCGATGCCTGCTCTTATACCATAAACAAACTTCCGTTAAAAGGAAGCGAAAACAGAAGAGGTAAAGGTCCAAAACCCACATCTTCCTCGACCATTTTATTTCAGGAACTATATTGACACAGCTCCGGAATGCATCACACGTCACTGGAAGCTGCCTTTTTCTGAATTCATCAGGATCAGTCTCCAGCAATATAGAGAATAATTTCATTTGGTTCGATGAACTAAGGTCAGAGGAAGAATGGCATGATGATGATGAGTGAAAGCGTTTTTTTTTTCTTTCTTTCTTTTTTTTTTCTTCTTTTTGGACCCATCTTAGTGTTGTGGAATTGTTCTAGGTCTCAACTGTATACCACCTAAACTTAATAGAACAACTCTGTCAAGAAGAATGGCCCAGCCTCAAACAAGCGCTTCAAGATAGAAATTTTTTCTTTTATGGATCATGTTACTAAGTTATATTTTATAGTGCCTAATTGGTTAAACTCCTTTGTGGAGGTTGAGGGGCAAAAAAAAACAAAAAAATGGAACACCTCTGTGTTCTATGTAATTGCAAATGAGATCTGAACTAGACTGACTGTAGTCGATGAAGAGGAGATTAAATACGAGACATTCCGATGCTTGCGAATCAAGAATCAGATGGTGTTGTGAGAAATGCAGAAACGAGTTTAAAGTGGCTCAAGATATTTGGTACTGGTAAAGAGCCACAGATGGATTGAAGGAATTGTCAAAATCAGGTCTTTTGATACATAAAGATAGTTTTGCAAATTTACTCTTGCTACATATATACCGATCCAAACTTCAATCGTAGATAGTCGTAGAAAGTTTATAAAGATAGAAGGAAAGTTGTATAGTTTTTCTTTAAACGAAAAGTGTGCCTGAGTTTTGCTACTGTGTTTCTGATTTATATTCCGGCTAGTGGCTCGATCATGTGGTTCTCGCTCTTGTATGCCTCCAATATGCTATGCCCTAAACTGTCCCGATCATGAAACGGCACACACTTTGACCCCTACCACCCTTATCTACAATACCACGTTCAACATGGTTTTGTTTACCATGATCAACATTACTAAAAAAAATGCTACATAGGAAATGATAATATAAATGTGTTTTAAGTTTAGAAATTATGAGAAGAGGAAGATAATTAATCATCTGATTCTAGTTAGTACATATCTAGTTAGTTTATGCTAGACAGCTATAACCCTATAAATCACATTAATGTACTATGGTGTAAAATTGATCTTATTTGGTAGTAACTAATAAAGTGACATAAAAACTAAAGATTGCACGGAATCCTTAATTGGATCATAACATGCATAATACACTGAATGTGTTTTAATTAATAATAAATTATCGCAAAAAACTTAACCAATCAGAATCGTCAGAATCTGGATGTAATCAATTAGATTCCAGCGAAAAAAAAAATAAAGAAACAAGAAAAAAAGCTCAAACTAGTAAAAAGCCTAACTGATAGATTATTGTGTTTCTTCGCTTCTTTCTATCCTCCCTCTCAATTGCTAACGGAAAGAAATTTTCCTCTTTCTTTTTATTTTTTTCCAATTCTCTATTACTTTACTTCTTTCGTTTTGTGTTTTCGTCTCTGACTCTCTGGCTGCTGTGGCGGGATTCGACGGCGGACTCAACAGCAGCAAACGCCGATACTCTGAAGCTGGAGTTTAAGAAGATCGCCGGTGAAACTGACTGAGTTTTCTGGAGTCTCGAAAGAAACTGAAGAATCATGAGTTGTGTGAGGGAAGTAGAATCGAAGAAGCCGGAAACTGATATTTCTTCATCTTCTCCGTCGTCGCCGAAGGTGGAAGTGCCGAAAGTGTTTAAATGTACACTCTCCAATAAGATCATGGTCGAACCTGTAATCATAGCTTCTGGCCAGGTTCCATCTCTCTTTCTTTCTTTCTTTCTTTCTTTCTTTTTCTTTATAATTTTTGATCTTTAATTGCTTTGGGATTCTTGCTCGATTTTTCTAATCTTTCTGTTTGCAAGTATAATTTTATTCGTGCAAATGCTATTTATATACATATCCATGCATCTTCTTGAAAAAAATTTTAATTCATTATCATCGAAATAGAAACAGAGTAATGGACAATATGGTTGACATATGCGCGCGAAGAAACTCCCTTGGTTGCGTATGCTCATATCATAGGCAGAGAAATTTCGAAACATAGATACATACATATGGAGAATTTATGTATACAAATGTGTTCCTTTTGTGATATACAAATACAGAGACCGATAGAATTTCTTGAAAGTTAGGATTCTTGTATTTTTGTTTTTGGTTAATGAAAGTTAGGACTCAAGACACAAAATCTGGTGTTTGTGCTGATTTTTGCTCTTGTTTTTTTTTTTTTTGTTTGTTTCAGACTTACGAGAAAAGATATATCACAGAGTGGCTGCGGCATGAACGTACGTGTCCCAAAAGCAACTTAGTCCTCTCTCACTTACTGTTAACACCAAACCATTTGGTCGATGAGTTGATTACACAATGGTGTCGAGAAAACAACTACGATCGGCTAAAACCATCTGATGAAATAGCCACTGAGATGTTCACTTATGGAATAGACTCATTGCTTCAGCGAATTTCCTCTCCTTCCTCCTCCGTTTCAGACAAGACAGAAGCTGCAAAAGAGCTGCGAAACCAGACCAAGAAATTTTCCAATGTCCGACGTTTCTTTGTCACTGAACTCCCTGACTCGATCACCCGATTGCTCAGTCCGCTCTCTGCTTCCGGCGAGGCGGTTGATTCGAATCCGGAGCTTCAAGAGAACATCGTCACAACATTGTTCAACATCTCGATCGTTGAGAAGAATAAAACAGTAATCGCTGAAAACCCTCTTGTGATCCCACTGCTCATAAAGTTCTTGAAGCAGGGGACACCTGAGACACGAATAAACTCTGCAGCCACTTTATTGTCACTTTCAGCTATTGATTCTAACAAGATCATCATGGGGAACTCAGAAGTGCTCAAGGCTCTGATAGATCTTATTGAAGAGGGTGATTCAGCAGCCAGCTTAGAGGCTGCTTCCGTGGTTTTCAACCTCTGTATTTTATTGCAGAACAGGGAAAAGGCGGTTTTAGCGGGTTTGATTCCTGTGGTTACCAAGAAGATCAAAGAAGGAAGCAATGTGGCTGAGTTGTTAGCTATCTTGTCTTTGATTTCTACAAACAACCGTGCGATTGAAGAAATGAGTGATCTAGGGTTTATGAATGATCTGTTCAGTATCTTGAGGAAACCGAGTTGCTCAGTGATTAGTGAGAACGCTGTGGTGATCGTCTTTAATATGTGTGAAAGAAACAGAGACATGAGTGGACTGAAATCGCTCAGAGAAGAGGAGAATCAATACGGGACATTTACGAAGCTTGCGAAGCAAGGATCAGATCGTGCAGTGAGAAAAGCGGAAGCGATTTTAAAGTGGCTCAAAAGATACGATGCCTCGGAAAAGCGCCACAGAGGGAATGAAGAATCACCAAAAATCAGGTCTTGTTGATATATAAAAATAGTTTTGCAAACTAACTCTATTGTTACATATATACCGATCTAACATTTGATCGAAACTAGGAAATAAAAAAAGAAGGAAAAGTTGTATATATACAGTAGTTTCTCTTAGAAAGAAAAGTGCTTTTAAAGAGGGTCTGAGTTTTGCTATTTTTATCCTCCCTCCGTTTCATAAAAAATATCATTTTAAAATTTAAATTTTGTTTCATTTTATGTTTTCAATGCATAATTTTAAATAAAAAGCCTGATTAAAAATTCTCTATTAGTGTATTAGTTAGAGAAAGAGAAAAATTGCTTAATGTATTGATAAAGGATAATATAGAACTTTTAATAGTTTTTTTAATGTGTAAAATAATATGACACTCAAAGAATAAACTATATACAACTGACTTTTTCACATTCTGGCCGGTTAGTGGCACAATTGTAAAATTCAAGGTTTTGCAGGATTGATTACAAAAGCATGGGTTATCAACTACTTATAAGTTATAGCTAACGTTCTGTTGTGGATGGCATAATGGCAATAATCCCACAATGCTAGGTATCTCAAAAGGGAAGGCAATGGCTTTTGCAGAAGTATAGTATAGGTCAGCTGAATGGGTAATTTAGGTGTGTCAAAAAAAAAAAAAAAGGGTAACTGTGGGATGTTTAATAAGTGGCCGGTCATAGTCTCCTCTCCTATATTTAGCTAACTGCACCCATCGAGTCTACTCCAACCGAAAGCAAAAATGGGATAACATATAATCAATTACTTGTTAAAAAAGTGATCATGGTGGTGTTTAAGAAATTTTTTGATCCATAGTGTCATCATACTACTGTACATGTATGAACTACATGTATGAATATGATTAGAACTTCACACAATTGGTTGCAAATTCTTGGGCTTTTGTAGGTCAAAAAGTCAAAAAGAAACAAACTAGTAACAAAACACATTATATTGTTACAAAAAAACACATTATAATTTAAAGTAACAAAAGTCATCGGTAGATGGCCTAACCAGCGCCACCACAACGTTGTCCCTTGGAGTCAAATAATACTCATGCCACTTTTGAATTTTGATTCTCTCGTGACTCAAATTTATGGAATATCATGTTAAGTAATTTTCTTTTCCAAATTTATCCCCGTGGTATTGGATATAGCACGGAAAACATAAATGTCTTTATTGGCGGCATTATAGTTCCACGAGAAGAGTATATTGTAAAATAACAAGAAAAATTACATATCACTTAAGATTATCTTAACTTTCATCTTCTAGAATTATTAGATATTTCAAATCTATGTCCATAAATTTCAATTAATAGTATATTCTTTTCATTGTTCGATCATTGTTCGAATATCTTTCCTATATTTGTCAATGAGCAAATCTAGTTTCAAAATAAAGAGACTCGGCCAAAAAAATAGAAGTAAAATCAAAGAGAACGCTATTTCATTGGGTTTTTTTCAAACATAAACTAAAGATGCACCCTTCACTCTTCAGCCAAGAAAAAGAAAGAAAGAAAGCTGCACTCTTCGTTAAAAATTTCTTGAAAGTGAATTTACACACACACACACAAAACATTGGGAACAATCGTGACGTGACAAAAATGAGAGTATAAAGTCTAAATTTAAGAAGAGCACTACGAAACCGATAAACCTTTAATCGAGAAGCAAAAGGACAACTGCGCTATTACTTTGTTCCTTTTTTTCTATAAACCATTAGTATGGTCCTTTGTTTTTTCTGCCAAGTCACGTATATATAATTATATATAGTATATTAAATGAAATAAAATAAAAGAAAAACAAAACAAATTACATTATTCATTCATGAGGAATCCTAACTTTTCTTCTCTTTCTCTTGATTCTTCATGCGCATGGAACCAAACATGCTAAAAGGCCAGGCATTCTCTTCTGCAAAACCAAATTAATAAAACAAATATTATAAAATAACGAGAAGTAAAAAAGGATTACAAAATATGACGTAATATCGATATGTAAATATAAATAATCTTGAACTCCACCAATCAGCACACATCAAACTTTGAAAGAAGAAATAAAAAAATTGAAAATTTGTTCTCAAAAATAGATAATGTACTATAATATTTTTTCAGACTAATTCAAGAAAAACAAAAAATCAATTTAATTACCCTTCTTGAAGAATGTATAAGCTCAGGAGGAATCTTGTAGAGATCTTCATCAACGGGCTTAGGTGGCCTCGAAGTCGGAGCGTCGTCGTTTTGGAACTGCTTCACTCCGTTGACGTCAACGTAATACTTGTCTATCTGTGCACTGACGTCACGCACGCGCCTCTGTGGGCCCCTCTTTTCCCTCGTCCCCGCCGTCTACGGCAAGTCATTACCACAAACCACGCGTTCTTCTTTAGATAATTACATCGATCGAGTTAAATTAATATTTTAAAGTAAATAAAATAAACCTGTCTTGGAGGATGGAGGTGACGTGGACGAGGGTGGTGAGAAGAAGCAAGCTTTAGGGCTTCTGCAGAAGAAGAAGAAGATGAAGAAGAAGAAGTGGTTGTGGAAGAAGAAGAAGAAGTGAAGTGATGATGGTGACGAAGCAGACCAGCTTGTCTTGGATTCTCAAAGTATTGTGTTATTGGCATCTCATTTGCTTCCTCCCATTCTCCAAACCTCGGAATCTGTCCACTCTTCTTCTTGTACTTATCATCATATCTCCCCTGTATCCCCATTTTTTTTTTTGTTAGTACGTATGAATATATGCTAATTAGTCTCCTAAATCATCAAGAACCCCATAAAGAATAATAAAGGCCTCAAGAATCCTAGCGTCATCAGATTCAAGAATCTAGAATCAAGAAACAAGGAATCATGAGTAAAGAACCATGAAGAGCCAAACACGTGACCCATTTTGGCACTTAGCGTATCTATGAATGTGGACTCTATAAGTTATATAGATATAGCGAGATCTTGATGAAGAAATCATATATATTTGCCAAAAAAAGACAGAAAACTTTTAGAATGTTAAAGACGACAGAAAGAACACAAGGATGAAGGATTAAAGAAGTTTACTTACATGAGCCATGACGATTTCTTTTCTATTCCTATCTCTCTCTCTACGCACTAACACACAAGATAAGAGAGAGTGATCTCCAGAAAGGTTACTGTCTTTTATAACAAGAGTGGGGTTATGTAGCAAAAAAAGATATTGTCCTTTTCTTGTAAACAGTCAACTATGAGAGAGAGAGAGACAAAATAGTTTGATATTTATATAAGTTATAACCACCATTTTTCCTTTCTAATTTTGTCGGATTTAAATTCGAATAATGGTTAGAAATAAATTGGACGATTTCTATTTTCTAGAGTAATTATCATAGATTAATCGTTATTCTCACAAAACTATAGATCAAACTTCAGATTTTTCGGATTAAGAAGATGATAAAACTAAAGTGAAGAGTGTAGGGGAAGGTAGGAAAAAAGAAAGAAGAAACGCGTTAGCCTACAGCTTTTAGTTAAAGTTTTGTCAGCGACACATTTATTTTACGTTACTGTCGATTTCAGAAATCTATTCCCTTTGTTGACAAAGATGTCCACTTTATTAGATATAAAAAACCAATTAGCATTTCATATATTAGGTTATGTGAAATACGTATCGAACTATGGTGTATTATGTTCTTACCATTATGATGATTGACTATTATATTGTCGGCCCTCTATTCACATGGAATTCCTGAATTTTTTTTTTTCAATGATGGATATAATTTTTAATTATTAGCTGGTATGAATAACGTAGCACATCACATTGATTCCCTATTGATCATCATTTCTAATCAACGAGCCTATAAATGAATGGAAACACTTAAGTGTTTACATTTGAGTGTGACTCCGATAAATAAACAATGAAAATAATACTCAATAAGCTGTTAAATAGGATGAAATTGAAAATTGAAAACAACATATTGTTGGTCCAAAACTGAATCCAGACGTTGAGTTGCAGCCTGGCCTCGTGGAGTGATATCCGGTCAGAATAAACAAGTCTTGACTTTTCTGTCATTGACCAAATTGCTGTTTTCCCCACTGGGAAAATGAGAAAATTGTCCACACCTAATTGTTTAATCCATTTTTATCATTGTAATTCCATAAAGAAAATTAATCTACAAGCCATAATCATTTGACCACCAAATCAGAGCTATAGATTTTTTTTAATAACCAGATCCAAAACCAAAATCCATAGTAATTTTCAAGATTTCTGAAATGTATGTATTATTTATATCTATTTACAGTGTCTGTAATTGGTCATTATAGCTATTGTTTCCTAAAAAATTGTAACTATTGAATGAAATTCACCAGGGAAAAAAGTATTTATAGAGTTATGTTTTGCATATTAAAAAAACAACCGTCAGTAAACTATTGATGAAAGTTTCGTTGATTTGACCAACTAATGAAAATGTTTCAGTTACCAAATCCAAATTTGAATATGGCGTTACATTTGAAAAAGCAGTTTTTGATGTTGTTATTTTTTGCCTTTAGGAAAATGGTAGTTTATGTGTCATAAATATGTGGTTGGCGTAAGCTTGACGATGACGGTGAAGAAGTTTAAGAGTCTTTGGGAGATTCGTAGTCAAAGTTCACATTTTAAAAGTCAAACCTTTTTGGCTGCCATACTCCAACCAACAAATTTGTCAGTTGTGTGCATTTATCTGTCGGCTCAATATGGTTTTTCTATTCATAATAACAAAAGTTGAAGCTACTACATGCTTTATTTTTTTTATTCTTAAAGTGTAATATGAAATAATGAAATTCGCAAAGGTTTTTTATTTACTTTATTTTAAATCTAATCGTAATTTTAAATCACCCTTTTTCAAAAAATTCACATTGGTTTTATTTTTGTAAGTTTAATATTTTTACAGTTACCCTTTTATTATTCAATATTATACAAATTCAATATATAAACATATTTCACTCCTGACTCCTAACACAAAAAGATTACTAATATGTGATGACTTTGTAGATAGCTCGACATTTTAAAAACGAATAAAAACGCATATTAATTTAAAATAAAAAAGAAGCAAAAACAAAAACAAAGGCAATTAATTTACGGCCTAAAATAGGGGAAAGCTCGGCCCATAAAGTGGAATTTGTTTTCGGTTTATCTAAATTTCAGTAGTCAGAAGGCAGAACCTTAGGTTCTCGAACATTAAGATGTATGGTAATTTGCTGAGTTTATTTATCTTAAGATTAGACCTCGTCGGTTTGGTTCAACTTTTCTTATTTAAATCGAAATCTTGGCTAAACAGGCTTTAAGTGTTGAGACCCATAAAATATAAAATCTCAAAAACCACCTCTGTAACGAATTTATGTCTGTGATAACCTACGATCTGGTTACTTAAGTATCAAGAAACCCAACAAACTTCCTCTCTTGTCTTCACAAGATGATATACAAAACATATCTTCTCATGAAGTTAAAAATCCGTTTCTCTCTTCTAAGATTTGCCTATGGACACTAGTGTCGTTCATGATTCAGATCGACAAAAAATAAAAGAATCATGGTGCTTTGTGCTGGCAGAGAACTTGGTTTTGGAAGGAGCCACCGTCGTGGAGAGAGTACTCGACCATGGTCCAACCACTTGCTTTCTTCTCACCTTTGACGTAGAAACTGAGACTCCTCTTCCTTCCAATCACTACACCGGTCTCTTCCGACACGATATCTTTTGGCTTCCCAGTGGCTTTCCAATAGCCTTGGCACGTCTTTTCTCCAACTTGGCGCTTCTTCTGTTTTCCAGTTTCTTTACCAGAGACCTGAGTGATCCGTTTCACGAAGTAGACCAACTCTTTGGATTCGAAAAAATCAGTCTCTGTGTGTGTAAGTAGCCACGGTTCTATATCGTAGATGTCGTCCTTGTCTTCTAATTCCAATTCATGATTCGGTTGTTTGGCAACCTTAGGCTGAAATCGAAACCCTACATCTTCCTGATCTTCAGTGTAGTGTTTTTCAACCATCGACATTTTGTTTTTTCTTCCTCTTCTTCGATCTTAGATTTCTCGAACCAATAAAATTTCAGAATATGGATAATGGTGCAAAGAACTTTTTTTCTCTCAAAGAATTAGTGAACCTTATGGATTACAATATATAGAGAGTGAAAATGTCGGTGCCGACCTATTTTATGGATTTGTATAAGTTATTTTGTTTGGGGTGAATCTTTTTGCAAGTTTATTTTTTTTAATAAATGGAAAACATAGAGTGATTTATAAATAAATAAATAAATAAATAAATAGTGATGTCTAGAATGATTTCTTATGATATATATATATTAAGCTTCATCTATTTGATACATCTAAAAAATATTTTAAAATAACAATTTCGCTGAAAGTGAAAGCATACAATCAGTTCGATTGGTCATATAAGACGGTATAACTTTTTTGATGGTACGAAATGATAGTAAGAGATAATTATAAATTTGAAACGGTAAAAGGTAGATAGATATTAAGAGATAATAGTACGATAAAAAATACCATATCTATGTGGCTAACTGGCTATACATGAGGTGAGGTGGTATATGTTGTTGTACATAACACAGTACAATGTTATCAAATCAAAGCCAATAGATTTAACATTCTCTATAGTGCAATCTTCTCCTCCAGTTACATTAACTACAACGTGGGAAATCGATCTTGCCTATTCAGTAAAAAATAAAGCAAAATTTCTTCTCGTTTCCAATCCATATTTATATTATAAGTGAAGTAAAAACCAATATTGGAGTAATCTCCAATTAATAGTTGACAACAAAAATAAAAAAATCCAGTGAATAATACAATGAAGTAAGAAATCTCCATACAGAAAGTTACAAACCCATTTTAGAATTAAATAGGCCATTTTGGTATAAATAAGCATAATACTCTTTTTTTTCCTACAAATTTCCATTTTTGTGTCTATAAAAGTTACGATATACTCTATAAAATTCCAGGTAACCGTTATCCCAAAACTAGTTTCCCCTCGAGTCGGAGCTGTTAGGTGAGTCACTCAAACATATCTTCTTTTAACATATAAAATGAATATAACTTTTGATTGGACCAATAAATATATCCTTTTCAAGAAGGAAAAAGAAAACAATATAACGATCTTCTTACACCCAACCCAAATACGTATACGATAAAAAAAAAAGATACGTAAACCAAATACTTTTGTGGGTTAGCCGGAAAGTACAAAGATGAATGCGGTGAGATCGGCGTTAGGCGATATGGTAATAACCTTTTTGTGGGTTAATCTCTCGGCCACGTTTGGGATACAGACGGCGGCGATTGTTTCCGCCGCCGGGTTTCATGGTATCACTTGGGCGCCTCCGGTGATCTCAACATTGGTGGTTTTCGTCTCTATCTCGGTTTTTACGGTTATTGGAGATTTTATCGGCGGCGCTAGCTTCAATCCTTGTGGAAACGCAGCGTTTTATACCGCTGGCGTTTCCGGAGATTCTCTCTTCTCCTTGGCCATTCGATCACCTGCTCAGGTACATATTTATGAGAGCTAACTAGCTTCTGAAACCGAATCATTTTTTTTTAAGTACTTGTGAGTTGTGACATCTTTTCATTTGAATCAAGTTTTCTTGTAGCTTCCTGTTAGAATCTACTTATTAAAGTATGATCGTTATTAAGAATCGTCCGTTAATTACACATTTTATTGAATTCTGACACTTGTTTTTTGTAGTTGAATATTCTTACACTTGTTCTTTTGTTAGATCAATTTTCTTACACTTGTTTTGATATATTGACAGCATGCGCAGGAATACAAAAAAAAAAAAAACTGTTTTATTACGTGTGTCCATTTGGTGATGTATTTTTTAATAACATATGTAGAAACATTCTCAATTGTAGATTTTTGCCCAACTGGTACCCGCTGGCAAAAAAAAAATATTTTCTATTTATATTTTGAATGTATCCAAAATTATAATAATTTCATATATATATATATATACAGATATATATATATATATAGATTGAAGATATTATATATATACTATGTTTTTTTTTGTGTACTATATATATAATATGTTAAATACATATTTTGGCGCTATTCTCTTTCAATTTAAAGAAAAATGTTACTTAGCTAATCAATTCCACATTTCACATACAAAGATGTAAAATTATGTGATCTCAGGCAGTAGGTGCAGCAGGGGGTGCCTTAACGATCATGGAGATGATACCGGAAAAATACAAGACTATGATTGGAAAACCTTCACTGAAAGTTGATGCACACATTGGAGCTATTTCAGAAGTGATTCTAGGTTTTTGTGTCACATTTTTGGTTTTGCTAATTATCCTAAGAGGTCCTCGAAAACTCCTCGCCAAGACTTTCTTGCTCGCAATTGCTACCGTCTCGGTGTTTATGGTTGGATCTAAATTCACTAGACCATTCATGAATCCTGCCATTGTAAGCTCATTTTTTTGACCCTACATTCAAATATATAACTGTTCTTTAAACAAATAAAAAGCTTAAAGCATTTTGAAAATGAATCTTGATAGTAGTCTTGTGGTGTATATATTATTGCGATGCAGGCTTTTGGGTGGGCATATATATACAAGTCTCACAACACATGGGACCATTTCTATGTGTATTGGATCAGCTCCTTCACCGGAGCCATTTTATCTGCGACGCTCTTTCGGATTCTATTTCCACCGCCACCTCCGATCCAGAAAAAGCAGAAGAAAGCCTGAGAAATCAAGAAAAAAAACATTATAACTCAAAAAGATCTCATGAATCGTATGTTATATGTTTTAAGTTATTTTTGAACTTTGTAGTAGACTCAAGATTGCGTAATTTATTCACTCTCGTCCGGTTTCATCGCACTGAACCAACTTTAGCTAACCAAACTTAACCGGTCAAACCATTACGAAATTAAATTGGGGTTGATAATGTTAAATCACGCAAACATTATGATACTATTTTTTTTTATCTCCTCAATAAAAAAAAACTTTCAAGCTGATTGTGGGAGTTACCAAATGTGGGAGTTACTAGCATCTCTCCCGCAATCGTAAGCCAAATAACGTCTTTTGTTTGTTTCCGTCTCCGCTCAAATACACGACGAATACAGATCTGGAGGAGGAGAAGCACAAGTTGAGATCGAAGCTTTTTCTCCAGATCAATCCGGCGATTTGAGCCGCTCTTGCATTTTCCATCCTTCGATCTGGAGCCTTTACAGGATCCGCCGCAGACCACGGCGTCCTCCGGCACCGGCAACGGCAACGGTAAGATACGGTACCGTTCGCCTTCCTCCACTGAGCTCCTGGAGTCCGGTACTGCCACCGTTTCTCCTCCTTCCTCCGACTCTCATCAGGGTCTTCTCTCTGACGACGGAGGGAAGATGGCGGCTAAGCGCGGGATTGGACGCCACGACTCTCTTGCTGACAAGATCCAACGCCATCGCGGTGTTCTGCTCGTGATTTCGGTTCCCATTGTGCTCATCGGACTCGTTCTTCTGCTAATGCCTGGGAGATCGACATCTGACGCCGTCGTCGAAGAGTACACGGTGCATAACCGTAAGGGAGGCCCGAATTCTAGGGGTCCGAAGAATTACGCCGTGATTTTTGATGCTGGGAGTTCTGGAAGCCGTGTACATGTTTACTGTTTTGATCAGAATTTGGATCTTCTTCCTCTCGGGAATGAACTGGAGCTCTTTCTACAGGTAACATTGGGTCCGTTTTTTCTCTTGAGGCTCTCATCTAATCATAATCGATGCTTAAGAATTGGATACTGTTCACCAATGCATAGTTTGCTGGATATGATACTAGAACTACCATTTACCTGCAGTGCTTGATAGATCTCGTGTTGTTAGCTTGATTCAGTTTTCTTATTTTGATTCGTGGTACATTTGTGTTTTTTAAGTTGATATGATTGTTAGTGTGTTGAAAATACTTGTGCAATTTCGCTGGAGTTTATTCATATTTCTCGGCTAGAGCTTCATTGACCTTGTTTGAGATACACCCAAACTCTGTCTCTCCCTGATCCAGCAATCTTCAAAGCTTAGATTACGTGCAATTTGCCTTTCGAAATCGTTTGAAAGAATTGGGTTATAGTACGGCATTTTGTTTGGAATTACTTTTTTCATTATGCTAGTTTCTATATTTGATCCTGCTCTAGATTTGATCATCGCAATAACTCGCCGTGAGGCAAAGCTTCACAGGATAAACGGTCAGCGTATAACTTGGCTCTCGATGTACATAATTGGCATGAGCTCTGTGTCTGTGTTCCTGGAATCCTATAGGATGCTTGAACTCACCTTAACTAGCATCACGAAGTTCCTTGTTTCTTTAAATTCTGCCTTGAATTTCCCTTTTTGTTGCACTTTGCTGGTGCTTGTTGGAAATTTGGCTCTAAACTATTGACCGATTTGATTTCAGCTAAAACCAGGGTTGAGCGCATATCCTACTGATCCCAGACAAGCAGCAAACTCATTGGTATCTCTTCTTGACAAAGCAGAAGCTTCTGTTCCCCGTGAGTTGCGTCCGAAGACACATGTCAGAGTTGGGGTATGGAAATGAATTCTTTGCACGAGTAGATAACTGAAGCTATTTTTTCATATTATCGTTTGCTTTGTGAATCATCTGAAATGTTATTCTCAATATCTTGTCAGGCAACTGCAGGTTTGAGGACGCTGGGTCATGAAGCATCTGAGAACATTTTGCAAGCGGTAGTTTTATTTATATATATTTTTCATGAAAATTCTGCTCACTTAGCTCTTATACTTTATTATAATTTGTTTTATAAGGTTAGGGAACTCCTGAGAGATAGAAGCATGCTAAAAACTGAGGCAAATGCTGTTACTGTGCTGGATGGTACCCAGGAAGGTTCTTATCAGTGGGTATGTTGTCCCACATTTGTTCCTGTCATACAAAACGTCATCTTGCTGTATTTCTTATGTGTCTGCGTCTATACCTTTAATCTCATTGTCACCATTCCGAGAAGTAAATTCTGGACTGGTATCCTTTCTAGTTTCTTCATAATTCAATAAGAAGTGTCCAATATTCAGTATGGCAACCCTAATAGTTTGAAGTCTAGTATGTCAAAATCTATAACTTCAAGCTGGTGGACCCTAACCAAGCTCTAGTCAAGCTGATATTTTTGTCTTAATGGGCTCTGAATTTGCAGGTGACAATCAACTACTTGCTAAGGAACTTGGGAAAACCATACTCAGATACGGTCGGAGTGGTTGATCTTGGAGGGGGGTCTGTTCAAATGGCATATGCTATATCCGAGGAAGATGCTGCAAGTGCACCAAAACCATCAGAAGGAGAGGATACATATGTCAGAGAAATGTATCTGAAGGGACGGAAGTATTTCCTCTATGTTCACAGGTTTGTCATCTGTTACGGTTTTCTTGATGTTTTGTTTCTTCAAATTATCTTATCGTAGTGACATCTAAAGAGTGCTGGTGGTTTTAGGCTTTTCTACTTCATCTATATGTCTTCTAGACTTCATCTTCCTTTCATGCCAGCCACACAACTTGTCTCTTATCCAAACTCTTTAATGTGAGATGTTGTTGGCTTCTTCTTGCGTGTAGTTACCTACATTACGGATTACTGGCCGCCCGAGCAGAGATTTTGAAAGTCTCTGATGATTCAAACAACCCCTGCATCGTGACAGGCTATGATGGTGAGAGCATTTTGGTTTATCATAAATACTGTTTCTTTCCAACTAAAGTTGTCTTTCATTTATCCTCATAAGATTACACATGTTTTTATTGTTGCTATGATCTTCGCCATCCTTTGCTAGAAACTCTCTGGCTATGCAATTGCTCTTACCGGATTGAATCCGTAGTTTTCGATTTCTTCTGACATTTTTTGTTCTGTGTAGGTACTTACAAGTATGGAGGAGAAGGGTTTAAAGCCGCTGGATCGCAATCTGGTGGGAGTGTAGATGAGTGCCGGAGGCTAACCTTGAATGCACTCAAAGTGAATGATACACTGTGCACACACATGAAATGCACGTTCGGTGGAGTATGGAATGGTGGTCGAGGTGGTGGCCAAAAAAATATGTTTGTTGCTTCTTTTTTCTTCGACCGTGCTGCTGAGGTAATCCAGCTTAAAACAGCTTCATTTTTCTTTCAGAACCCGTTTACACACAACCTGTTTTTTTTTTTTTTTTTTGCAAACTCGGTACAATGGGTTTGGTGTATGGCACAGGCTGGATTCGTTGACCCGAAGCAACCTGTTGCTACAGTTCGTCCAATAGAGTTTGAGAAAGCAGCAAAGAAAGCTTGTAGTATGAAGCTGGAGGAGGGAAAATCAAAATTCCCACGTGTGGAGGAAGAGAATTTGCCTTACTTGTGCATGGATCTCGTTTACCAATATACTCTGCTCATTGATGGTTTTGGTAAGTATATCCTTATTTTTCACCTTTAAACACAAAAATACAAACAGTTCAATTCAACGGTCCACATTTTATTTGAGGTTATGACTTAAGACTAGATGACTGAACATACATATAAGAAACGGATAAGTATTCAAGGTTGTGTGATTATGATGATGGTGATGATGATGATGATCGGGCTTAACTGAAAGTTTAGGATAGTCTGATCCAGTTTTCAAGTTTGTTTTTTTCATTTATCTGATTTGTTTTTTTTTTCTTTGGCATTAAATAAAAAAGGATTAGTGCCATCACAGAAAATAACATTAGTGAAGAAGGTGAAATACGGGGATCACGCCGTGGAAGCTGCGTGGCCATTGGGTAGCGCCATAGAGGCCGTATCCTCACCGTGAGGGGCATTTTGGGAATCACACAGGACATAATTCTTTTGATTTCTCCCACAGATTTTATTTTATTTTTCTCTCCCTCAATTTTTATCACCCTTAAAGCAGAAACAAATACTCATCATTTTTATTATAATAATCGTATTTAGAGAAATGTTTTTGTCACTTATACCTTATTCAGATCTTTGATTTTTTTTTTTTGTAAATTAGAGTAACCTAAACCTAATTATTCGGTTTGTTATATTTTTATCAAGATATTGGAACATTTTCATCCTTTTTCTGTTTCTCTCGTATTTTATCATCATTCATTTAGTTTTGTTAATGTACCAAAACTGATTAGTTTTTCTTTCTTTCTTTTTTGAGAAAAGGTTTTCAATCATTAGTCTATTTATTACTGTTTTATTTTATTTTCTCCCTGCATTTTGACACTCAGCTAAATTTGAGTTTTTTCAAGTGAATGAACAATTAACAATCTACCAATTACTTTTTTTTCTTTTCAATAAACACTATTTATTACTACTCGAAATTTATAATATGAGAATCACTCGCTCGACTCATTGATAGATTACTAAAAGTGATAAAATGATGATTATTACTTATTTCATAAAGCACTAATTTCTTTTCTTTGCTTACAATGGCGTTTGTAGAATACTTTATCAATTTGACCAAGATTAGTAATTTAAGGAACAATACCCTTATATACAAAATAAATAAACTGATTTATTTCTTGCGCTAAAGTATAATAAAATAAGTAAACTAATTTGTTCCATTTGTCATTGTGGTGTTTCGTAAATCCACGTGGAGATTGAACTCCAATTATTGTCCCTCGCTCGTATCCCTCGAAAGATAGGCAATTACTTGCACACAACAAATGGTGAATCATCATTTTATTTGGCCTCTTTAATTTATCAAATATATTTATGTTCAATAAGTATAGCCAATATTTTGTAAAAGACAGTTATTTTAGTATTATTGTCTTTCGAAGTACATTAAATCTATATAGAAAATATGTTTTCTTTGTGACATATTGGGATTTTTTGATAAACTACAGAAGACTATGAACTGTATAACCTTCAAATGTATGATAAAGAAAATTCTTAACATTAATGATATAGAAACCAAAGGTTGTTATTTCAAATTTGCTCAAAACAATGATAAATCAACATAAATGTCAATCTTGTAGGTCTGGGTCATTTGGTTAGAGGCCTCGATTTAAGGCAATATGAGAAAGAAACAAGAATACACAAATATAAATATTTAACGTTTCCAGAAAAGAAATATCTTAAGGATATGACTATTTCCTTAAATCTAGTTCCAATAGTTCTTAAATATGCCCGTTATATTTATAACTATTGTATTGCCTCACGAAGACAGAGTTTAAAGTTTTAAAACAAACGGAGGCATATGTTGTCAATGCTGCCGAAAGAAAAATAAATAAATAAATAACGGACATACGTATTTGCTTCATGACCGAAGCTCAAAGTTTTCAAGATCAAAATCTAGATAAAGAGTTTTGTTCCCGTTATTCTTCCCTGTTTTATTTCTGGCAGCATTTTTCCTTCTTTTGAACCATTTATAAATGAACTAATTATTATGATATGATGTTTAGATATTAACTATTGCTTAATCATTTGATATTGATTTTTTTATTTTAATATGGGATTCGAAATTACATGTATGATTAATATCTAGGAAACGGAGGCATATTTTCAAGCTTCGTGGTGAAGCTAAGGTTCATTTTTCAATGAATTATTGGGGAATCGTTTGAATTTTAGCCAATAGAATAAAGCAAACCCAATAATACTATTTTGTCCACAAAAATGAACACATTATTTTTTAAAGGAGAATCGTATGGGTTACTGTCAAAATTTGAAAAGACTAGTAGACTACTCCTTGATGAAAAGATCATCAACCTCGATCTTTTTATCCCAATAGTTTGATTAAAGGTTTATGGATTAATCTTATACTGAAGAATTTTGTTTCGATAATCTTATAATTAAAGCTTTGGGTCTATTGATCTTAGGCTTAAAATATGCATTGCAATACGTTTTCGGTGGACCATGAACATAAACTCGGGTATGTATATATGTTTACATTGAAGAAATTTGAGCTTGAGACGTTTTATTATTGGATTCAGACCTAAGTGGCGATTTTGTTCTGTGATAATTATTTGCTTGAATTTGATATAAATATAATATATATATATAAGTTGTTTATTTCTCAAAGTAGAACAAATGAGTTGAAACCTAAGAAAAATAAAAGGATTTATGTGATACGGAGAAGGGAACTTCGATGAACACGCATGAATAAGTATCATGCTTTGATTGGTGAGCTAAATAATTTTCTAGATGTGACACTAACTTATGACCCATGCATTAGCTAAAAAATAATTGGATTGTAGATATTATCCTTTGTTTACTTATTTTGTTTACCATATATTAGTGTCGATGCACACAACATACATGGATTTATATCATTTGTTGTAATAAGATTTGATTTCCAATGCTCTCAATGATTTTAGAATAGTTGTCTTGTAATGGGGGAGCAATTACACCGAAGACTGAATAAGTCGTTTTCTAATTTATTTTAACCTCAGATTAATTTGACTAATACCTCTATTTCATTAGAAATGTCATTTATATTCTTACACATACTGAGAACAAACTTAATTTTTTGTTTACCTCTTAATAATATAATATATATTATAATTTCATTAATTAAAAACTAAATGTATAAGAATAAAAATAGAAAATTTACAAAAAACTGTAAAAAAACGACACTAAATATGAAACAAAATGTAAGTTCTAAAAACAATACTTAATAGACAAATAATAAATAAAACATGATCAAAATTGACTTAATATAGGTGTATAAATATTAAAGAATACTAAGAAAATCCTATGTTTCATAATAAATAATGGTTTAGGGGAAAAATGTTTGAAATTATATGATATTTTTTCTTGTTAGTACAAAATGGATTAGCTTTTTATAGTTTTGTTAATATGTATTTTGCATATTATTTTATTTTTTATATTATTTCATTGTTAGTTCGACTGTATTTAATTTTAAAAACAAAAATAATATTAAAATTTAAATATGTGTGGAGAAACCTTAAACACATTTTAATATGAAACAAATAAAGTATTAATATTTCTGTAGACTATTGCCAAAGTAATCTATTCACTAGCTCATTTCCTCTTGATTAGAAGATTGTATTTATACACACATATATAATAAAAAAATATACTTAAAGCATAAATATCAGGAATAACGTCACAAATTCACATAGTTACTTTCAAAGTATCTTTTAAAACTTTAATTTTATGTTTAAAAGTAATAAATATAGGAATGTTATAATCTGAAAATTCAAATTACTAAGTTTGGTAAAATAAAAGAAATTGTGACGATAGTTACGATCAACTTTTTCGGTGGTGCTTTATTATTTGGCCAAAAAATAAATAAATTACGAGAGGCTTAATACTTGTTGGGTATGGTAATCTCTGAGCTGCATAAGCTTATGCTATTGTTTGCACGTATAACATAGTTTGATTAAATATGTATATACGTGGTTAGGATATAAGGTATACACGTACATGTAAACCTTTTCAAAGCAGGTTGCTAATCATTTTTTATCCACCACTAAGATATGATGCGTATGTGATCATTTTGGATGATATTTTCATGCAAAAAGATATTACATGCACATCGAGCCAGTTCGATATTCTCAAAAAATTACGAAATCAAAGAGATTTATGGCTGATGTATGCATCAAGGAAATCCTTTAACAAGAAAAAAATGTATGCATCAAGGCTAAAGGCATCAACCTTTTTGTTTTGACGTTATCACCTTAAAAAAAATTATTTCGCCTATATGCTTTTTCTAAACTTTATAAAAATATCGTGGTGTGAGAAATATTAAAGTATATGATTGATTGATTTAACATATATAAATTTATTCGGATGAATAAACAAATGAAAATATATATATATATATATATATATATATGTATAAGCTTATTCATTATCACGCATGATAATTTTAGAATGAATGGTTTATTATTATTAGTATACCCGGCGACAAATGTTACAAGTTTTACGGGAAGATGAAGAAATTGTTAAATGTAAATCAATGTGATCTACTCGCAGAAGATCTAGAAATGTGTGGCTTATAAACATAAACGACTATCTTACACACAAATACTAGTAATACACTATGCAAGTAATTAATAGTATCTTAGTCATATCATATAGATGTTTGTCTTCTAATATATAAGGTGTTATTATGTTACAACCAAGACTATATTTGATTATTTTCTATTTGTTCAAAAAAAGACTACATTTTCTGAAAAGTACTTAACTCTTTGATTTGAAATAATTAAAAAGTGAACCTTTTTAATATATATGTACGTATGTATGGTTGTGTATGTATACATATATTAGATACGTAGGAATATGGAGAGGTGGAACATGTATGACAGAATGGTCTAGTCTATTTAATCCGCCAACAAGCCCTAGCTCTAAGGAAAAGTTGGCAAATTGACTTTCAAAATTTACAAATCAAATTTCCAAACCAATTGATAAGATAATCATCAATTATATGTTAAATAATCGTTTAATTATATTATCTCTTTATCCAAATGACGTAAGACTGCCCATGATATTTAATGGTTAGTAGAATATACAGATGGGATTAGTAAAACATACTCTAAAATTAAAAATACAACTGTCAACATTTTTAGATTTGATTCATTGAATTCAATGTATTTTCGCATCCCCATTTACTTTTGTAGATATAGTGATTCAAAATAATTTTGTTTTGTTCATAGATTTTTTTATTTATAAAACCATTCGTAGAATTGTTTTACAAATGTGATCTTTAATTATAAGCAATACATTATATGTAACCAAATAAAATATATAGATAGTCATCTAAAACAATTATCAAAGTGGATTGATACGCACGTATAAATCCTTACGGTGCTTATATAGTTATATATATACTCTTCGGCGATCAATGGTGATAATGTTTTGTAAAACAAAATCTCATATCAAACATGAAAAAACATATCTAACAATTCACACATTTTTACAAAGCGTTGGTAGTTAATCACATTCAACATGTTAAAATACTTCCATATTATAAATTAGGTCGCACGATTTCATTTTTGATGTACGACCAAATTGATTCTACCTAAATGACAAAAACCAGTTATCGTAGGGAAAGAAATAACTAGTATATGAAAACTATAATATCACGTATATATTATATATGTATATAATATGATATTTTCTATAATTTATATGGAAGTTATATATATATATATATATATTTACATACAGTTAACTTTGATATTTGGCTTCGTCTTTACTTTTTGCTCTAATTTTCTTTTATCTAATGAAATAATTGATATGCTATTGTGCAGAAAATAATCTAGACCAAATATCAAAGTTAAATCAACCAATCGCAGACATAAGAAACAAAAAGCCCTTATACTATGATCTGCTACATTCGAAATAGCTGGGCATATATTATACAATTTAGTACATATATTAATAAAGTAGAATCCTACCAACAATAAAAATAACATCGATCCTAACTTGTTGTGGCTGCAACATACATTTGTGGTCTGTCTCAAACTACGAAACAAACAATTTAGGTCTGTATTTTATTTGAACTATTGGACTATTTTTATTATAGGGTCGTCAATTTGATCCACAAGCCCGTAAGATATACTATTTAAAAAAAAATTAGTGATTAGCTTCTAAGATTTCCAATTTAACATAAGTTATATGTATGTATATATATATACATAGAGAGATGCCTGAGAATTAGTGGTGGTGCCCATGACTTTGAGCAATGTTGAATGACATCATATCCATCATCATCATTTCATTATTATTACATACCTGCATGTGCTAAATATTCACATTACACCAAGTAGGCTAAAGGAGTATTTTACCTACGGACTAATTTTAACGTCTGTATATTAGTATATAGTAGAATAGTTTCAACAATTAAAATAATTTTTTGTTTTCAATATATCTAGTGCATAATTACTCCATGGAATAAAACGTCGACAAATAAAGATCATAAGGACCATAACAACAGTTTATGATTAGATCAATTTTAAAAAATCTTAATATCCTATAATCATTCCAAAAAATAATGTTTTAATGATGTTAATACAATCGAGTTAGTTACGTCTGCACCACAATACATGTGACTTTCTAATCCGACCAGCGACACATAGATAAAATCCCATGTTTTTCAGCTGTAGAAAAAAGCATATTTAGTTTGAAACGTAGTAGTAAATCATAAACTATTAATATTTATTAAATTCACTCTACAAAAGAAAAACAATAAATAAATCGTAAATTTATCAAGCAAAATAAATAAATAAAGCGTAAGATACAAAAGAGAATTGACAATATTTAAATTGAATTCTAATACACAGGAGGGCTGCTCGTCCTCGAGCGTTGCTGCGTTGGTATGACATAAACCCGGGCCGCACATCTCAACGGCTTATGGTGGGTCCACGTGGCCCATTGAGATCCGTTGAAAGGGATAGTGATGACGTAAAAGTTGACGTCAAAGATCCCTCATCCAATGATGTGGCTCCTTCGCTTTGCAGTCTCGTCTCGGGAGCAAAAGTCAATATCCATAAGCTACACCCACATACATTTTATAATCGATAATCCCTCCATAGGGTCCACACGTCCAAAAAAATAAAAAATGAAACAAAAGAAATTTACCAGGAAACAGTATACATATGGTTTTATACTTAAATTTTTTAATCCCCGATTTCATTCCATATCTTTCGGTCCACATTATATTATATTATTATCTTAAACCATTTTATTCTGAATTGTTATTCTTATCCAATTTCCTTAATATATGCTCCACATATGATAACAAACGCGTTTAAATGAGATATTTACGGGGAAAGAGAAAATTGAGACAAAGCGATTAAAGAAAAGACAAATAAAGTTTCGGACTCTACTCTAATCAAAGTTATATGTACTTACAAAATTCATTTGGACTTTACTAGCATACTGCGACAAATCAGTTATCTAAGCCAATTTATGACGGCATGTACAATCTAGTGATTAAAAAGTTATGCGTTAAGAGGAAAAAAAAAATCACCAATTTGACATATGATCCCTGTATCAAAAGCACAATTTACAACAATGGAAAAAAACTAATAATTTGTTGAGATTGTTGTTGTTTATGCATGAGATGTCACATACCTGTGCACTATATTCTGCATTCAATCAATAAATGTCATTACTAATAAATATGTTTGTACATGTTTAGTTCAATAGTTCGTCGTCGGTCAATTAAACGAACAGATCAAACAGAAATAATTTAAGATTAACGATATCTCTAATTAATAATGTGAGGTCAGATGCAAAAAAATATTAATTAATTGGTAATTACTTTTTCAAATGCTGGAATCAAGTCGGTGGTTTGTTACAGCGTACTGACTAAAACGACTTTCCAAATTAATCTGAGTCGGCAATGCGTAGATTATTACAAACATTCATATTTAAAAAGATTTGTCTTGCAAAGATGACAGGCTGGAAAAATCGATGGATTTTAACCTTTTATATGCGCACAAAATATTATACTGCAATATTATTAGACGAAAAAAAAAAACAATTACTAATCATTTGTAGTCGTAATTGAGTTCGAAATTCATACTAAGAGGTATACATATCAGTTTCTATGAAGCTAGCTACTGCTCAAGTAAACTAGAACGATTATAATAAACTTAATTAGTATTTAGATATATAATATAACTATTGTGGAGAGTAGTCTGTGGCTCTGCGCAATAAAATAGCTAGTAAAGACAATTATACAGTTAGTTTGGTTGGAGATTATGTGCCATATATTTCAAAAGTTCGTAGGAAATTTGGGTTTGAGATACGAAGTTTGTTTTTCTAACAGTCAGAAGAAAACGACATGTGTAAGATTTTTTCAATATTTTGGTCAGAAAAAAAAAACATTTCTTCAATACATTATTCATAAACAAAAATAATAATTTAAGAAATAGTAAATAGACAAACAACAGATTGTGACGAATCCATATTTACCGAGTCAGCGTGCAATGTGCCAAACTCATCTAAACAGAGTACATACGAACGTTTTTATGATATCAACAAAATCATATGTAACATTTAGTTTAATATTCAGCTCGTAAATTAATAAACTAATTATATTTTCGTATTGGTTTTTTAGTGCCATTTGTGTTTGTGGGGAGTAGTTCTCGCTATATATTACAAAAAGTCAGAAGACATATTAACTACGTAGAATACAGATCCTCGCTTGTCTATTTTGATGATAAATATATATGACCTAATTTATATTTACTTTGTTTTAAACGTCGATATATATGACCTAATTATATAACGTATACTAAGTTCTCTTACAAAAATATACATGAGAAGCAAATAGTCCATTATATTGATCAATTTGGAATTAAAATACTATATTCTACCGAGTTTGTAAAAATATATGCAAATCTCAACTTCCTGGTTGGACATTCCTCTATGATTTTTAGTCAACAACTTGGTGACTTGACCAGCCGATATTTTCACCAACTTTTCTTAAAAAACAAAAAAAAAATCCATGCCCCAACTTATTAAAGATATAAATTTAACACTTTAATCAATTTACTTATTTTTATGAAAATTATGTTAGTATTCTTCGGGATGTGTTCTATTCTTTAAAGGCTTTTTGGTTGTTCTAAACGGATCAAAATTATATATTAAATTTCAATTTAACACCATAAACCTTAGTTTTCTATCAAATATTTTTCACAAATTATGAACATCAATTAAAAATTATTTCTCGATTTATTTTTAATTTGATTAATTAATTAACTATATTAAATAATATAAATTTGTCTTTCTTCGGCTTCAGTGGAAAGGATAAGTTAAACACCACAGAAAAAGGCTGTGGCCTTTTTGAAGAAGAGGAAGCGGTGTTAAACAAGTAAATAATATTCAACTAATTATAAAGTCTCTAATATACACCAAAACACATATACTTTAACCATACATATAACACTATTTCTCGAAAATAATATCAGCATCCGTATTAATATATAGTTTCATAATGTCAAGACATAGTGTTATATGTATGGTTAAAGTATATGTATTTTAGTATATTAAACAACTTATTATTTAGTATTGTATACGAAAAGTATTATTCCAAACTTTGTTATCTAAATAATTTAGAAATACTATATTTTATATTAAATCTCAAAAGTTTGTTAAATGTATTATCAACGACGGGGTTTTGGGCTATAAATAATATGACTGAGATTAATAACTTAATAAATTATATACAAAAGAACAAATAATAATCGAAACTGTGTTGTCTATGTGAAGCTTGTTCAACAATTCAGGAAGTTGCTTGGAGCCTACGTATCTTTCTAAATCACCAAAAAAAGGAAAAAATGAAGAAAAAAACAACAATAGTTTTATCTTTATTTATTTACAAAGTTCCTCCATTTCCTCTATATAAGCCATTTTTTCCACTCTATCAATACTTTTATTTCTCTGCCTTTAACTGCCCAAAAGATTCTCCAGCTAGCTTTCTCAAATCATTTTCTTGTTTCATCTTCTTCTTCCCTCTGTCTCTCTCTCTTTCTCTCTCTAAATAAGCATCCATCTCTTTTTCCTCAAGAAAAAAAATCTCTGTGTTCTTTTTCTTTCTCTTGTTCTTGAATCTTTAAACTAAAAAAAAAAAGGAGAGGCACATACATATATAGATAGATACACTGTTATATAGACATGGCGGTTGTGGTCGAAGAAGGCGTGGTGTTGAATCATGGAGGTGAAGAGCTTGTGGATTTGCCACCTGGATTCAGGTTTCATCCAACAGACGAAGAGATCATAACATTCTACCTCAAAGAAAAGGTTTTAGACAGCCGATTCACGGCTGTGGCCATGGGAGAAGCCGATCTCAACAAGTGCGAGCCTTGGGATTTGCCAAGTAAGTAGTAGTCAAGATCTTCCTAAACCAAAAACTCAAATTTCAATTCTTGTTTGACCATTTCAGGAGTGTTCACACATAAACACACAAAACGCTGGCTATCTTCTTGATTAAGATTACCAATTCTTGAATCATGTTTTAACACGAGGCTAGCTTGTTTTTATCCAACTTTTAAACTTCCAAAACAAATTACAATCTTCTTTGACCGTTTTCAACACATCAATGGAAGGCTTTTTGATCAAGATTCTGATTCTTATATTTTTATTTTTTAAATTGGTTTTTATAGAAAGGGCCAAGATGGGTGAGAAAGAGTTCTACTTCTTCTGTCAAAGGGACAGGAAGTATCCGACCGGGATGAGGACGAACCGTGCAACCGAGTCTGGATATTGGAAAGCGACCGGGAAGGATAAGGAGATCTTCAAAGGCAAAGGTTGTCTCGTTGGGATGAAGAAAACACTTGTGTTTTATAGAGGAAGAGCTCCAAAAGGTGAAAAGACTAATTGGGTCATGCATGAATACCGTCTTGAAGGCAAATATTCTTATCACAACCTCCCCAAATCCGCAAGGGTAAGTTCGTATAAAACTAATCCATATATGTTCTCAAATGCTTTTTTTGAAATCGATTCCAAAAGGAGAGAGATCTAATTTAATTATTATTCTTCAGTTTTCTTAAACCATAAGTGTGTTAAATTAGGTGGAGGTTTTGTCCTTTTCAATAAGTTTGATTAAGTCTCATACTATATCCAATTCAAGATTGAGCTCCAAGTGTACGTTAGCAAGTAAGAGATTGAATCCCAAACTCGAAATCAAATCTAATATTTTTTTTTTTGTTTGTGATCTTGATTACAGGACGAGTGGGTCGTGTGTAGGGTTTTTCACAAGAACAATCCTTCTACTACAACCCAACAAATGACGAGAATACCCATTGAAGATCTCACAAGAATGGACTCTCTAGAGAACATTGATCATCTCCTTGACTTCACATCTCTTCCTCCTCTCATAGATCCTAGTTTTACGGAGCAACCCAACTTCAAACCCATCAACCCTCCTACATACAATATCTCATCACCAATCCAACCCCATCACTACAATACATACAATTCGATCTATAACCACCAGGGTTTTGGTTCTGCTTCTGGTTCCGGTTCTACATACAACAACAACAACAACAACAACGAGATGATCAAGATGGAGCAATCACTTGTTAGTGTATCTCAAGAAACCTGCCTGAGCTCAGATGTGAACGCAGCCACGACCACGGAGGTATCTTCGGGTCCGGTAATGAAGCAAGAGATGAGGATGATGGAAATGGTGAATGGTAGCAAGTCGTACGACGATCTATGTGACTTGGGGGGCATCTTATGGGACTACTGATTAACTTCCGCTTGGAATAATTATGGTTATTTAATTATTTAATTGTGATGAAAGAGTATATTTGGTTGGTTTTAAATCATGTAGGTAATACATATACACATAGTATTTACTAGGGGATTTATCCTAGTTATTTTCGCTTCATTGATATTATTTAGTTGATTGTTTAATTAGTTTGTAGTGTGGGGGGAAAGGGAAAATGGGAAAAGGGATTGTGATCATTAAGTATATTTGTCAATGTACACTGTATTATACATATAATCTTCATATATACAGTTTCTTATATATAGAGCTTTTTTATGCAGCTGTTCTTATAGTTATTCTAGCGTTGTTAGTTCAATTCGATATACTCATCATACAAGTTCAAACTCAAGCAGAAACGTTTCCATGTAAAAACAAAAGAAAATGATAATATCTATGTGAACGTCAAGTATCTTTGTTTACAGTTTATAAAATGCATTATATCTGGATCAGATTTGTATTGGGATGATGACAAAATTACTTCATTGATAATCACTCAGCAATCAACATAATGTTTTTTTATAGAAACTAATATAGTAGTTTACTTTCTCAGGTCTCTTCTTTTTTTTTGTCTTAGAGAAAAAAAAAATGAAAAATGCAAATTGATGGAATCTGAATAAAACTCAGAGAGAGGAAAAAAAACACAGCTCATGAAGCACGTGAATGTTCCCCGAATCTGGGCAGCATATTAGCCTTTTCATATGCCCAATAATTTAGATTATTATGACACACTAATAAATCATTTACGAGTACTATAAGTATGAAAAACATTTCAACTAAGAACAGTGATTTAATGATGGGTTTCTTGTAAAATTACAATTCCAGATCCCTAAGTCTTGTGTCTTAAGGAACTTGGTTATTACATCAATCACATTACGTTTTCCTACTTAATTTTTTAATAATAACTGAAATTTTTTCGTACGTTTCATATCATTTAGTATTTCCAGCACTTAATTATTACATCTGTAAAATTAGTACCATAAATTAATACTATATCTATCTTTTCTTCTTCTTCTGAATATACAGATATGATCTTAAGGAATTTTTTCTTGGGGCCCGACGCACAAAGCTTGTCTTTACATAGAATAAGATATGGCTGCAGATCTGTGTTTAAGATTTGGCAGCAGATCTGTTTTTTTGGTTGAATGTACTATAATATTCTTATAATTGAATTCTTGATATTTTTATATATAATAAACGACAAAGACATACATTTTTATAGAAAATGCACCGATTTGAAAACCACCAAAGAAACAAACTTTTAGGTAAGAGCCTGAACATGTAGCTACTATATAAACATCATGCCATGCTAATTTTAGTTTTCAAATTCCCTTACTATTATCAAAATGTTCTTAAAAAGCTTCATCCGTTCATATGTGGATATAATAATAACCGACTAAAAATAAATCAACACTCGATTAACCGTACATAAATAAATGATGTCTCTGGTTCAATGTACTATGATTGTTTGGAAATAAGCGTGTGAGTCTCTTCCACCTTAAATTCAGGACATAAATCTCATTAATTTTTCTGTTGAATTTCGGACATGAATTTAATCATAAACTCTTTGGTGTAGAAACTTACAACTAGACTATACCAGAGATGCTTCCGCCACAACAGAGAATAATAATTCCCTTTTTATTGTTTTTTTTTCTAATAGATTATTCATTTTTTTCACTACTAAGTTTTCTTACTTTCTCTCCAAAGGGCCTATTGAATATTCTTTATGAATGATTTTTTATAAATGAATTCCCGATATATGAATTTTGGAAGAAAAAACAAAGAAAAAGAAAATGCATGAATGTGAGCATTATTTTAATGCGCACAATAACAGGACTTTCCATTTAAAGCGAAGCTTTAAGATCGATACTTGCAGCAAATCTAACCGTTCTCTTACCCTTTTTCGGGTTCTAGATGATTACGGTCGCCTCCTTTCTACTGTCTCTTTCTTATTCCTTTTTCTGTCAAAATACTATAAGTAAATGAGAATTTTAATATGTCGTCCAGAAAATGTTTACACTGAATGAGATTTTTTTTTTTTCACGAGGAACTTTAATTTGACCTATGGTTGTAATTTCATATTCAGTAGTAGTTCTATATTTTGTCATCATCTAGACGAATATTTTTCACTACATAATTTTTCAAATTACAAAAAATTAATGATTAAATAATATAGATAAAATAATTTATAATGTCTGTTGCAATTTCTCACATAGTTGAGTTTTTTTACACCTTAATTCCTATACCTAATTAGTGGATCAGATTAAACAGTAAACAGCTAGGCCCTGGCCCATGGGGTTAAGTAATAAGGCTTGCGTGATGTTAATGGGCTTAGTTCATTAATGTTGCAAAGGAATTTTTTATTTATTTTAAATATTGGTATTTTTTCCTTTACAAGTACTACAAAATGACGAATCATATGTTATACTAATGGCTTGTTGTGAGTAGCAAACCCTTGTAATGGCTTGGAACCAGATACAGATTTAAAAATTAAATTATTGTATTCCGTTAGTTGAGGTCGAAAGTTGAGTTTGATAGCTCAGCATCTGAGTAGGCACTACTAGCGAAACACCTTTTTATTCGACGACACCAATAATTGGTTTTAGTATTAATATTAGCATCCAAGGTTAACCGAGCATAAACAATAATGAAAGAAAAATACAAAACATTTTTAAAAGAATAGTTTATATATAACTATAAGAAACCAAATCATAATTTATTTACAAAACCCGTAAATTTAATAAATAGTTTCAATTAAAACAATTTTAGTAAATATGTAACTTTCAATGGTGACATCATAACCAAATTGATAACCATGAATGATTATTCGAATGTTATAAGAAAAAGGAACAAAATTCACTTTAGTGGATGAACCAGAAATATGAAATGTTTGAAAATAAAAAACCAATGATTATGTAATTAAGAAAAATCAACAAGATTAGTAATTAGCCAATCTCTTCAAGAAGTCATAATTAGCAGTCGTCTCTCTCTCTAGTCTCTTCCTCAATTTTATTCAAAAGAGAAGGAGCGCTCTTGCTTGCTCTCGTCTCGCCGCTTTTCCGCCATTGATTCTACAAAAGTTTCTCTCCTCTTCGTAATCGAAATCCTCAAATTACGAGCTTTCTTCCTCAAACCCAGATTATCACTTTCAACTTTTAAGGTGAGTTGTATTTTCAAGTTTTAAAAACTCTGTGCAATCTAATCTGCTCTCACCGACAGCTGATTATTTTGCTCGATCACTGAAAATAAATTACCTTTACGATGCTTGAGATGCTTAATCTTGTTTGAAACAGCTGTTGATTTCACTTTGTTACTTGTGTTGTCGTCGTTACAGAGCTTGTTTGGTCTTAGATATGAGTTCTTGTTCAGCTTGAATGTGTTCTTTAAGTTCTCAGTTTTTGAATCACTCAACTCGGGGATTTAGCTGTATTATCAAGAATTCATTATTTATAAATTGATCAAGATTACAATCATTAACTCAGCTTTCCCCAGTGTTTACAAGTTACCCTTTGGTTTAAATACATGGTATCTTTCTTGATGTAGGAAGTCTCTCTGCCTTGAAGGCGGTGAGAACTAAAAAACGCTCAAAACGGGTGCACTATGTTGTATCGTGGCCTCAAGGCCATTGGTAACAACCAAATCACCATCCCATAGCGGAAAGGATATTCCTTCAGATGATGCCCTGCAATGGCGGACGAATCTCAGCTTCTCTCCAATTGGATATACTAGAGATGGTTTGGAACGGGATATGAGCAGCGGTGATGACAGTCACAGTTTTGCATTCTACTCGAGCAGAAGTAGACAGAGTACAAGTTTGGAATCCTGCTTCAAGCAATCTCCAAGATGGGCTTCAAACTCTTCTGCTTGTGGTGGGAATGAACAGAAAACCTGCGTTGTGAATGAGGAGGTAAGTTAATAATCAATCTTTACATCAATAATTGACATTTGTGCTTGACAAATTATTTTGTTTCCAAGGCTGAGCCTTGTACCTCGTTGATGATGTAATTGTGTCCCAGGAGAAAGGTTTTGATAGAGAAAGTATAGCCATCTCCCAGAGTTTTAGGTCGTCATCAACTGCCCCATTGAGTACTTCAAGCAAGCAGCCTTTCAGCCTTAGTCACTGCTCTTACCCTCGAGTCTTCTGCAACCCAGTTTCAGATTGTGAGAAACCTGAACCTGATCATTATGCGCAAGAAGACTCATCCACAAATCCTGAATCCAGTTTTGTGATGTCAACAAGAAACCATCAGGGCTCACCAGAAGATGAAGCGTCACCAAACCCCAGTAACAGCACACGTAGCAATGACATGCTGCTAGATGTGGAAAGGTCCAATGAAGCAGAAGCAGGAAACCCGAGACTTGAACCAGGCTCAGTGACACATCAGAGATGCGGGGTCTGCAAGAAGCACTTATCTCAGAAATCTCCATGGTGCTCTTATAAGATACTGAGATGTGGAGACATGCCAGCCGCTGGTGTTTTCCCTTGTCATCACGTCTACCATGTAGAGTGTTTAGACAAAGTGACCCCAATTGCTCAAACCCGAGAACCGCCTTGTCCTGTTTGCGCGGACACAATTGGATCAATGGAGCAGCCGCTGATAGTGCCTGAAACATTGCAAATGGCACTGAGATCCCTCAGAAGAAGCCGCACAGCTGTGGGATCAGAAACACTTAATAGCTCTTGCAATGAAATTCAAAGAAGACACATTAGGAGAAGTAGCCAGAAATGGGATAAACTCAGCTGCTGTTTGAACATAAGCTTCTTATCTTCTTCCCGGAATCAAACTTGACCAGATTCTATTAGGTTCCTCTATAACTCTTACTTGAATCCAATCGTAATCTTAACCATATGTTTCTTAGCTATATTGATTCAGTATGACATTATAAACATAAAAGCTGAAATCTTCAGACTTTTTGTTTCTATTGAGAGTGTCTAGGAAACTATAAACAAAAACAATTTGCATATTTGTCTACTTGTAAACCAGAAGAAATCATATTCTGTATAGCAGTTACAAAGAACAATAAGCATTACAACGAATTCTGTTTTCTTCTGGTTGGTAAGAACAAAACCCGTGAAAACAAAACAACACTCAATTAGGATTGAAAAGCAACAAAAATGAATTTGGCAATGAAAATACCAGAATCGACAAAATCGTATCACCGATAAATGGGGATAAAAACAAAAACCGAGAAGAAGAAAGACCTAGAATCAAATCTAAAATTTCAAAAAACACATATTTTTGTTTGGGTGTTAAAGCTCGCATTAGCCATCACAGCGCCGAGTAATCGTACGCTCAGGCAGCAAGCAGTCTTCATCGCTGAAAACAAAGGGGAAGATAAGGATAAGACATCGAAATCTTTCCGTCACCGGAGCCGCCGGCCATACCCTTGAAAGGAAGGAGATGGGGTTGCTCGTTGGTGAAGATCGGAAGAGGTAAGGAGCCCTAAACCTTAAAACCCTTTTTCTCAGCTCAGATAAGATCAAGTAGTTTTGAAGCTTAGTGTGGCTTACTTGCTCCACTTTTATAATCACTTCGGTCAAAAACCTAATCCCTTGAATTTTTCTGCATCTCAGACAGAATTTCCTTATCTACCCTCGTGTAAAGAAAGAGATTTATAACAAAACAGAGCCAAAACTATTTTATATTGTTAAAGAAACCCCACAACTCCTGAAACGAAGGGAAAGATCCCTATACATCTATATAGGTGAGTCGAGCTTCTATATTTCATTCCATAGACGCTGAAATACCAAAACAATCAAGCCATTGGCACGGGATTAAGATTTCTTTAGCACTAGAGAGTTGCATAAAATAAGAAGCATTTACATCAAGAACCTATCTCTTAAATAAAAGATGGTCATACAAAGAGAAGAAAGGAAAATGAACAAAAGTGAAAGCTGCAGTGTGTGTTTCACAGAGGAGATGTTGTAGATTTGTGCATTTTGTTATTCTCTTGTGGCTGCGGTGGCTGAGACGAATGGACTGCTGCTCGGTATGAAGATGAAGCAAGCTGTGCCAGTGCTGGTACAGTGCCACCTGCAAACATTCCCCCAAAGAAAGATTTAGGACTTATTGACTCAAAAACCAAGGTCTAGGTCATATTTGAAGCTGTTCAAAAGATTGAGGAACTTATGTTCCACGATAGTATGAGCAGTAAAGGAGAAATAGAAGAAGAAGATCTCAAACCTGCTAGTCCAGCACATGCTGATGAAAGAACTATAACAGGCGGTGCCTGCATTGATAAGGAAATGAAATTTTTTTTATCAGTATAGAAAAGATTTAAGCAAATTACTGGTTCTGCATCTTTGTTATTAACTTACTCCAACAAGAAAATGTAACCACATGGGCCCTTTTATCCACTTGCGTACAATTGGCATCACTGCATTCACATCACAAAAAGCATTTGTAACAAGCCAAACACACTTAAAAATCTTTTGGGCAAGCTATAAACCTATCCGCTATCACTATAGTCTAGAACCAATACACTCATTTAAGAATGGCCATTGTTACAGAAGTGGAACATAAGCCACACAACCGGATGGGCATCAACACTTAGGCCTCTCCTTAGAACAAACTAGAAATCTACGATAATTCTTAAACGACTACGTCCTTCTTCTCTTTCTTTCTCCAACTTAGAAAACAATCCTAAAGTACGCATATATGAAGATGTTGGAAGTCGATTACAGGCAGACACAATCAACGAGTGTTGAAAGAGATATTCACAAGATAATACTGATTCAGACAACAATCAAAGCGAGATTTAAAGCCAAGAGGAAAACTTTACATACCATGGTTAAATCCAATGAATGCACTTGCAGTACCACCAACAGCTGATCCAATCTAAGAGCATATAAAACAAAGCTTTCAAAACATAAATAACTTATCCGTATGAAATAGAAAACAAAAGGAAAGTTATCATTCATTCTCAAAGGACAAACTTTTTACAATTGCAGCAAGCTACAGTAAGACTAAAACAGTCGAGGTTGGCCGATAAAAAACCAAACTTTCTTCAAAAGAAATCAAATTTCTTGAAAGAAGCTTACCATAGAAAAGCTATCCCTGATGAACGGAGCCACAGTCCACTCACTGGTTTCCTGAAATCAATTAACTTCTAATCTAAACAATATATACTAAATGAACGAATCTTATTCAATAAAAAGAAATCATCTGCAGTAGAGATCTCTATATAGAAATTGAAGCTAGATGCGGAAAATACCAAATTTTTCGTAAGAGGGCCTGCGCAATGATGGCATCTGATTCCGATCTCATGCCCTGAATCCGTCATTTTCTGCTTAGGGAGAAGAAGAGCCCGAGAAACCCAAACGATATTTTGTCTGTCTTCTTCTCTTTTGTTTTTGGGTCGTAGGGTTTAACTCTCTGTTAACTGTTTTGCTTCGTCCTCTGTTCGACAAGAAAGACTTCACCGATCACCTGCAATTGAGACTACTATGGTCCCGTACCAACTAGCCACTGGTTTTTTGACACGTTAGCTAAACAAAACGGGCCGATCTGGAATGTGGCCAAATTGAAGAAAATCTTTTAACCGGTTACACGTTAGCTAAACAAACCGGGCCGATCTGGAATGTGGCCAAATTGAAGAAAATCTTTTGACCGGTTAGAACCGGTTAATTCAGCTCCATCTATTTTTAGATGATATATTGCTAAAGGCTGATGTTTTTGCTTATCCAAGTTATCTTTGGAATCTTACTTCTCCATGTTCCAAAGGGTTAGAAACAACTTTTTGAAATAAATGTATAAAACGAATATAAAAGAAAGTAAACGAACAAAAGAATGGTTGGCCAAAAAAAAAAAAAAAAACGAACAAAAGAATGTATGTGTATATAAACTGAAAGAAGAGAAACAAGAATGGATACCACTAACTACTTGCAGCTAGACAATCAATCTTTATAACGAACCAGTTGTCGAATTTAGCCAGCATTTGCGTTTGCAACCAGTCGCACCGTGCGATGTTTGTTTAATAGTTTCATAATATTCAAATCATCAAAATCACAAAACCGCTACATTTTTTTTCTTCTGTTGGATGCAGACAACACTGTCTTGTGGTGAACACAAAACTCTCATTGATTCTCCCAATCTTTTGTTGTGCTTATAGGAATCACAAGATATTAAAAATGGAAATGAAGTACACTCGAACAGTCTATCTTTATTATCTTTATTATCTTCTTCTGTTTATGTTCGCGTTGAGACGAATAAAAAAGATTCTTGAATTGGGAATGCGACTCACCAAGTTTTCTTTAGTTTTGGATTCCCATATTCTCATTCTGTAGAATCAATCTCAGGAACTCACTTTTCGTCTCCATTTTCTCTCCTAAAGAATATAATTCCGCGGTCATTTCCCGCTTCCTCTTGTTTAATGTATCCAATCCTCTCTCGTTTGATCAAGCAATCACGATCCTACGATGCAGCCCACGTGTTGAATTATTCTCCGTATGGAAGATCAAAGAGTAAAAGTTAGTAAAAGCAAGAACAAGAATCTGTAAAAGGAAAATGCACGTACAAGGAAGAACATTTAGTCTGTATCACTCTTTTATTTTACTTAAAGAGTGACATTTCAACGAGCAAAGTAAAGGAAAGAGAAACATGTTACAGTACAACCTTTTCTTCTTAGCGGCTGAAGAACAGACCATGTTGCAAAAAAAGAATACTCAGAATTTGATATTCTTGAAACTATATTTGACCTAGAATGTACAGTGAATTATCTATGAATACATAGGGTAATTAAAAGTGAATTCAATCAAAAGAGTTCAACACAGATCTTACTTGGTTAATTATATTTACTTTTGATGGTATTCAAATAGACTTTTAAAACTTGCAGCACACAATATGAAGTCTCTCTTTGCGGAAGCATATTCCCACCCACATGCCAATCAACTATTTAGGCTATATGCTGAAATACTTTTAACTGAAGGTTATGAAATGTTCTTTACTAAACAGAATAAAGTGTTAATGAAAGATCAGAACCATGGGATTTCCCCAAAAAAGGTTGAAAAAATCATGCAAAGATATCATTCAAGGAGCATAAGATTTGTTTTTTTGACAATTTCCTTTGGAACAATAGACCATGTTTCTACCAAGTTTTCTTTTTATTTCTTTCTAAGGCATCTATCAAACTCATTAAGATATGTGAGACTCTATACTGGATAGTGGATATATTCTCACTTGCACATAGAGAAGCCAGAATTTCAGCATTTGGCAATCAAGACTTCTATATGCATATCTTTATCTATGAACTTATTCTATATAGTTGTATATCATATAACTATAAGAAAGTATCTACTTATACTTAATCAGGCAGGAGAAATATAATTTTGACGTCCAAATCAAAACCAGACCCAAACCACAACATGATTGATAGATATTTAGAGATAGTCACCGGTAAAGTAGATGCAGGGAAGTATACTGTAAGAAAGCAGCCGGACATTAGATGTATAGATCCTTCACGAGCACGAGCTTATACATATAACTGTACATATGCACACATAACACAAATAACACAACAATACATACAAATATGGACAGGGAATGTTACACACATACATAGATAACACAAGCATGGGTGGGCTAAATATGTTGTGCCAATCAAAGAATGTAATTAAGATATAGGTCCCCCACTAACTTTTATACTTCTTATAGAGAATAGGTCCTAAACTTATTGAAGGAGACATCATGAAATATTCTTCATTCGCTTTCTCACGTCTGGATTATCTTTCAAGACAAAACGGTGTTGAAACAAAAACTATCACATTGCTTGGATATCCCGCTTCATTAAAATCATATATCATCACTATATATACTTATGAAACATGCATGGCCAAACAAGCCATTTTGATATTGGTAAAATATAACTTAAAGTTTCAATAGAAAGTGTTAAGGCTCAAGATGCATCTAGAGACTGAAAAACTGACTCTCAAGCAGGAACAAAAACAATACAGACAAGTGGAAAGCATTGAGAATATTCCCTCGAGAGATGGAGATGGAGAGGTTAGAGGTGTGGACTTTGAAAAAAAAATTGAGGAATAAGGAAAGAGAATGAATTCCCCTGCCCAAGTAGAAAAGTTGTCAAAAATTTTTTGGAGAATAAGATACTTCCGTTTGCCAGAATGGTGAAAGAATGAGCATATGATGCATATTAATTGTGGATCAATTCTGGAATCTAATGCAAGGCTTGAAAGTTGTAGTCCAGAGGAATCAAGACAAAAAAAAAAAAAAAAATCTAAGCAAACAACCAACAGCTGAGATGATAAGAACACAAACAATAAAGCTACGATTGGACCAGTTATTCATATTCCATACCTTAGTTATCATCCTCTAATTTGCCTTTTCTACATTCAACTTTCTATATAAAGCAAAGCTGTAAAGACCTTTTACTCTTGAGAAAATAAAAAGAAGAGCATAAATAAGGAAAACAGCATAGACATCTTCCCAAGTTGGTGGAGTTGCAGACAATAGTGTATCTTTGAACTGAGAAGCAGCAAGCTGCATTTAGAAACTAAGATTTGTGTGTCAGGTAAAAGAAAGATATTTGGTAATTACAATCATTATCAATGCAGTGTTGTTGCTATATGGGGATAAACTTACAGTTTTTTTAGGTTTTCGAAGACAGAATTATGTATTACCACAACCAGCACCAAGGGAAAAGCATCCTCTCTTCATCGAGAATGCCCATTTCTTCTGAAAGGCATCCCTTCCTTCGAGGAAATGACACAGGAGATTCTGGACTGATCCTATCAACCGATGCGAAGCCACGACTAAAATGGACTCCAGATCTTCACGAGAGATTCGTTGAAGCAGTGAACCAGCTTGGAGGAGGAGATAGTAAGCTATATTATTATCAAACGAACCATCTTTGACAATCAGGCTTTTAGACATAATATGTATTAATGTGTGTCTTTTGTCTTTGCAGAGGCTACTCCTAAGACAATCATGAAAGTCATGGGTATTCCAGGTCTTACTTTATACCATCTCAAGAGTCATCTTCAGGTAAGCTTTCAACATATTTATAGAGAACATGTCTCTGTTATATCGCCTTTACAAAGGTTATTTATTAATTTGATGATTTGACTACCAGAAATATAGGCTGAGCAAAAATCTTAATGGACAAGCTAACAGCAGCTTAAACAAGACAAGTAAGCTTAGTTATTTATTACTCAGTTAGACGAATCTTTTAATATAAAGAAAGATTAGACGAATCTTTTAATATAAAGAAAGATTCATTTTCCTCTTTTAAAAACTTTTTTCTTTAAGGAACTAAAAGTAACCTGGTTTAGGTGTGATGACCATGGTAGAAGAAAACACACCTGAAGCAGACGAAAGCCACGGCGAGAGTTTAAGCATTGGACCGCAGCCGAGCATGTAAGAATTATAAGCCTATTTGCTTACATATTATAACTAAATGAAATTTTCAACCAAAAAAAAAGTGACCTATATATTTGTTTACTCAGAAACTTGCCCATAAGTGACGCACTTCAAATGCAAATAGAGGTTCAAAGAAGGCTACACGAGCAACTTGAGGTATCACATACCTTAAAAACTCTCATATAATGTCATCTTCGAGGAAGGACAGTTAACAAAATTCAGCTCAAACATGTAGAAACACATGACATAATTAAGTATATCGAGCAACTATCTAGAAACAGGAAGTGGATCGAGCAACTATCTAGAAACAGGAAGAAGAAGAAAGCATTTAGTTAAGAAATTTTGATTGAAAACATTTTAAACTGAGCCAGGTACAGCGACATTTGCAGCTCAGGATCGAAGCTCAAGGAAAATACCTGCAAGCGATTCTGCTGAAAGCACAAGAGACTCTTGGAAGACAGAACCTAGGACCAGAAGCAACTAAAGCTCAACTCTCAGAGCTAGTATCTAAAGCATCAGCCGAATATCCAGACACTAGCTTCCTAGAACCTAAACAAGTGCAGACTCTAGGCCATCAACAGATGCAAACAACCTATCCACAAAACTCCTCTCTGGAAAGTTGCTTAACCTCAAGTGAAGGAGCCCTTAAACCCCCAAAGATGCTCGAGAACGGACTAGGATTAAGAACATACATTGGAGATTCAACTTCAGAGCAGAAAGAGATAATGGAAGAACCGTTCTTCCAAAGAATGGAGCTCACATGGGGAGAAGAAGAAGGCCATAACAGGTCATATCTTTCCACAATAGGCCATAACAACAACGCAGAACAGAGAACATTGTCTTCAAGAAGAAGAAGCCCTGGAAGATTGTCAATAGGAGTGGGATTACATGAACAAAACAGAGGAGGAGGGAGTGGCAACAGTGGTTACACTGAGGAAAGATTCAACGAGAATGGCGAAGATTGCAAGCTTGAAACACGCACCAGAACTGCGCTAGATCTTAACACACATGACGACAACTACGGCACAACGCGTCCTAAACAGTTTGATTTGAATGGTTTTAGCTGGAATTGAGAAGCCAAAAAGATTGCACCAACCTTTTTGGTTAATTCGTCTTGAGATTTAATTATTAGTCGAACCAAAGAGACATCTCTTGCAAGATGTACACCACTATTTGCGTAGTTACTTATCGCATATAATACAGATTGATTTATTTACGTAACAATTCATGGATGAAACTTGGAAAACGTTCATAGAAACATCATTATCATGAACAAGAAGTGCGTACAAGTATGTAAAACTCTGTGATCAACTGATTCGCAAACCAACTAACTAAAACCAGATATTTGTACGTTCCGAAAATTAAAAACTCCGAGCTACTCACAAATAAGTGTACATAGAGATCATGGATGTTATGCAAAAAAAGTTGAAACGAACTTCATAAAAACTAAATTTCTTAGAATTTTGAAAATTGAAACTCTTATCAATCCATGAAACATATATAAACTAAAAGAAGTTGAACTCGAAAAATCTTACGTAATAAATACAATAGTATTTGATGACTGTGTTTCAACTTTGATCACTGAGATCCATAGACTTCTCATTCCGAAAAGTTGAACTCTCTAGTAAATTAATTGGAAAAACCAAAAAAGGACAAAAATAATAATAGGGGTACCATTCAGAAATTAATAAATATAAGGGGGCAAATCGGAGAATAAAAGCCCGCTATATACTTTAATTTTGGGCCGTCAATGTCGAACTCGTATTCACAACTCTTTCAGATTTTGTTATCATCCTAAACGATCCAATCAATTCATCGATAGTTACACATCATCTTCTTCCTCTCGCTCTGAAAGCGAAAACCCTATTTCTGGTAACCAATTAAATCAGCAAAAAAAAAACCCTAAATCTGACGGAGTCTCTTCTCTGGTTGGGCTGCAATGGGTGCGAGTCGCAAATTACAAGGCGAGATAGATCGGGTGCTTAAGAAGGTTCAGGAAGGTGTTGATGTTTTCGACAGCATCTGGAACAAGGTATTACAATAGTGTTTTATCTTCAATTGTTCTCGGTAATATGGAGAATGCAAGAAGATCTTTAGGACAAAACTTTACATTTGCGTGTTAGGAAGTGTTTACAATGTCAACGTTAATATAAAATTGAGTTTGCTGAAGCAGTGTGTGTGGTGATCTATTTGCGTTAAAGCAAGGAAGAATCTGATGCGATTTTTTTCTTTATCCATTGGCCCTTAATTCTCATTCAAATTGGCTATTGTCTAGCCTACTGTGATTAGGATCTAGTTCAAATTTTTTGCTAATTTTGGCTTCTTAAAACTTCTGTTTGTTTGTTTGTTTTGTGAGTAAACTTTCCAGTGGAACTCAATACCGAGCTCCGTTTGTTGTTTATGCAGTGGAATGTGAGCAGAATGTTTGTTTTCGAAGCAGAAAAGTTTTTTACTGGACAGAGGACAAACCCGGTTTCGGACTTTTTTGGTGTTTCAGGTATATGATACAGATAACGTAAACCAAAAGGAAAAGTTTGAGGCGGACTTGAAGAAGGAAATCAAGAAGTTGCAGCGGTATAGAGACCAGATCAAGACATGGATTCAGTCCAGTGAGATCAAAGATAAGAAAGTCAGTGACCTTTTATCCTCTACACCTTTTTTTAATTGACTAATGAGGCACCGTGACTCCCTTGTACACTCCTTAGATTGCACCTGGAAACCATAATCTATGGCTTTGTTTAGTTTTCTCTCTTGTCGAAAGTTACATGGTTATTTAGTCTGAACTGAGCAAATTCCTCATATGTCCTCTAATTTGAAGGGACCTTTGTTTTAGACTGAACTGAGCAGATTATATGTCATTTGACTTAGGTCAGTGCATCATATGAACAGTCCCTGGTCGACGCACGGAAGCTCATTGAGCGAGAGATGGAGAGGTTTAAGATCTGTGAGAAAGAGACCAAGACAAAAGCCTTTTCTAAGGAAGGACTGGGTCAGCAACCTAAAACTGTAAGAATGCTTTTTCCAGAGCAGTATAGTGCAAGCTGTCCTTTTTCTCATGTTTAAAGGAAATGTTGGGAAAATAAGTATCAATGAGTGTTTTCCGCTTCTCCGTTGTAGATATGAACAATTTTTCCTTCTAACAACGTCATTGAGTTACTATTTAAACATTTCTGGTTTTCTGAAATCTGTTGGGAACACTTTCGGTGGATTTATTTATTACTTACTGATTGTGTCAGCTTCACGTCTAACAGGACCCAAAAGAGAAGGCAAAGTCGGAGACAAGGGATTGGTTGAACAATGTGGTGAGTTGTGTTGGTGGCCTCGTGCTTAATTATTAATATTTGAACCTATCCTTTAACACAAATGTAAAGAGAATTTAAATTTTAAAGGTTGATGTGCCATGTAAACGAGGTAGTTAGGTCGTCATGAATCATCTTAAATCAGTGCTCTATCTGATTCATCACTCTTTTTTTTTGTTTCTTTTAAGGTGAGTGAACTTGAGTCGCAGATTGATAGCTTTGAAGCTGAGTTGGAAGGACTCTCTGTCAAAAAAGGAAAGACACGGCCACCCAGATTGGTAAGTTCTGAAAAATATGCATAAGTTTGCAAATGCTTTAAATCCTTATCTCGGGTGACTCATGTCACTTGTTTTATTTTTACCTTTCAGACACATCTTGAGACATCTATTACAAGGCACAAGGATCATATAATAAAGTTGGAATTGATCTTGAGGCTTTTGGACAATGATGAATTAAGTCCAGAACAAGTAAATGACGTCAAAGATTTTCTGGACGATTATGTTGAGCGAAATCAGGTCTTTCTCTTCTGTAACCTCGTATATTTTGCTTGTTTGTGTTGTCATTATAAGTAGGCTGATATTCTCCTGGATTATCTTTAACTTTTCTCTATGTAGGATGATTTTGAAGAATTTAGTGATGTCGATGAGCTCTATAGTACGTTGCCACTAGATGAGGTGGAGGGTCTTGAAGATCTAGTTACTGCTGGCCCCCTCGTCAAGGTGAATATTTGTTGCAATTTTTCTGCTTGCTCTTACTTAATCTCTCTGTGGAAACAAGAAGTGCTGTGTCCGTCTGGCGAAAAGAACGCATGAATTCAGAATCTTTTTGAAAGAGTCTAGTTCAGGGCATTTCTGTAATCACCAGTCATATAGATTTAGATTTAGCAATAACATGACTTGAATTTTTCAGGGTACTCCTTTGAGCATGAAGAGTTCTTTGGCAGCGTCAGCATCTCAAGTTCGGGTGAGTATACCTATATCCCTTTCTCTGTTTTTTTATTTGTTTATGTCTTTATTTTGTCCTTGTTTCAGAGTATAAGTTTGCCAACACATCATCAGAGTACTTCTCAAGATAAAACAGAGGATACAACTTTGGATAGCACTTCTGAGACACTTCCAAAAACCCCTCCCCCAAAGAATGGCACCAGCCTTCACTCAGCACCATCAACACCCGTTGGGGGACGTCCAAGTTTGAATGTGCCCGTCAGTAATGTTACAAATGCACCAGTTGCCTTATCCACTTCTATTCCTGTTCAAACTTCCACAGAAAGCATGGGAAGTTTGTCTCCTGTGGCTGCCAAAGAAGAAGACGCAACCACCTTGCCTACCCGTAAACCACCCTCATCTGTTGCTGATGCTCAGTTGAGGGGCATTGGTAGAGTTGGTATTCCCAGTCAGCCCCAACCAAGTCAGCCTCTGTCTCCAAGTCCAGCCAATGGAGCTCGCATTAGTGCAACTTCAGCAGCTGAAGTTGCAAAGAGAAATATAATGGGAGTTGAGAGCAACGTCCAACCTTTAACTTCTTCACTGAGCAAAATGGTATTGCCACCAACTGCGAAGGGTAATGATGGAACTATCTCTGATAGTAACCCTGGTGATGGTGCGGCTAGTATCGGTAGAGCTTTCTCACCGTCCATTGTATCTGGTTCGCAGTGGAGGCCTGGGAGTCCCTTTCAGAGTCAGAATGAAACGGTGCGTGTTAAAATTCAATTATAATCCAAGGATCTTTGGGACATCTGCACTATATTTAAGTTGGTAGTCTGAGCAATATTATGGCTTTACTTGTCAGTTATTCTCCAATTTTGGAATATACTTCAGAAAAGACTTCCGGGTCTTTTGATGTGCAACTCTGTGTAGAGTGGGTATAACATTATCCTAATTAGGCTCTCTTTTGAGATGCATTCTTAGCGTTACACGTCCCATATGGTTGGTTAAGATTTTATTTCCTGGGGTTTGTCTTGTGAAATATGTACATGTTTTTGGCTTTTAGGTCCGTGGGAGGACTGAAATAGCACCAGATCAAAGAGAGAAATTTTTGCAGCGGTTACAGCAAGTACAACAAGGCCACGGTAACCTCGTAGGCATCCCTTCTCTATCTGGAGGAAACGAGAAGCAGTTTTCTTCACAACAGCAAAATCCTCTTTTACAGCAGGTAGTGTATTTTATCTTGTTTGTATGTTGTGTACTTTCCAGGTCTTGAGCACGTTTGTTTTGAATAATATGATATAATCACATGATTATTGGTACCTAAAACATTCCATCATAATAAGAGATAAACTGCTCTAATCTGTTTCTCAGAGCTCTGCCATCTCTCCTCATGGTAGCTTGGGAATTCAGGCACCAGGTTTCAATGTCATGAGTCCTGCCTCCTTACAGCAGCAGTCAAATGCCATGACTCAGCAATTGGGTCAGCAGCCTTCTGTTGCAGGTATAAACCAGCGTTAGGATATAATCAGTAGGTTATGGTATGATTGTTGATAGACACTAATTCTGTGTTTAGCAACTAACATCTATGGTAAAATACCATCTAAGATTTTATATGATTCGATTATAATCATTCTTTGTGAAGTTAGAGCACTTTGCGAAGGAGTTGTACACTTCGTTGCAGTTACTTAACACCTAGAGTCGTTGGCGTTCAGTTTTTGGTTTCGAGTTTTGATAGTGAAGATGAAAAATATCAGCAAAGTAAGAGACCTGTTCTTGATGTGTGTGCAGATGTAGATCATGCCAGAAATGATGATCAGCTGCAGCAGAACTTACCTGATGATTCAACTTCCATAACAGCTTCAAAAACTATTCCAAATGAAGATGAGTCTAGAGGTCTATTTGATACTCCGGTAAGCATGATCTGTGCTCACATTTATTAGTCGTTAATATCTATTTGATATACGCTTTCCATCTGATAGATTTTAACGAAAAGTTAAATGACGAAAAGTTAAAACTGAATAAAATTATTATGTCTTTGTTGGTGTCGTTGAGTGTTTTGAATTGTCATTCCTTCGCTTAAACTTCACATATTCAATTCAATAGTGAATATGGTGTGTGGATACACAGAATCATAACAAGGCAACGTACTAAGGCTGGCCTCTTATCCTACCTACTTTGTGTTTTTTTTCCCATCTACAGTCGGGAATGCCCAGCTACATGTTGGATCCAGTACAGGTGACTAGAGACGGTCCGGATTTCTCTCCTGGACAACCCATACAACCTGGTCAACCTTCAAGTAGCCTTGGGGTCATTGGTCGTAGAAGTAACTCAGAATTAGGAGCCATTGGTGACCCTTCGGTTGTAGGGCCGATGCATGATCAAATGCACAATCTCCTGATGCTTGAAGCTGCTTACTGTAGACTTCCTCAATCCAAAGATTCAGAACGTCCTAAACCCTATTCTCCGGTACACCATTCTTCTGAATCCTCTTTGGCCTCGTTACTTGACAATATTCGCTTAAATTTTCATATTCCCTATGACTTTTGAACAGAGGAACCCAACAATCACACCCCAAACGTTTCCCCAAACGCAAGCGCCAATCATAAACAATCCTTTGTTCTGGGAACGGTTAGGCAGCGACACTTATGGAACCGATACTATGTTCTTTGCATTTTATTATCAGCAGGTAACAAAAACTCAACGCTCTGTTTTTACTAAACCCAAATTTTATTTATCATCTTTGTTGCCTCAGCCTTATCGGTAAAGTATTGTTTTTCTTCTTCTTTGGTTTGTTTAGAACTCTTATCAGCAATATCTAGCTGCAAAAGAGCTGAAGAAACAGTCATGGAGATACCACAGAAAGTTCAACACTTGGTTTCAGAGACATAAAGAGCCATTGATTGCAACAGATGAGTATGAACAAGGTGCCTATGTTTATTTTGATTTCCAAACACCAAAAGACGAGAGTAAAGAAGGAGGATGGTATGATTTGATTCTTTCTTCTTCTTTTTTCAATTATCGATTATTCGTTGAGGTTAATCTTCTTCTTTTTTTTTCGCTGGAGATAATAATCGTAATGTTTTTTTTTTCTTTCTATAAATGTCTGTGTAGGTGTCAGAGGATCAAAAACGACTTCACGTTTGAATACAGTTATCTGGAAGATGAACTTGTCGTGTAGAGAAGAGATATAGATATATCTTTTATATGTATATACTCCTAAGCAAGTGTTATTTTCTGCGTCTATTTGTACTCTTCTTATCAATAAACTAATTACTTTTCGTTTCATAGCCTGAATTTCCTTTTCTTTGAGAACTCTAAAATCAGTCTCTCATCACTGAATCTTTAATGCATAAAATTATTCCAGAAGCCTAATATTCCAAAAAAAAACAGGCTTTATTCATAGCAATCTACAAGCTTTTAGTGCTGTTTTCCTTAGATAATAAAGAGAACTAAATGTAGTAATAACGATTTCATACAATCCTTTATTATTATTTTTTGAGTCTATTTTAAAATAATAACTATGCTCCTCGAAATCTATACAAGAATGTGCATGTACCGAAGATTATGCAGCGTCGGTCTAAGGAAACAGAAAAAGCATTGAGGTACGATGAACTTATGAGCATGGCTTGTTTAGTGGATCGGTGGAAATTTCGTCAGTATAAGCACGTGGAGAGTGTCGTTTTCGGGATTTGACCTGAAGAACGGCGTCGTTCTGCGTGCCAATCAGACAGTCACTTAGACCCCAAGCAATTCACTTTGCGTTTTGCTTAATGTATGAACACAACTCAAAGACCGAACAAAAAAAATATATTATCTAAAAAGAAGCTCAACAGATCTACATTTATTATGTCTAATTCATACGTTCATATAAATCACGATTTACTTTTTTCGGTGATCTAATCGTTTGATGTAATTTATGTGATTAGAGCTGTAATCTAATTACTTTGTACTAATCTCATAGTTGGGTCATGATCCGATTTAAAGTCGAATTATTGAAATATAGTCACTCTGTTTGTAAATTTTTTTTTAGATAAACGTCAATACTCAATAGTAGTAACCTTTAAATCACCAAACCCCAAATCTTCATAATTTTTTCCACCGGCACTCAAAACAGAGAAAAACCAAAATGAGTAATCATCGGAAACAGAGCACCACCGCTTTCATCTTCTTCTGCATCACCATCTCCACCGTATCATTGTTCTCCGGCGACGTATCCGCCTTGGGAGTAAACTGGGGAACTATGGCAACTCACCAGCTACCTCCAAAGACTGTGGTACAGATGTTGAAAGACAACAACGTACAGAAAGTGAAGCTTTTCGACGCCGACACAAACACAATGGGAGCTCTTGCCGGCTCCGGCATCGAAGTTATGGTGGCAATCCCTAACGATCTGCTCAAAGCCATGGGAAGCTATAACAGAGCCAAAGATTGGGTCCGAAGAAACATCACTCGTTTCAACGATGCCGTTAAAATCAAGTAAGTAAGAAAGTTTTGGTTTTTCACCCACAAAAAATAAAGTAAATTGAAAAATTCTGCAACTAAATAAATTAGTTTCATTGCAGATACGTTGCGGTAGGGAATGAAGCATTCTTGTCATCTTACAATGGATCATTCATAAACCTAACTTATCCAGCACTCTTCAACATCCAAAAAGCACTAAACGAAGCTGGAGTCGGAGATTTCATCAAAGCCACTGTACCTTTAAACGCCGACGTCTACAATTCTCCGCCGGAAAACCCAGTTCCTTCCGCCGGAAGATTCCGTCAAGACATCTTTGAAGAGATGAAACTCATAGTCAACTTCTTAGCTCATAACAAAGCTCCTTTCACAGTCAACATTTACCCTTTCCTAAGTCTTTATCTCAGCAGCGACTTCCCTTTCGACTACGCCTTCTTCAACGGCCAAAACACCGTTAACGATAACGGCGTTATCTACACAAACGTCTTCGACGCCAATTTCGATACCCTCTTGGCTTCGCTTAGAGCATTGGGTCACGGAGACATGACGGTTATAGTCGGAGAAGTTGGTTGGCCAACGGACGGTGACAAGAACGCTAATATCCCAAACGCAGAACGCTTCTACTCTGGTCTGCTTCCGAAGCTAGCAGGAAACAGAGGAACACCTATGCGTCCTGGTTACATCGAAGTTTATCTTTTTGGTTTCATCGATGAAGATGCAAAGAGTATAGCTCCTGGAAACTTTGAACGTCACTGGGGGATATTCAGATTCGATGGCCAACCGAAATTTCCGGCGGATTTGTCAGGGGAAGGTAAGAAGAAGATCTTGACCGGAGCTCAGAATGTTCAGTACTTGCAAAACCAGTGGTGTATGTTAAATCCTAATGGCCACAGTTTCAGCAACAACACCAACCAGCTTGGGGATAACGTTAACTACGCGTGTACCTTCTCTGATTGCACCGCTTTGGGGTATGGTTCCTCTTGTGGTAATCTTGATGAGGTAGGGAACGCGTCGTATGCGTTCAACATGTATTTTCAGGTGCAGAATCAGAAAGCAGAGGCTTGTGACTTTGAGGGGCTTGCGATGATCACTACCCGGAATATTTCTCGAGAACAATGCAATTTCCCTATTCAGATGGGAGATCCAACATCAGGGCATTGTGATCATAGCACTAGGTATGGTTCTTCTATTGTCGGGTTGGGTCTGGTTAGTATGTTACTGCTCTTTGTGGCAATATGAGCTTTCAGGTCTTGCTTCTTGATTGGTTTTGGCTTTTTGGTCATGTTCTGTAGTATATTGCTGATTCTTGAGTGCCTATCAAATATAAGAGATTGAATTCGATCCACAGGTCAATCTTGAATTCTGCAGTTTCAAACTTCTTTATTGTAAATTTGTAATGGTTCGAACAAAGTTTACATACTCAATTTCAGAAGCTTAAGCATTGAACAGAGTAACAGGTTGTTAGTAAACTGTTCCAAAAGTTGAAGAAATGAAGGTAAGATAACTAAAAGGTTGTTGACACTCGAAAGTCGAAACCTTTATTATGTGAGGAATGCACCATTAGCAACAATGACTTGCCCATTGATCCACTCACTAGCATCAGTAGCTAAAAAACCAACAACAGAAGCAATGTCTCTGGTCTCGCCAAGCCTACCAAAAGGGCTCCTCTCGATGATGTTCCTCACAGTCTCCTCGCTCTTCCCGTCAAAGAACATCTCAGTCGCGACAGGCCCTGGAGAAACACAGTTTGCAGTGATTCTTGAACCTTTGAGTTCCTTGGCAAGAATCTTCACCATTGTTTCAACTGCTGCCTTTGATGCGGTGTAAGCTCCTTGTCCAGGTATCAAAGCCTCCGTCAATGACGACGTTAACATTATGATCCGGCCACCACCTCCACGTTTTAGCCTCTTTGCAGCTTCTTTACAGCATATGAATGATCCTCTTGTGTTCACTCTGAACAAAGAACAGTTCAAGAATCACAAAACTATCGTGAGGAAAGATGATAACAAAGTCTCTGTAGTCTCACTGATTTGGTGATCATTTTTCCAAAGGCAATCTCTATTCACTGAATGATCATTTTTTTAAAAAAAAAACAGAGCTTAAGAAAGACTTTATTACCAAAAATGGAGAAGAAAAAGCAAAATTGACCTGAAGATGCGATCGAAATCCTCAATGGGAGTGTTGGCGATGGTAGGGTAGTTGGGATCGACGATCCCAGCCGAGTTAACCAGGATGTGAACCGGCGAATTGAAGGCTTTCTCCGCCGTGTCGAAGAGAGACTCAACCTGGCTCGGCTCCGAGACATCCGCGCGGAACACGACGGCTATCGGTTCAGAAACACCACCAGCGACGGCGGATGAGTTGATTTCCGCGGCGACCTGATCGGCGTCAGTGGATCTGGTGGTGTAGTTGACAACTATCTTCGCGCCGAGCTCGGCGAGGTGTATAGCGACGGCTCGGCCAATCCCACGAGATGAACCGGTGACTATCGCGACTCGGCCGGCGAGGGAGAACGATGGAGAAGAAGCTGCAGCCATGAGGACCAAAATTAGTTAGACGACAGTTGACTCCGCCTTTTGGTTGTTAAAATGTGGAACTGAAAACACGACGCCGTTTGTTGTAGAGAATGTCTACAGTGAAAATGTAGATAAATGGCAATCATCAAAGCGTGCCATACTTTAAAGAAACTCTCAGTTTGTACAAAAAAGGAACTAAATAGACGAATTGTTTACATCAATGTTATTTGAATCAACAGAGGAAACAAACACGATGAACCGTGTTTTCTTGAGAAGCAAAATTCCCACACCAATGACTTCCCTCGGAGCCTCAGTTTATGAGAACAAAACCGAGTTCAAGTAAGGCTAACTTCACGCAAAACCTGTGCTGCATCCTCCGGGAAAACAGGGTTTATGTAACACCCTGAGCCAATCTCGAATCCACCTACTCCAGAAAGCTGAGGTACGATCTGTAAGAACCAGTGCGTATATGGTAATTGTGTTTCTGTGACCTTGAGGGGAGAAGTGTGGATCATGTAATTATAAGGAGGGTCGTTTAGTTGCTTTGCTATCTTCTGAAGCATGAGTTTCAGAAGTCCTCCAAGGTCAATAGCCTGAAAATGATCCAAAACTAAGTCAGTAAAAAAGGTGATAAATCTAGGAACTTTCTGCATTGTAGTAACAGTAAAAAGGTTACCTTGACGTCATCGAGATGATGGAAGTGAGAAGAGTGATCCTTGGGAATAATCCAAACCTCAAAGGGGAACGTAGCAGCGAAAGGAGCAACAGAAACAAAGTGGGACGACTCATCAATCACAAAATGTTTTGATTTAGCTTCACAAAGACAACATTTTCCAGTCTCTTCGTAATGATCTTTAGTACCATCAAGTCGTGAAGAAACTGTTGGAGGAATAACTGGAAGAGCCATGATCTGACTGTGGGAGTGACTCATTGATGCTCCAGCCGATGCACCTTGGTTCTTGAAGACCTTTATAATACGAAACACAAACGTACAGAAAGTGAGCTAATTTGGATGAATCTTAACTATTTAAGCAACTCAAATATCCACACATAACCCAAGCATTGATGGAAGGTACATATAGTTTGAATAATCTTAAGTACTGAGATAAAAATGGCTTCTTTTTTGTATGAGAATCTATGGAAAATGCTTACCTGAATGTAATTGATCGAATCATGTTGCGTGATCTGCTCGATCCTCTTCCTGTAGGTGAGCAAGACATCGCCGATACCCACCGGATCGATATCGGAGAGCTCAATCGAGTGAACAGGTGATTCGATCACCACGTCGTGGAATCCGAACCCGACTATACTTCGACTTGTATTCGTCACGGGTTGCTTCGACTGATTCTCGAGATTCCTGCTTAGAGCCGGGTACAGATTCTCGATGACCCGGATTTTCCAATTCGGGTCATCTGGCATACGAAATATCTCCGGAGCACACTCGTGCTCACGGCCGATGCAAAAGGGACACGAGGAAGGTTTCGGATTCGGGTTCTCTGGAGATTTGGACTTAAAATCAGTTGGTCTCTTGGCCCGGGCGGGAGAGAAAATGACCCACCGGTTAGTCACCGAATCCTTCCTGAGCTCAGAAGACCGAGTCTCGACCGAGTCGCCGCCGTGATCAGGTGGATGATTCGGTGACGCCATCCTTCTTCTCCCAGTTGCTACGAAACTTGTGCGATTCCGTTTTGAAGAATTCTAACCGATCGGTTTCGAATAATTGTAAATCAGAGTTGTCGGTCTATCGGTTTATCTAAACCGAACCGAACTTATAAATTCGGTTAATATGCCTTCCCGATGAAATTGCTTATGGGAATGTTTGGTTGAAAGTTGAAAGTTGAAACTTGAAAGCGAAATGGCCAATTTCTTTTTATTTATTTTAGATGCGGGGAGAAAATAATTTCGTAGAAAAAAAAGAGGTAAACACAACTGTACTCAGTCGGGGAAAGAAAAAAAACAATTGTACATTGAAAACATAAAACGAATATTCTAGAGTAAATTCTACAATAAAATTCTTATAAGCTTTGAAAAAGATATCAGAAATTCATTATTTTCCGGGTTTGTTAAGACAAAATAAATTGTGCCTAAGCTACATTTTACACTAATTGTCTATTCAAAATTTTTTTTTTGGCATAAGGATGAAGGATGTGGTTAGACAAAGCCATACACGTGCGTTTTATTGGATACAAGTCCCAATTTTTTTTGTCGTCTAATATAAGTCCCATTTTTATACGTACGAACGTATTAAATTATTGTATGAATAAAATTCAAAATTTAAAAAAAGCATACTAGCAAACCGAACTAAACAGCAATATTAAGACCAGTAACATTGAAGACTGACATGACTAGAAATTTTCTTTTTTTCTTTCGTTCAAAATATAAAGTTTTTCAAGAAACAAGGAAAATAAAATAAAATAAAAATCTTCACCAAATATATGCCAGAATTTTTTCTAAAGTTGATCAATCCTTCCAAGAAAAAAAAATTTTGGCAACCCAAAAAAAAAAAATCCTTCCCCAAATCTGCACCTCCTCTCATCTTACATCTTCGTCTTCATCTCCATCTTCGTCTTCATTATTTATAATCTTAAATCTCTATACAGTTTCTCTTTCTTTCTCCGTCTCTTTGTGTGCTTCACAGCTACAAAGTTCTAACATTTAAATCGCCGTACTTGGAGGAGCTACCGGTTTCTCATTCCTAAATTTTCTAAGGAGATCTGAAAGTTTTAGTTTTTTTGGATCGATTCCATCATCACCATAATCCGATCATCGTTCCTTTGTGTAGGTGTTTTTGATATCTCGATTTTATTCGGTGGTGGTTGTCGTCTTTGGATGTTTTTTTTTTTTTTCTATTTCAAATCTTGTACTTATGTTTTTCTGGAAGATCTTGTTTTTGGATGATGATCGAACGTATTTGTGTGTCAAACTATTGAATCTATAATATTGCTCTCTATTCCTGCTTTTGATGTATTGGCTATCATCTGCTCTCTTTGATAACGCTTTCCTTTCCTCGACGATAACGATGTAGTTGATAACCTTGAGCTAAAGCTGATGACTGTATTGTCTGAATTTGGTTACATATTCTTGTGATTTTGATTTCTTATCTGTTTGATTGGAAAATGCTACTGTTTAAGGATGGAAAAACAATGCTCAAAGTGCAAGCCACTTGCTATCACGATAGATTGGTGTCCTCTATTGTGGATTGTGAAGGAATGCTAATGAAAATGTTTTGTTCACTCTCTACGCAGGTTACGTAAAGAAGTTCACTGAAAAGAAAAAGACTTTCTTACTCTTTTGTATGGAGTAAGAATGCCAGAGTTAAGAAGTGGAGCACGTAGATTGAGACAACCTAGCCCTCAGGTGATTGATCAGGCAGAAAACATTGAACTTCCTCCTCAAACTGTAACAAGGAGAAGAGGTGGTGGTGGGAGAGGAAGAGGAACCGCTGCAGCTTTAGCCAAAGGCGCTGCACCTCCAAGACCAGCCGGTGCTGCTGGTAGGGGTCGAGGCATCAGGTTAATAGATTTAGAGGCTGAACCTTGTGAGGCTCGTCCAGCAGTAGGTGAAGCTGCTTTTAATCAAGCTGAAGGGGCAGCTGATAAGGATATCGCTATGGAAGGTGGTAGCGCGGAGAAAATAGTTGGTGTGGAAGAAGATTCCAGCACAGCTCCAGTCCCTGAAAGGGTAAATGTCATGTTCTAATCTTATGACAATCAGTCACCATTTTTTGTTCGTATGAGAGTGATGTTGATTTTGATTTCGTCTTTGTTTATAGGTACAAGTTGGGAATTCTCCTGTTTATAAGACTGAGAGGAAACTCGGTAAAGGAGGCTTTGGTCAAGTTTTTGTCGGTAGAAGGGTGAGTGGTGGCAGCGATAGGATTGGGGCAGATGCAATTGAGGTATGTTGTAAAGATGCATTCTGAAGATTTACAAGTTATATAGACAAAAGAAGTCAAATGTTTTGAGAAAAATATTGCTTTTTTTCTTCAGGTGGCTCTGAAATTTGAGCACCGAAATAGCAAAGGATGCAATTTTGGCCCACCTTACGAGTGGCAAGTGTACAAGTAAGACTTGCCTTCATTCTATCTTAATTTTCATGCCAAGTTTCTGTTATCAACTTATTTTTCACCTCATCTGTTTTTTTTCGCCTTGTTGTAAAGTACGCTCAACGGTTGCTATGGAGTTCCTGCAGTACATCATAAGGGTCGTCAAGGAGATTTTTACATCCTTGTATGTATTTTAGTATGAACCTTAATAAAATAATTTCAAGATTTACCATGATATTATGTACTGAGAAACTTTTTGATAAATATTTCAGGTTATGGACATGCTTGGTCCGAGCCTTTGGGATGTTTGGAATTCTTCGGGGCAATCGTAAGCACTCTTCTCTTCCCCACACTTTCTTCATTTGGCAAGATTCTTCATATGATCCATGTTCATGACATGTTGCAGGATGTCTCCAAACATGGTAGCATGCATCGCAGTTGAGTCCATATCTATTCTTGAGAAACTTCATATGAAAGGGTTAGTGAACATATTTTCCTTCTAACTTCTTGGCTAATAGTTCCATTCGTTTCGAAGACCACAATATGCTTTCATTGAGTTGATTTTCATGCCATGTTCCACCCCTATCTCAAACTAGGTTTGTCCATGGAGATGTGAAGCCCGAAAACTTTTTACTCGGTCAACCTGGAACAGCAGATGAGAAAAAACTCTACCTTATCGATCTTGGTCTAGGTGAGTTTTTTGATGTCATATACTTTTATGTCTTCTGTCGCTACAATGTTTGTGGGATATTTAAAATGGTTCTCTTATTTGATGTTTTTATTAATGTTCACATAACCTTTCTTTGTTTTAGCATCAAAATGGAAAGATTCGTACTCAGGCCAGCATGTTGAATATGATCAAAGACCTGATGTGTTCAGGTATTGTCATTAATGGATTTTTTTTTATTCCTTCTTTATGTACAAATATATCATTTTTTCTTACATGTAATGTTTTGCATGCAGGGGAACAATAAGGTATGCAAGTGTTCATGCACATCTAGGTCGTACTGGAAGTCGGAGAGATGATCTGGAGTCGTTGGCTTATACTTTAATTTTTCTCCTGAAGGGAAGATTGCCATGGCAAGGTTACCAGGTCTGTTTTTATTTCCGTTCACGACCTTACAATTATATGGGATTCATCTTCTTCATTGTACTCAAATATGTGTATGTATTGTTTGCTGTTTCTGCAGGGTGATAACAAGAGCTTTCTTGTTTGCAAGAAAAAGATGTCAACTTCTCCTGAATTGATGTGCTGTTTTTGTCCACCACCGTTTAAGCTATTCCTCGAAGCAGTTACAAATATGAAGTTTGACGAGGAGCCCAACTATGCGAAGCTTATTTCGATTTTCGATACTCTGATTGAGCCGTGCGCTCTATCTAGACCAGTTAGAATTGATGGGGCTCTGAAGGTTGCTGGCTGTTTTCTCGTTCACATGCTTATTTTCATGGCTTGTTATAAATATTTGTTAAAGTGCTTCTTTTGGCATCTGTATAGGTTGGGCAAAAACGAGGAAGATTACTTCTAAATTTGGAAGAGGATGAACAGCCGAAGAAGAAAATCAGGATAGGCAGTCCTGCTAGTCAATGGATTTCAGTCTATAACGCTCGTCGTCCCATGAAACAAAGGTAACTATTTTTGCATATACATTATAATGTTTCGAAAACACTCAATCAAACTCCTCTCTAACTGTTCGATTTAAAATTTCTTTTGTAGATATCACTACAATGTTGCAGACTCAAGGCTGCACCAGCATGTACAGAAGGGCAATGAAGATGGCCTTTTGATTAGCTGTGTAGCATCAGCAGCTAACCTTTGGGCCCTCATCATGGATGCTGGAACTGGATTTACCTCTCAAGTTTATGAATTGTCAACGGTCTTCCTGCACAAGGTAATAATCAGTTGAAACAATTGGAAAATCAATCTGTTGTTTGCAGTAAGTTAGTAACTCACCATTATTTTTCTTCGCAGGACTGGATTATGGAGCAATGGGAAAAGAACTACTATATAAGTTCCATAGCTGGTGCAGATAACGGGAGCTCGTTAGTTGTTATGTCAAAAGGTTGGTGTTAATGGGTAGTAATCTTTGCAAAATTATGTTACACTCGACTATAACAAATACCATACTTACATCATAACCTTCTAACACGAAGTCTTCTTTACTTATTTCTACTTGTTGTTGTGACTTGGTAGGAACTTCTTATACACAGCAATCTTACAAAGTGAGCGACTCATTTCCTTTCAAGTGGATAAATAAGAAATGGAAAGAAGATTTTCATGTAACCTCCATGACAACTGCTGGAAATCGTTGGGGTGTGGTAATGTCGAGGAACTCTGGTTTCTCTGAGCAGGTAACTTTCCATCTCTTTTACCAGACATATTGTTTTTCCTTGTTGTCATCTTTTCCGCTAATAACCTTTGTTCGGATATGATAAATTGCGTTAAAAGGTGGTGGAGCTTGACTTTTTGTACCCAAGCGATGGAATACATAGGAGGTGGGAGAGTGGGTATAGAATAACATCAATGGCAGCAACTGCAGATCAAGCAGCTTTCATATTGAGCATACCAAAACGTAAAATGATGGATGAAACTCAAGAGACTCTTCGCACCACTGCCTTTCCAAGCACACACGTCAAGGTGGGTTTCTTTAGTTTTGAACAAAGGTTGGATCTTTTTGCTTTTCTTCTGTTTCCATATACTGAAAATAGGATCTTCGCGGTGTTGGTTGATTTTCAGGACAAATGGGCGAAAAATCTGTACATTGCATCAATATGTTATGGCAGGACAGTGTGCTGATACACAGACTTACCATCATATGTTCTGTGAGAAAGCCAAAAGACAAGTGGAGCTGAAGGGTGTCATAATACAGTGAAACCAGACGTTACCTGTTCGTTGAAATGTAATGTAATGGATGTGTCGTGGTGGTATGTATGTACGGGTACAAAAAGATAGAAAAGAGAAGCTGGAATTAGTAATAGAAAGATTTGAGGGCTTTTTAAGCCTTCAAAGTGTGTGCTTATTTATTGCTATCATTTGCGTTGTTTAATGAGTCTCGAGGTTTGTTGTTTTTTCGAAGTGTCTGATAAGTGAAGCGTGAGGGCGCCAAACCAAACTTAAACCTACATAAGCATACATAAATAATTAAGAGATTTTTTAAGAAATAGATGATATTCAAATCTTTTAAACTCACTCATCTCCTGAAGCAAAGTCACTCGGATTTGCCACCGTCTGTATCAAACAGGACATAGTCCGAATTCTAGCTCATTATTTTGTTTAGAAGTTTACTCAGTTTCCCAAAGACGGGAAGTTGTAAGAAATCTGACTTTGTGCCTTTTTATTCAGCTGACTAGCATCTAAATTTTTGAGGAATCTTTTCGTTTTGTCTTATCAAGTATCAGGATTTATATCTACCTGAATATGCCTAATTTGTTCAATAATGTATAAACTCAGTTACACATAAATAGTTTGGTTAAATCAACAAATGATATATGCCCACACCAAAAAAATTACAAAATTATTGTTTACTAGCATAATGTCAATTCGACCAAAAAAAAAATAATGTCAATTCGCTAAAAGGTTTTTAACCTCCTGCTTCGATGTATGTACATACGTTAAATTTTCGGTTAAGTTGTAACCGGTCTGCGACTACTGAAAACCCTAGTAGTCACTGCTTTTTTAAAAAAACTTTTTTTTTTTGTGAAAAGGTAGTCTCTATGCTCACCTAAATCCTCCAAAACCTCGAGAGGAGCAGAGCGCAGAAAGAAGAACAAAAGCCAAAAAGATGAGACCACCACGTGGCGGCGGGAGCTTCAGGGGAAGGGGAGGAAGAGATAGCGGCGGACGCGGAGCTGGTGGACGTTTTAATAGCTTTGGTCGTGGAGGTGGCCGCTTTGGTCGCGACGAAGGACCTCCCAGCGAAGTTGTTGGTTCGTCTTCTTTACGATTCTCTGTTTTTCTTTTATCGATCAAACAGAAAAAACCTATTGTCAAAGCTCTCTGTTATTGTCTTCGTTATGACAAGGTTTCTTTCTTGGTTATTACAGAAGTTGCAACCTTCCTCCATGCTTGTGAGGGTGATGCTGTGACCAAGCTCTCGCATGAGAAAATCCCCTACTTTAATGCCCCAATCTACCTTCAAAACAAGACTCAGATTGGAAAAGTAGATGAGATCTTTGGTCCCATTAATGAATCTGTATGTGTTTAATCTCTCTCCCTCTCTGTGTTGCCTTCTTCTTCCACTGATCTTCTCACTAATACTGAAAGCATTGCCTCTTTTCTCAGCTGTTTTCTATCAAAATGATGGAAGGTATCGTAGCGACCTCGTATAGTGAAGGTGATAAGTTCTTCATCGACCCTGCCAAGCTTTTACCTTTAGCAAGATTCCTTCCTCAGCCAAAGTAAGCCACACTTCTTAACTCCATTGTCTAAAAGATAGCTTTGTTCTGGTATCTACCCTTCTTGAGTCACCAATTCTTAGGGCGCGTAAGCAGTAGAACCCACTTGTTGAAGTATTAGTACCAAGTATCTAACAACTGTCTTGTTCTGTTCTTCTTGCAGGGGACAATCCGGTAGAGGCCGTGGTTTAGGTCGTGGAGATGGAAGAGGAAGAGGCCGAGGTAGAGGCGCTCCGATGAATCGTGGCAGAGGTGGTCCGCTGAATCGTGGCAGAGGTGCTCCTAGGGGACGTGGCGGATTTTCCAGAGGCCGAGGGAGAGGATACTAATCTATAGCCTTAGCATGTAATTCCTCTTTTTAATCTTGGATAATGAAAATGCTTTTAATAACCATGATGATGATAATCGTTTTCCAGACTCTAGTGTTTGATACTTTGGTTAATCAAGTGAGTAAAATGTCGATCAACTTTCAGAGTCATTGGTTTTATTAAATACAGAAGCATCATCTGGTTACTATAAAACTCAGAACTGTTAACTCAGGATGATCTCTAAGCCAAAAGTAAGATGAAAAAAGAAGAGGATTAGAGAGTTGTCTCGTTTTATTAAAGAGTTTGATAGAGATGAGAGAATCTCAAGCTCCCCAGCCTCTCAGAATGGTAGCCCGAGCAACACGATTAACACCGAGTGTGAAAGCTCCCATCCGGAGATCACAGGAATGAGTTTTGCACATCTCTTTCAAGTCCTTGAATCCACGGGTCATATAAGTCTTTAGCTCATCGTTCACCTTCTCTTCCTCCCACATAAACCCTTGTATGTTCTGCACATTACACCACAAACAACTAAGCTGATCAATCTGTACTTGGTTTGGCCAAGGTTAGTGAAATTAGAAGACTCATACCTGAACCCATTCAAAGTAACTGACAGTGACTCCTCCAGAGTTTGCATATATGTCTGGAAGTATTACAACACCTTTCTTACTCAAGATCTGTAATACAAGAGTCTCCCTTACAGCTTTGCAATGAGAATTTCTTTAAGGTAAAACAGTAATGAATCATTCAAACCTCATCACCGTCGGGATCAGTTGGATGATTAGCAGCTTCAATAATGAACTTTGCTTTAATCTCATTCGCATTCTCCCTTTAAACCAAATCCAAGTTAGTACTTTGAGAGAAAGTTTTCACAAAAGCTTGTGTAGCAAAACAAAAAGAAGCTTGAAACCTGTTGATAACACCGCCAAGTGCTGCAGGGATGAGGATATCACAATCCTCGACCAGTATCGAATTTGAATCGATAGGATCTGCACCATCAAACCCTTTAACACCTCTGTGTTCTCTGGTATAGTTGAGCAAGCTTGGTATATCGATCCCGTCCTTGTTCTTGATTGCTCCTGTAATGTCACTCACCGCAACAATCTTCCCACCTTTTTCACTTATCAGCTTCGCCGCCCAAGAACCCACATTCCCAAATCCCTAAAGAAACCAACATGTAAAACCTGTCTTTTAGTTCCCAAGAAACCGCAAATGGAGAACTGTTTTTAAACAACTTCACCTGAATAACAAAACGCTGCCCCGATATGCTCTTGCCGTGCTCGTTAAGCAAAGCTTCGGTTCCAAACATAACTCCTCTTCCAGTAGCCGCATCCCTCCCTAGCGATCCACCAAGATCCTGCTCAGAAAACATCATTACCATATTCAGGTGAATTGTCAAATGATTCGCAAAACAAAACCGTGATTACTGTAACTTACAATGGGTTTTCCAGTCACAACAGCAGGCGAGTATCCGTGGAATTTAGAGTACTCATCAAGAATCCAAGCCATTGTCTGCAAAAAGAGAAAGAGTTTAAGAAATGACTCAAAGACGCAAAAAAAAAAACGTTTTTTGAGAGCTTTTCAAGAAACCTGAGGACCAGTGCCCATATCTGGAGCTGGAACATCGGTGTGAATCCCAATGAGATCATGAATCTTCTGAGTGAAAACTCGAGTCAGTCGCTCGAGCTCAGATATGCTGAGCTTGCTCGGGTCACAACCAATCCCTCCTTTGGCTCCTCCGTACGGAATCTTAGCCACTGCTGTTTTCCATGTCATGAGCTGAGCCAATGCGTTCACCTCGTCCGGTTCAACCTGTCACGAGGATAACCGATTACCGGTTTCCATCATTACCGAACCGAAATTGTGTACTGGTTTTGAAGAGAAAAAGTCAAAATCAAAACCTCGGGATGATATCTGATTCCACCTTTCATGGGACCTCTTGCATTGTCGTGTTGGACTCTGAAACCAACGAATGAGGCTAGTGTCCCATCGTCTTTCGGTATGGTACACTCCACCTGCAAAATTTTGATTTTCAGTGGTTCGTTCCGGTTATATGATTCAGTAACCGGAGCGGTGTATAAGACCCGTAAAATAACGGGTCGGGTTTCAAAACAGAAGCGAATTTCGGAAATCATTTTTTCTTTTAAAACCCGTCTCCTCCGTGAAGATCCGCCGCGAAGAATCATCTCCGGCGCCGGCGAAGGCACTCGATCAGGAATGATTATCGGAGAGACCCCCAAAAAAAGAGAACAATCGAATTTCCGCGAGTGGAAATAAATAAATAGAAGGAATTGAAGTAGAAGAAATCGATAATATCGAACCTTGATTTCTCTGAAGGGGATGAGAAGACTTTTCTCAAGCTTAGAATCCAAACCCAGAAGCTTAGAAGCTAGCTTGAAGTTTCTGTTTGTTGCTGCTAAAGCATTCATAGCTTCTTCTTCCTCTCACTTCTTTTTTTTTTCAGGGCTTTGATCACAACGCTGAATTAAACGATGATGAGTATCAGTTAAATTGTAAGTGTATATTTACTACTCCTATACACACACATATATATATATAATAGTGTGTAGGATACTGAATTCACAGCACGTGATCGATGCTTAGGTAAGATTCAGTGGAGGTGGAGCTGATTACGGAAAATTATAAAAGTCAAGAACACAATACTACTTATAATAATTATGCGATAAAAGGATAATTATTGGTTTTCATCAAAGATTAATTTTGATAAATTAAGACAAACATACAATACTTTAAGACAACTCAAGAGTCGTTTTTCTTTTTATAACACAACTAATCTAATCTCTACCGTTTAATCTCTAACGACATATCAATCATGAGTTTAGATTCTTAGAATTTAGAATGTATGAGTGTTTTACTTGAAACTTACCTAAATTTTGGATTAATTAATAGACTATAATTCTTTGGACACATATCATTAATGTTTCAGTTCATATGTACTATTGGACATGTAAACACATACATATGTTTGGGATGTCATTGGAAATAATCCCAATAAGAAATTATAGTTTTAAAATATCAATTGTATTGTGTTATGTGTTTGTCAGAACATAATCTAGCCAGTGGAATAAGAACATTCTGTGTACGGTGCATGTAATTATATGCCATATAAGGGCCTGAGGCTAAATATTCCTAAGGAAAATAAGTGGAGGATGTGACATATGCATAACATAATATTTTCATTAGGATAGAATATGGTTGCATCGTCATGTTCGCATCAAATCACCATTTCTTTGATTTTTTCAAAATTGGTGTATGTTGACTTGTAAGCAATCTTATCCACTCTGTGTCTTTTGTTATCCCATCCCAGTTAAAATATGCGTCCAAATCACATTACACATGTACAAAATTCAAGTTTTATAACGTTGGTTAATAGTTTGTAACAATGTTTCCGAATAGATAAATATATTTCACTACCATTGGTCACGATAGCCAATTGTCACTTAACTAAAGACTAGTTTCTGATTCCGCGTCTAGGATACAACGACTGCTTTTATTTCTTCTGGAGGCTATTGAACATTTCAAGATATATCAACCTTGTCTTTGTGTGATTTCAAAATATGTTTTTTATTTGTATTTGTCAGTGTTGGAGTTGGATTCGTGGTGAAGTAACTGTAGGAGACAAAGGCATGTGCTTTGACTAGGCGTTTGCAGCCTAATACTAGCTTAGGCTTCTTCTATTATACACGTATAGAAGCAGGAATCTCTAGTTTGCTTATAGATGTTCCTCCATATCATCAACTAAAAAACAAATGCCACTGTTTCTAACTTCTAAGAGATTTAAATCGCTACCATAAATATATGCAATAGTCTCAAAAGCAGAACCCACATTGTTTATAACACATGTTGGGATCCATATCTCTACAATGTAATGATCAAATTATGATAACGCCCTTCCATGGGAACGGATTAATATCACAAGAAAAAATTGTAAGAAAAACACAAAATTTGGTGCCATTTTAAGGAAAACAAAAGAAAAAAGAATTGGTATAGATGTCCAGTATCTCTAAGCTCCGATGGTTTGGTTATAGATGTCAGGTACTTTCTTATGTAACTTTTTTTACTTTACGAGAAGAAGTATTTTTCTATTTCTGACACAAAAGATTACATGAAAAATACTAGAACATAACAGAGAATCTTAGGTGCAATTTAAAACAGATGCTCTAACAGGTTTCTTCTACTGTCTTTAGCTACATTATAGTATTCTGACTCTCTAAAATACTATATTATTTTTTGACTCTCTACATTATTTTTTGGGTCATGATTTGATATTTTGTTCTTGTTTAGGTGAAAAGTGAAAGACTTTACAAAGCGGGAGCTGGAGTGGTTGCGCATGTTGCAAATACCATAAAACAGCAAGAGTCTTCCACCTTTATCGCCGCTAGCTTGTGAACTTTGCAAGTCTTCGAGTGTTTCACCGGTTAATGTTGAGTGTGAAGTTCCTTCCCGCCACATACATTTAAACCATAATACTGTTTTTTTTTTTTTCCTACTATACAGCTTGGGAAATTGGTGCCGATCAAGAACGTTTGCATTCTTGATTTTTTGTTTTTTTGTTTTTTTTATAGGAAGTACAATCCAATTCATTTGTACATTATTTTCTTGTAATAGCTTGGTGATAGATGGTACGCCACTTTAAAGATGTTATATATATTCAAGTCTCTACTGATTTTTGTTTCCCAATTCAAAATTACAGATTCATGTCGAGCTCTAGAAATTCTCTAGTCGGTTCGTTTTGGAATTACATAACAGGGATTAAGGAATTATCAAATCATGACCCAAAAAATAAGCCCCAACTATGGGATTCAATCAATCAGTGATATGATTACAACAAAAAAAGATCTTAAGAAATCAAATAAATAAAGTATCAACCTAAGAAGAAAAAAAAATGATGAAAGCTCTTACAAAGATGAAATGAGACTCTCAATGTGATTTGGAATAACAGATAACTCAAAGCGAAGATCGAATCCAACTTCATCGAGTCGCCTAATATCGTCACCTGAAATTCCTCCATGCTTAACTTCCCTTATACTGCTTTTCTTGGGATCAAAATACGCAATAGAGAAGGATCCATACAAACTCTCTTGTGGCTTTACTGTACAAATAGATTTACCACCCTCACCAGTTTTGCGTTGATAAGTATAAGCTGGTGTATAAACGTAAATAAATTCACCAGCATCAGTAAAACCTCTCAACATCCATTTTCGGCAAGGAAGAGGAGGTGGACCAAAGTGTTGTAATATCCATTTGTGATTCTCTGCATCCTCCAAAATCCATAAATCAACACCAGAGACAATATTGGATCTCATTATAAAAGCTAATCTTCCCTCATAAGATGACAAAATACCGAGGTTCTTCTCATCATTCGGAAACTCAATCAAACTCAGCTCTTCAGATCTGAGATCAAAGCACATTATCACATGGTTCGTACGTACAAAAGCCTCGTAGTAAATGACGCCATTAATACATCGCCCAGGAGCTGGAGCAGGCACATGCTCAGGAATATCTTTGGATATTATTTTCCATGATTCTTGAGCTCCTCCCAATGTAAGAATGCCAATCTTGTTAAATGTCAAAATGCATACCGCCTTGTATTTACCGTTAACCGGATCATATCCCAAAAAAGATCCCGTCGTCTGATGACATCCAGCCGGTTTGGGTAAACTGAAGACGACGCGTCTCATGGTTGGGTTCCAAATCTCGAACTGTGTAGAGCTTTTCAAGCACATCAAGCCGTTTACGGAATCATAACGGTTGCGATGACCATTATCATAGAATGTATTCTCTAATTGATCAGGATATTGATCTTCTGGTTTATTCTGGTGTAACGGAGAAAAGAAAAAGAATATCTTGTCGAGTTTTTTAAAGAGTAGCAGAACACAGGGCCGTGATGGCGAGGAACGCGTCTGGAACGAGTTGATGAAATCTGGAGTGGTGGTGATAGAAGACCAGAGCTTAGAGACAGCTCGTGACCTCACGATCGATTTCGCTGAAGGCAGTCTCGGGACTATCTCGAGGATCAACTCGGGAGGAATATGGTATGATATTTGAGATATCGTGTTTTCATGATCATCATCATCATGATGTGAAGATGACTGTGTTGTTTGCTTGATGTTGTCTCTCTGCTTCTCTGTCATGGCTGCTCGATCGCTAAACCCTAATCTGTGTTTATCAAAAGAATAATAAGACAACCCTAACTTGTTGCGGTTTTTTATAGCTGCGCGTTTTTTTTTTAATAATAATTTTAACCCGATTGGAAACCGGGTTATGCCTAAACCTAGTCCACAGAGGAATAATAATAGTCTTACTAAGAAGAATTAAATATTTAAACCCACACGAATATATGAAAACATGTGTTAAGTATTCATTACCAATTAGAATTGAATTGAAAACTCATGAAATTTCACATATTATCAAAATCCATGGCACGAAATAAACTCACTAGCAGTAAATTAATTATAGTCCTAAAATCTAGCTAAGGCCTCCAGTGTCAAGGAAGAATGTGGTTGTTTTTTTTTTGTTGAACAAAAGATTGTGGTTGTTAAGGCTAATATTTTTTTCATAAGGTACCTTATTAAAACCACCACTACGACGACCTTCTACAGAGATCCATGTCTCAAAATGTTCAATTTTTCTTGAATTCAAAATGCATGTAACTAAGGCTAATCTTCCCTTTGCTTTTGAAGATGTCCGGTATCGCTAAGCTGATGGTCGTTTAATAACTACTATTTTCGTTTTGATCTAACCCATTACAAATATATAACCGTATTCCATGAATATGTGTATATAAGACGATGTCTGTTAGACTGTAGTTACCAAGGTGCAACGACAATATTTGACTGCTATTTTTTATTTGATCTACCCCCATTAAAATAATTGCTCAATTACGTTGGTACAAAGTATCAACATATAGGCTCACCAGCATATATGTCCATCCAACGTTACAGAATGTTATTATCTTAGATTGAATCATTCTAAAAACTCATTTTTTTACATAGCAAGATGAGAAAGCAATCTGAACTCTCTCTTTCTCATTATTTTATAGTTTCGTTTCACATAAGCATTACTTCTTCAAAGGCTGACATAGGCTCGGAATTGCATTTTCCGAAATCCGATGCTTTTGTTTCTTGGGGAGCTATTTAAAAGATCGGTCTCTTAGATAGGAGTAACATTTTTTCGATGTGTTGGACAAATAGTTCGAGGATATTACAATACACACACGTTTCAGCAGTGTTCTCTTAAATGTGAATACGTTAGTATATATGGGTGTCTAGAAAGAAAAAAAAAAATCAAGAAGTCCTGGCCAAAACTCCAAAACAAACCAACCCATACCTGCAAAACCCGGTTTCATAGTAGATGAAGTGGGATTCCATATTAGCAATTGCTTAAGTGTTATACCTAATCACATTGAGAGTCTGGAAGGGCTTTTGGAAGAGTCTATTTCAATTAAAACTTTGTGAAAAGTCTATTTCAATTAAACCTCTGTGAAGAGTCTATTTCAATTCAATAATTGCGTCCCGTTGACTAAACTTCATCATACATGATACATTACAATTATACAAGTATACAAGTGGTTGTTGAGGTCATCCCCTTCTAGTCTTTCCTCATTTACATTAACTTATTTTTTTAGTTTAATTTGGAAAAGAATTGTTTCAAATTTGGGAAACAAATAAATATTTTTTTTGCAACACAAAAAAGACTTCAAAACAATAACAATTTCATAGAACTGAAGGATTTGCGACAAAAAAAAAGAACTGAAGGATTTAATTGGAACATAAAAAGATAATGGGGCTGTTTTATAGATTGTAGGAATATGATGGGGTTTTAAGTCATTGACGTATTTGTCAAAATACTAATTCCTACTATCCTCCCATTGCTGAAAAATTCAGAAACGCGTTTCCTTTTTCTCGCAGAGAGAGAGAGGGAAACATGTCGTAATGTAATCTTCCTTTGCCTTAAATTTCTCCATTTCTTTTGTTTCTCTTTCTCCCACCAATCCGTTTCCCAGAAATCCACGAACCCTAGAGTTATCATTCCTCTTCGACACATTGAGATCAAATCAAATTTCATCTTCTTTTTTGTTTTCTCCCATCTTTTTCCATATGTGTCCGTTGAGGTTCCTATTGGTGTTCTTCTCGGCTATCCTCGCCGGATATTTCGCGTGGAAGACGGTGAGTTCTTCGCCGGACCTCAACTCAGACGACTCACCGGTCGAATTGAACGATAAAGAAGGACTCAATTTCAGAAAGGTAACCAGAAAATCTTGTTGCTATTCGTTAATTTCATGAATTTTCGTTTTCAGTTTCTGGGATTTTCTAACTTCTTTGTTGTTCACCGGCGATCAACAGAAGATGGAGAATGGCTTCTGGGTGTTCGTCGATATGGCCAGCGGAAGATACCTTTGGAGGAATTACAAGGAAATGAAAGAGAAAAGTCAATGAGAAGGCTTTCACTCAAGGTTTCGTCTTTTTTTGTTTGGTCTCTTCTTTTGTGCAGAAAGTTAAAGAACAATGATAATTCTTAGACGAGTTTGTAACCATCTCTCTGCTCTATCTTCCCCTTGAGTTTTTGTAATTTGATTAATTGATACTTCTCTGTGTAAACTGTAATCTGGAAACTAAAAAGGTAAAAAAGAGTTTGTAACTTTCAAGCAATTTCTTCTCTTTACTACTTAGTATTCAATTTTCTCCACACGCAAAATCAAAAATACAGATCATCAGATCATAGGAGCACACTCCTCATCTTACGAGAAATTGGCAACAGAGAAGTTAACAATGTGCATCTAATTATTTACAACCTAGCTTTGAGATTAAATTAAACCGACGTACGTGTGAAATCGGAAAAGATTCACCTCGAGTCGACTTGAAGCTTGATTGACATGTAGAGGAGGGTGAGAAGAGCTCCTTGTGGAAGAGGAGCATGTCTAGCTAAATTGGAGCCAACCCACATCGCAACTACCACAAGAACCACCACACTGCTGCTCGCTTTCCCACATAGCCAGCTTGCAAACGTTAGACAGAGAGTGAGAAGGATACCGCCTTTGCCACCTAGTATCCAAGCAATCATGAACCCGACTTTGTAACCCATGTCAAGTTCCTTGTCGAACAAAGCCGTGAAGGTGCTAAACGTGAGAGATGCTAGACACCCGAGTGTATATAAGAGAAACATCGATAGGAAAGCGGATTTGAGAGCATTGACAAAGGAGTCGCTCTGTTCTTGTGCCGTTTCTTCTTCTTCTTCTTGTGGCTCACTGTCGGTCTCACTGTAGAAATGTGGGTTTGGATACGTAGAATATTGTCCATGGACTCTGTCGTATCTGGATGCCCGTCTTTTCTCAGACCAGCTGTGATAATACTTCATGGCATCTTCAAGCTCAGGGTCAAGAGTGTTGTAGTAGTGCGTTTTCACTCTAGAGAACTTGGAATTTTCTTGAAGTTTAAGTGCTCGGTCGTACTGAGTCCTTGTAGCTTCATTAGATAGTACCTTTTGGAAAATAGATACAGGTAAAAGTGAAATAAGAAATTGGATTCCAAGAATAAACACAAAACTCCAGGCTAAGCACTCAGATTCATATATGAGTCATCGAAGGAAAAAGAGCTTTAAAAAGGAATACCCACTTCGTAGGAACAACGAATGCTCTTGAATAACTCTCCGGCTCTAGAGTCCTTATTCACATCAGGATGAAACTACAATAGCAACACAAGATTATTGTCAAAAAACATAACCCAAACAAAGCTGAGAAAAATAGGAGCATATTCATGATATTTAGCCTATGTTCAATCATCTAACTTTCGTGGCTAGAACTTAGAAGAAAGTGGTCGTGTTCTCAACAACTCTAAGTCTTAGCTCAGTAAGAACCTAATTACTCTTGATTGAAATTTCACATCTTAAAACATGATCGAAGCAACGATGCCAAAACCATGAAAAAAAATACAAAATGAAAAAAAGAGCCCCCAAAGACACATCCTTTACCTTTCGAGCGAGCAGGCGATAAGCTCTCTTAATGTCAGCTTGTGTGGAATTGCGAGCGATGCCCAGAACAACGTAGTGATTCTTCCCGCCGGAATTGTAAGCCGAAGAAGACGACGAAGAAGCAACAGTGGTTTTCCAGCGAGTGCGGTGACACCGAGATCTGCCGTCACGGTGCCTTCGACGGTGGTGGTATAGGTCACGGCCAAGAGGATTGAACGACGGAGGGAGGAGATGGCCGGAGAAGGCGGCGGATGAGAGCCGACGGCAGCCCTTGATTGGGGCGGGACCCACCAGAAGGTGAGTCTGCATTATCTTCCTTCACTCACAGTCACAAAGGTCTCACCACTGACGTTAAGAAGCGGGTTTTGACGGAGGGCCGTTAATTAAAGAAATATTTGCGGGTCAGATAATCGGATCTCACTAATTTTGGTTTGGTTTCGTTTAGTAATCTGGACTATGGGCCGTCTTTGGATAACTTGATTCTTTTGTTGATGGAGCTTGAAAAGTACAAATTACAAATTTTTATGGTCCCAGTCCCTCTTTGTTATCTTTGCTTGCAATTTAGTAAAAATAAAATTTCTATGCCTACTCCGTCTGAAAAGTTTGATTGTATATTTTTTTTTTTTCGTTACAGAACATAATGTATCTAAACTCTTGTATTTATCTAAATTCCGTCAATTAAACATATATGAACATTATAATGCATGGTCGGTTTTTAGGGAGTTGTGGCTGTGTTTTAGCTGCTAGAGATGCTATTGCGGACATTTTTGTTAAGACTTAAGACTCGTTCCATGGAAATCGTCCTTGGTGATCGAATGCATCATCGATTTTCTTTTTTAAGCGGTAACTCCAAATTTTAGTGGCTTTTAACCGAGTTTTTTTTAAAAAATAATATAAAATAATATTAATATAAGAAACTTTACAAACATCGTTTATTGACTTTCCTATATTCGTATATATATAGAGCCCGTTGGTAATCAGTACAATGATGGCTCTCATGGCTATGAATGAAGTTAAAGTCCATCGTAGTATCCTCCAAAAGATATCTGAGCCCTTGCCACCGGAAGACCTTTCATCACAGATATTGCTTCATTTAGCTTTGTTGCATGCTTCACAACTTCATTCATTCGCTGCAATATGTATCAAAACATTATTTTAAAATACATGTTTTCATACATAAATCAACTTTAAAACCAACGAGTTTGGACATTTAAAAGAAAAAAGTCTGACCCATGACTAATTTAGATGATTAATTTTGGCTACAAACATATATGTTCTTACATGCACATCGCCAATAAATCTATACCAATAACAACTGACTCGATTCCAAATAAAACATCTCTAGGCTCTAGCTGATACTAATAATATGCACATGACTTGAAAGTAAAAGAAAGGAACAATGACGTTTTTCTAAACGTGTTTATATTCAAAGTGTGACTTTGACGCAAAGAAATATAAAACATAAAATGTAGAAAGACAAAATAAGAATCTTCTCTACAATTATTATTGATCGTTCACTAAGACACGTAATATGCCACACCGCCAAACGCATCCTTATCACTTTGGTCGTGTAAATTTGTATAAGTTGAGATTTAACCTTTTTGTGCAAACATTTTGAGATTTAACTTTAATAACGATTAGCCACTAAAGGAAGCATAACAAACTTATTAACCATTGGTCAATAGTCTTAATTTATCCAAATAGATCAAAAATAACAAACAACTTTTTTTATTTAAGTTTAATTCATGGGATAAAATTCAGAGACTAGCTTTGAAGTTAAATGGTTAAGAGGGAACCCAACTAAGAGTCATCGTAAGTACAACATTTAGAAGGTCTTAGAAGCGGCTAGCCTAAAATCTCTGGATATTTTTAATTACTTTTGCCTCATTAATAACATTTTTTTGTCGGTCTAATCAATTTCACATTTGAACCCAAAAAAAAAGTTCATTGCAGGTTCCTTAACAATTTGATTTGGATTAAGAATCATAATTAAAAAAAGAAATACCTTATTATCATCAGAGTAAATCTGGAACCTGAGGATCTGGTTCTTGTTCCGACAACCTTGGATGTTATTGTTGTGTCCAAGGAAGAAGACACAGATGGTGGCAGCAGCAGCTGCAACACCAAATGAACATATAGCTCCAATTCCATTAAGACCCATCTTCCACAGATTCATTTTTCCACCACATATGTTCTCATCTTCATCCCAATCAACCCCTTTCTTGCTTCTCAAGTCACCACCTTCTTCAACCTTCGATCCCATGATTTCATCGAAGTAATCTCCTCCTAACCCTCCTTCTGAGTCAGAGTGTTTCTCATCGTTCCGAGGCAGAGGACTTGTGAACCTCGCTGATAGTGGTAGCTCTATTTTCATGTCGGCAAATTCGTTTTCCTTCGTTGTTTTGAAGGTTATTCTCGGAGACGGAACAGAGTCCGTTAAAAGTTCCGGGTCAGGATCCGGGAAATCCGGATCCGGGTTCCTCTTGTGATCTGTGTCGTCCAAGGTGGATACGGGTTCCCAAGTTATGGGAACTTGGAGGAGCTGTGGGGGGACCAGGCTTGATCTTTGACGAAACTCTGTTTTTTCGACAGAATCTTGTGTTGGGCAGATGAAGTAATCCATGTCGAAGCTTTTCCCGGCGTTTCTGGTCATCTTCATCGCTGCCTCATGATCCTCGTCGTGATCGAGGTCGAGATCGAGACCCTTGTAGTTGTTTTTGGGGAGTAATTCCCAATCTTCTAGATCCATGTCCTTCGATTTGTCGATTGATTACTCTGATTAGGATTTTGGCAAAAAGAGAGGATTTTTAAAAAGGTTTTATTTTCGGGTAAGTGTGATCTTTTCAATTATTGGGTTTGGTAATTTTGAGGAGAGACGTCTATCTCTCTCTCTCTCTTTCTCTCTTTCTCTCATCGTTGTGAAGTGCTTTCTAGATCCTTTAATAGAGCAAAGAAGAAGAAGAGACCAAAAAGAAAAATCAGACTCCGAAATGGTTACGGTTATTGTAAACGGTTGGAGTTATACAACTACAAGTCTACAAGCCATATTGATGCAGTTAGTGTACTTAGTGTAGTCACTGTTAAAATAAGGTATTGATCATAGTATAAAATGTTGTCAGTGATCCTGATAAACATAATTATTGTAGTCACTGTTAAAATAATGTTTCTCTTTTTTTCTTTCTATAAAAAGGTCTTATTAACATAATCAAATAGTGATAGCGTAGTCGTAAAATTATCCAAATACATCGTGTTAAGTCATTTTCTGTTTGGAAATGATTATCATTGGAAACTCTTTCATTTTCATTTACCAATTAAGTTATTTGAAAGCTGCTCTAACTCAAGTAAATTAGCGAAGTGGTAAAAGACTGGATTCTTATTATAACAATATAAAAATATGTATAGTGTTAAAACTTAAAACATAAATATTTTATAAGATTCAAAGATTACTAGCAATCTTATGGGATCTTATATTAATTGTAATTGGTGAAACTATAAATATTAATCTAATGTATTTTGAAGGCGTGGGCTGTGAGGTAAGTCGCTTAGAGCTTATCTACACATGAAGTGACAAAAGAAGATGTTACTGTTTTTGGACCCACATCAAGGAAGTAGCGATGGTCCTCTTTGACAAGGTCCCTTCTCTCTCGTTCATGTGTTATTTCTCAACCATTGGTTATAAAATATTTAGTGATGAAATCATGTTTTAGTTGAATGTCGATAATGAGAATCTTTCGTACGAATTCTACTAATGAAAATTGGATGGAAGTTTTGAGTTTTTTAGTTTATGGATTAAGACGTTTTTCTAGATAGATATTTAATTTTCTTATGTAAAAAGTTATTGGTTTTGATCTTTCTATAGATAGAGAGAGCTAGAAAGGAAGAGACTTCAAGCTTAAACTTGCTACCAACACTTGAACGTTTTTCATATTTTGAATATTTTCTTAAATTCAAGTAAATTAACAATTTCTTGTAGTTAACAAAACAATCCGAAAGAAAAAGGAAGGAGAGGTTATGTGTAATACAAGTCACAAGTTTAAAGTCCTTTTCAAGTGGAGGTTGCTTGCTAGGAATTACTAGTGCAATTCATGAAAAAAATGCCACGAAATTTTCATTAAAAATAAGAAAGTGAAAGTGGAAGTTAGTTTTAAGACGATTTACAATGATTTTTTAGCTTTAATTATTCTTTAACTTTTGAAACAACTATAAACTCTTACAAAACTAAATTGAGAAAAAAGTTTAATTCTACAAATCTCTTTTCAGAACATTTAGTTTTTAATAACTCCATTTGTTTCTACTTTGTTTCTACTTTGTTTTACTTTTTGCTTTCTCCTCTTTCTTCTACTCTGTTGCGTACTTTAAAATCATGATAGAATCAAGAGATTGCTTCACTGAGTTTAGGCTCTAATTCAGTCAGTTTACATCTAACATTTAAGTTATAATCTTTAGAAATTTTTCATTTTAAAACCATCATAGATTGTAATAGAAGATAGAATCAAACTGCATATTGTTGCTAAAATGATAGAATCACAATGGTCTAAGCTTCTCAACTAATGATTCCTAAGTTGAAAAATATCTAAATAGAGAGATTCATCAGTAATACACATACGTAAAAACGACAGGAAAACGAAACTTCAACATGTGAACCAGAGTGATCCACAAGTCGACAAGTTTCTTTCACATATACGACCCAAGTGTCCACCACCTGTAGTACCAATTAAACCAAACCGTTCATAATCAATATAGACAAAACGTATGCAAAACGAAGTGGACCCAGAACAAGAATATTCAAAAAAGGAAGAAAACTATTCACAAAGGAAGCAAAACAGGATTTACATACAGAGACAGGAGGAACTCCAAAGTTATCGAAACATGTCCACAGAAAGTAAAGTCATCTAACTAATTAAGCTCATCGACAGTGAAGGATTTTGGAATCACCCTTTAGGCTGATTGTGATGTAGATTTTCCTAGCGAGACTGATGCAAGCGCGTTCTTTGCTCTTTCTTGGAAGTTCCTAGTTTTTGTGAGTCGCAGTTTAATCCATAGCCTCCTCACATCGATCATGTGCAGGGCACGTCCAAACAGTTGGCTGGTCTCACCGAGTATTCCCAAGCTCAGATGCGGAATATAGGATGTCCACAACGTTTTCAAGCGCGATGCCATGATGGGGAAGACCAATATTGCCAGTTTCAAAAACAGAAACATCAGTGCAAGTACCAAATATGGCTCTCTTTCCGCTATTTCTCTGATAGACGACCCGTTGTGTAGCCATGCGATCAGGTTCCCATCGGCTTCTAAGCTTGTTGGTTCACCTTCGTCCACATACTGGACAGGTTTAAGACCTGGAAAGCCACAGAGATACACCGAGAGGAGCTTGTTATAACAAACGTTAAACTGATTGATTTTCAAGGCATTTAATAACTTGGGAGCTAATGTATTCAGATATGCAGAAAAGATGACAAGAAAGCACAAACAGAGACGTAGGCTGGCATTTCATGAAGAACTCTCACCTGTTGTTTCTTCGTAAAACAGAATTAGGGACGCAAGATCCTTTTGACCATGGTATCGCATCTTCAATGTTTGATTCACCATCAGAATTGAAGGCAAGCTATGGATACCATACCTAGAAAAGACACTGCAATAGTGAAAATCATAAAGATCAATTGACGTGGACCAAAGAAGATACCGAAAAAAAAAAAGATGAAAACATTTTAGCGTTCATTTTCTGTCATCTTATTGATTATTTGTCCTGTCTTGGTAACTAACTCTTTAAGACGAAAACTTTAATAATCAGGGTGAAACAATGATTGATAACTAACAAGTACTAAAAAATCTGACAAGCAACTTAAACTCATTTTTTTCTGCATGTATAATATCAACACCCAAATTTCTTGTGAATAATTCAATCGAGATGCAACTGGATATACATATTCCATAACAGAAGTACTACTTACGATGGTAAAGCCTGGGATTGCTCAACAATCAGGTGCCCTATGTGAGGAAACATTGCACTCAGAACATCAAACTTTGGGCGAACTGCACGTGAAAACGGGCACCACGAAGCATAAAATAGTATGGATGTATAAGCATTTCCATGGTTTGTATTAATGAGTCTGTCTAGCAAGTCTCCATCTACCTGGATTAGCAAAAACACAAATTTAGATACTTCTTGAGTTACAAAAACTAGCACACATCCAAGAAGCGCACAGTCACGCATATATTAATTTTGCTAAATCACAATTTCTGAATTTGAACAATAGACTGAAATCTTAATATTGGCAAATGACATGATGAGATTCTATTGGTAACCCCATAATAAAGGCATGCATTGAAGAACTTTAAGTATACCACTACCACAGCCAACCAAGATTTATATCCAGATCTCCTCTGTTATGAATAGCTTAAAAGGAATTTGAAAAGGGAGAAAACCTGAGACCTCTAGAGACAGTGGAGCAAAGGTAAACATAAGCAAATTTCAGCTACAAGCCTATACAGTTCTCCTTAACTACAATACTAGTATGAACTTGTATGAGCCTAGACTTGCATAATGAAAGATACAACCAAAAAAACTGAAGAGGAGACTTTTTGTAACCACCGGTCCACCACAACACTAAAGTGACATGCCGAAAAGCAAAGGAAGGTTTTTGATCCTTGCAACTCACATTAGGCAGTATTTATTCCACTTTAAGCAAATCAAACTTTAACATAGAAACGCCACAAACCCCGACTCACCAGACATATCTAACACAGAGCGTAGCTAATTCAATCGGAAAAATCGCAATCGTGTATTAAACAAATCATGCAACTTAAAGCAGAAACAAGGCGAAACTATGATAACGTACCTCTACAGGAGGCCTTGGATACAGAGAATGATGACATTTTCCCTCGATTCGGCTTCGGAACACCTCGAACTCGTGATCACAAACATCCGGCCGGGACGAGGCGAACACGGAAGGTAAGCATGACCCAGCTATCGCACAGAGAAGGAGTACGAAGACCCGGAATTTCATTAGATTAAGGTGAATGGAAGAGCCAAGCAAAACCAATAACCTAAATCTAAGGTAGAAGAGAGAGAGAGAGAGGGAGAGATCGAAATTCCAAATTCGATGAGCAAAAATATGAAACTTTTAGCAATCAGAGATCAGGGTCATCGATTAAGGGTGAGATCGCATCGGATTTAGAGGACAAAAGCACGAATCAGAGGAAATGAACAGCCTAGGTTCAAGACGAGGGCATGAAGAACAGAACTTGAAAAAGGAAAAAGACAGAAAATAAAATCTTGTCTGAAAATATATCTACTTCTAGGGCGAATTTGGGGAAAGTCTCAGATCCGTGGGAAATACTATCTATCATAAAGTTTATTTGTTCACTTGTTTTTGCAGAAACAAGACAGCAGATCGAGACCGCCAAAATCGATTACGTTGACAAATCGCATTCGTCACATCGCTTTTTTTTCCTCTCTCCCCACCACTTATCCTCCCGCGATTGGTGGATGTGTTAGAAATAAGATTTTTATGTTATTTTTTTGTTGCGGTTGGCTTATTATATATACCGAACGATTCTTTTTAATTTCTTGTCCATTTCTTCAAATTTTTATTTTAAAATTCTCCGTATCTGCTTATTTACAGAAGTCGAATGTTTAAGAAATTACATTAAGATTGAAGATCAAAGATCTGAAAGAAAAAGAAAAGAAGGAAGACAAAAGTTAGAGAGATATATATCAACTCAGAAGCTCAAATTTCAGAGGATTAGCATTAACAAATTAATTTGTTTTTCTTTAACCAAAAAAAACAATACTTGTGTTTTTTTCTTTGTTTGCTGGTCTCCCTTAATTTGTTTTGTTAATCAAAGAATAAAGACTAACAATCTGACCCAAAAGGGATAATATTCTAATCTCTTTAAGGCCCATTAGCTTCACAACAGGGCCCAAAAGGCTATTATTCTCCAGAGATTGACCTGTATATATTGACCGAAAGTAGTCAAAGAGTACTTCTCACGCACTTTCTTCTTCCTGGTTTAAGATTAGAGAGATACATTTAGGGCTTTGAAGCCGAACGCTAGAAGCTGAAATCGAGAAATAAACAAAATGGAGATTACGGAGAGGAGAGACGAGGAGATCAGGGAAGGTAGAGAATCTGGAAACATGGACAGCATTAAGTCGCAGTATGTTACCGACTCTTTTGCCGATGAACGCCACTCTCGCGAGCTCAAGGCTGGTCTGCATCCTCTACGGGTTTGTTCTCTACCCTTCTCTATCGATTGATTTTGAATTTGAATCTGATCTTAGCTGAAACTTTGCTCCTGGTGCGTTGAAGATTGGGAACTTTATATATGACGGCTTAGAGCCGAGGTAGTGGAAGATTCAGAATTGAAATCTTCATTTCTGGAAATTTTTATTGTAAACTTAGGTTTTGCGACTTTTTTTTAATGTATGTGAGCTCGAACGCTATTGAATTCTGATTTAGCTCATAATTTGGCCAAATTATCCACTCTTTAGCGTCACTGTTACCACTGGATGTACGTGTTGATATTTTGGGAATGTGCAGTACAAGTTTGCGATTTGGTATACCCGTCGCACACCAGGGGTCCGAAGCCAGACATCTTACGAGGATAACATTAAGAAGATTGTGGAATTCAGCACGGTAAGCTCGAAATTACTAATGGAAAAGTCCATTCTTGAAGCTGTTTGCAATCTTATCTTGTTCATTTCTGAGATCTGCTTGGGTACTTAGGTTGAAGGGTTTTGGGCTTGCTACTGTCACCTTGCTCGTTCTTCTCTCTTGCCTAGTCCAACAGATCTTCATTTCTTTAAGGATGGGATTCGTCCGTTGTGGGAGGTTCGTATATCCATATGTTGATTTTTCTCATTGTCTTTGTGGTTTTTCATATGGTGGATCATCGATATAGCAACTACCTTCGGATACAACAAAAGTTTTATCTCCTACAATAAGCCAACTAAACTAGCTAAATTCATTTTCCATCAGGATGGTGCCAACTGCAATGGAGGAAAGTGGATCATACGTTTCTCGAAAGTTGTATCTGCTCGCTTCTGGGAGGATCTGGTGAGTTAAATTCTTCTTGTGGGCACGTCTATCAAGTATTTACACCCTTCTAATTCTATCAAAAGGAACCTTTTTGTAAATGTTCTTTAAGTTATTCCTCTTTCATACTTAGAGCCAATGTTTTTTGTATCTGGGAATCATGTTTTATTTGTTTCTCCAGCTTCTAGCGTTGGTTGGCGACCAGCTTGATGATGCTGATAACATATGTGGGGCAGTACTGAGTGTCCGCTTCAACGAGGACATCATTAGTGTATGGAATCGCAATGCTTCTGATCATCAGGTAAGAAAACTATTCTCAAGAAGATCTCTCTCTCTCTCTGGCTCTGTCTCCCGTCTTTTGTTTGGTACTTACACTATGCAATGTTTTCCGCGAACAGGCAGTGATGGGTTTGAGAGACTCAATCAAGCGGCATTTGAAGTTGCCTCATGCATATGTCATGGAATACAAGCCCCACGATGCTTCTCTCCGCGACAACTCTTCCTACAGAAACACATGGCTGAGAGGATAGGTTCAAAGTAGACGACTGTATCACGTCACGTGGAGAAGATTCGAGAAGCTCTCAGCCTGGGTAGATATATGGATTGATCCCTGTTTCTGATAGCAAATGTATCGCTGGTGTACAATCTCAGCAACGGAAGTCTAGTTCTGTATCAGTGGGTATTCAGTCGTTTTCTTGTTTCTAGATCTTGATACTTTCAATGGGTTGACTCTTGTTTGAAACAATAATGATTCACTTTCAAAGAAAACTTGAGCTCACGTACTGGTTTACATTATTACTTGTCTTCAACAGTAATTCAATATACAATTTCTCTGATGTACATCTACAGATGAAAAACCGAGTCTGGCTCTGGTGTGGATAGTTTATTGATCTCAAAAGCTATAATTTAGGATCCACAGATGCTTGAAGCCCGATAATACCTGGTTCAACATCAAAACCCTGAGTGAGTTACGTCACACTGAACAAAAAACAAAACGAAAAAACGGAACAGAAATGGCGTTGCTCTGTTTTTCAAATTGGTTGTTTGTATAGCGATACCACATCCAACTCGTGCGCCTGCATTTCCTGTTGATTTGCTAAGCTTGTGTCCTCCTGCACGGTAAACATGAACCTAAGAACAGTGGCAGGTACATGATGAAAACTAAATGAAACTAGACACAATGATTACTATTAAGATTTGACCCTTAAACTTCTAGTGCTGTGCATGTAGTGAGTGACATTGGACATTGTGTAAGTTCCTACCTCTGCCAAGGTCATCAGGATCACCATGTACAACAACCGCCCTACCAAGTATAGAATATTGGCCACTAAGCGGTATCTGTGAAATCAAAGAGAAGCCGAGGTAAGTGGGGAAATGTCAATAGAGATATGCACAATCTAAGAAGCCGGGAAGAGAGAAGAACTCTTGTACCTGTTTGTCTTTGATTGAGATTTCAGCAACACCTGAAACAAGTCTCATCCAAAAATTCTAGCATTATTCTTCAAAAGGCACAAAACATATAAATAGATAAGGGAACAAAGAGTATACCGTCTGTTCCTGCAAGAATGTTACCCAAATCGCCAGCATGACGCTCTTCCTCATCCGGTGGCCCATGAACTCGATTTAATGGATTGAAGTGAGGTCCTGAAGTTAACATTTCCGCAAGAAAACAAAAGAACTCAACCCTTAATATCAAGTACAGAACTCACAATAGAATCACAAAGATGAAACACCATTCAAACATCTAGAAGTAAGATTTAATAGGTTTCTGCTTCTATTATAGGCTAATTGAAATGGTTCCTTGAGTGAATTCTTTGGCAACACTAAGAGTCCATCTAAACTAAATCTGATCCAAACCAATCCTGTTACATCAAGATCAAGCAAGATTACACTTTTTCATTATATGTGTTCCAGTTAAAGAATCTTACGAGAAACAGTTCAAGACTTCTAATAAGAACAAGCTACAAAAACCTCGGAGAAATGAAAGTAAAAGTCCTTTATTTGGTGATTTCGGAAAGTACAATAAAAAAACCCAACTCACCAAAATGTGAATCAAACTCAGTATAACCACAACTAAATACAAGAAACCAACAACTAAAGCATCGAATTTCAATATCAGATTCGACAAGTACAGTAACACAGTAACATAGACTAAAAAAACAAACCAGTAGAGATGCAGCCATTTGTGGTATCACCAAAAGAGTGAATATGAAATCCATGGAAGCCAGGAGAGAGTCCTGAGATCTTTCCGGTAACATGGGTAGTCCCTGTAGAAGACACACACAAAGACCACACGCAAGTAAACCCAATGAATGAAATAAAACATGTCCTCATAAAGGGAGGGAAGACAGATCACCGGAAGTGTCTTGTGTGAACTGAAGACAGCCTCGGACGTTCTTATCGCCGGCGATAAGAGCCACCGCTCTGAGATTGCCTCCCGCAGGAGCTTCCATCGGTTCTGTGTTCTGGGATTGATTGTGGTGGTGATCGGATGAGATTGAAATGTGTTATTTGGTTAAGACAATGAGAGGGAGAAGAACCAAAAACCAAATCAAACCGGAATTAAAAACTCTGGTTAAACTAAATTGTAATTCCGAACCGGAGAGAACAAATCATGTCATTAGATTAGTCAGAAGTCTCAAAGAGCAACAATTAACGCAAAATAAAGATTGGTTCCTGACACATAAACTATAGTCTCAAAGAGAGTGATCAAACTCAGATCATCTCACATACATCACATTGTCGTTTTTTGGTGACACTGAGAACCATCTCGGCCGGTTTGATGAGCTCGAAGGTGCAAACATCTCCGACCTGTAAAACAAACTCTCTGGCCAAACGAACCCATCCAGGAGAGAATCTTGACTCACATATATCAGAGACCACATACTTAACCTTCCACGACCTCTTCTCTTTTGAATGATGAATCTTGAACATCGTTGTCTCCTTTGGCATATGCATATCCGCAAACTTCTTCCGGACCGCCTGGAATCACAAATCAATATCCATTTAATTCGTCTCTACATAATATAACAATGAACTCAATTTGACAGTGTTTACTTGTCTTGTTGTCGTGCTTAACTTACCAAGAACTTGAGGTATGATTTCTTTATGGTGAGCGTAAATTTTGGAACAAGAGACGAGGTCCCCGCTTCAGAATGGTCACAATCAGTATCCACATTCTTCTTCTTCTTCTTTGTTTTCTCTGCTTCTTCGACTTTCTTCTTTCCCAAGTTAATCTTCCGTCTCTGTTTCAATTTTCTTCCTGTAGATTCATCTGTTTCTGAGCCAGGAAAGCTTAATGATTCAGACAACGACTCTATCTCTTCCTCCTTCACATCATTGTAAATGTTTTTCCCTTGTTCTCTCTTGTTCCGACCTGTTATATGTCAGGTCTAAACTCTGTCTTCTCTTCTCCGTAAGCATTCAAAAAACACAATCACCACATGAGAACACTTACTGGAAGAGGCAATGGTTGCAGTTTTTTTCGGTCTAAGAATCTCCTTGCAATCTATTTGGTAGATGTTTACGCTAAAGCACATGTGTCCTTTGTGCGTGAATGTAAGAAGCTCGTCATGACCTAAATCGTTGTCGCTCAAAAACTTGTCCCATCCGCTTTTCTCCATGTAGTAGAACCTTTCGTTTCTGGAGATTTTGATTGGCCATGAGCTTCCCCATGGCAATTTTAATACCATCTTAAATGAGAACTCCTTGTTTGAGATGCTTCTTATGAAGTCGTGAGGAATCGCTCTCTTCAGACATACAATATATAACAACAACAAATGATATTACTATACAAAAGAGTTGCATTATGAAATTTCAATGAAAATCAATGAAAATTTTCAATTCCACAAAGCACAGTAATTGAGGCCAAACATTCTACTTTTTACCTACAACAATTTTTCATCCGACCATTTCACATACATAATGTGATTTATCAGAGTCGCATTATAAAAAATTCAGTTAGAATCGCTGAAAAATTTCACATCCACAAGGCCAAATTAAGTTTCAACTATTTTACCTTCAAAAATTTCCCCACAATTTCATCAGACCATTTCACATACAGAACCATCAAGCAATCGAAAAGAAAAAGCTCATCAAGGAAAAACACAATTGCAAACCTAAAGAGCGTAGTAGACTTTCACTCACTAACAGAACAGAGAACACAAAAAAATTTATGTTGATAAGACCTATTTAAGAACCTCGTTTTTTGTTAAAGAGATTGAAAGCTTTAATTTCTTGTGAGCAGGAAAGAAAAGAAGTCTTAGGAAGACGGTGATGTGTGTAAAAAAGAAAGATACCATGATCTCAGTCGATAGGTCTTCCTTTCTAAGAACCTTGAAGAATCCTGGGTTGTCTCCTTCTTCTATTATCTGACCAAAGCAACTGTTTTTCGTCATTTCTCTCCCTCCTTCTTCAACCTCTTCTCCGTCAATTTCCTCCTCCCCTCTATCTCTCTATCTGTGATAATGGGCAAAGTTTGAGGGAGAGAGAGAGAGAGAGAGAATGCTATGTAAGACTCTTTTTTTTTTTTCTTTCTAAAAACAGCAGCAGCTCCCAGTATTCAAAAGTCTTTAATTTTTCTCAATTAAGCTCGAAATAATTGAGAAAGAAGCCCATGCATAATTAGTAATTAACTCATCATATTTGTAATTTTTTTCTTCTTCATAATGCTGAAAACAGGAACTGTGTCTTTTTTACTTTGAAGACACGCAAAAAGCAGAGCAGTTTGCTAGTTTTAGTAATAACTTAATTCACTACAAGGACAGCGACTCTTTACATCTACCCACTCTATTAACTATAAAAGCCTATAAATTTTCTTGTAATACTATACTATTAAGTTCTACTACATGTTACAAACTTCTTTTCTTATTTGCTAATTCATGTTCTTAATATTAATCAAGGTTACTGGCTGTTCAAGTTACATTTTCAAAAATAAAAATAAAAGGTAAAGTTAAGATGGTTCACACTACAAAAATATCTGTACTATAGGTTCAAAACAATATCTATTAGATAAAACTTTTGAATATTCAATAGTTTACATGACAAATTAGGCATCATAAATCAAAAGAGAGGTTTGACAACAACAAAAAAAAATCAGAAGGAACAATTTCAAAGATGTATCATAACTTAAAGATTTTACATATACTCCATATTTTACTTGGTATATTCACATTAAGAATAAGTAGCAATAAATTATTAAATATGAGCTAATTGTGAACGAGTATGGTCAAGTGCTAACCAAAATGTATAAGGCTATAAGCAATTTGCTTTCACCTTGTAAAACCTTGGTGGTGTAAAACATGCGAAAAAGTTTTTTTTTTTTTTTTTTTTTTTAAAGACTCCGACGTTGTTGTCGCCGGCAATAAGGAAACACCGTTGGTTCTGTGTTGCGTTAGTGTTTGGAGATACGCCAGATACGGTGTCTCTAGGACGAAGATTTCAAACCGGATCTAAGACTTTCGGTTAAAGAAACTAGATCACCGAACCAGATATTGGAACCTGATGAAACGCAACAAAAGCAAATTGCAAATCTGGAGATAAAAATGTAAAAAGATTTCCGGATGATAGTTCGGGATTTTGAACCCGACGTGAATCGAACACGCAACCTTCTGATCTGGAGTCAGACGCGCTACCATTGCGCCACGGATCCGGATGCTAACACACGCAGTTACGCTTATATACCCATTAATCAATTGTAATTAGGTTCTTCAAATGTTGTGGTATTTTGTTGGCAACGATCGTTCCAAATTGTATTTGACATGATCGTGTTGATTGCATGAAAACGGAAATATATATATTCTAACCTTTTCGAATAACTCTTTCAACAAGAAAGAGTAAAAATTCATCTATTTACAATGACTAAGTCTAAAACTCTAATTCAAAGAACAAAATGTTGGCTCATCATCATTGCAGCTGAGAAGTCACGGTGATGAAGGTATCTTCGGGACAGGGGATCGTTAAGCCACCCATCGGATGATCGAACCCAAACTCTTCCTCGGATTTACTGAGAAGAGCTTGAAACGAAGGCTGGCTCAAATATGAGATCGGCACAATATATCTCTTCTTCTGGCTTTCTCCTACGTACACCGCAAGAAACCCTTTAGGTGCCGCCGAGGCTGCTCTCTTGCTCGTAGAAGCTGCTGCGACGGAGAGGCCAAGAATCTTCCTTGCACCCAATAGACTTCTTGCCAAAGCCATTTCTACTTCTTTTGTATGAAAGTTTGAATTCTTTTAAAGGTTTTGAAGAGATGTATGAACAGATGGAAGTTATTGGATTGCTTGCTGTTGGTTGATGATAGAAAGAATGGGTTATGTGTATTATATATAGATCAGTGAATGTGTTGAAGCATCTCTGAAAAGTCTTTGAAACTTGTGGTCTTGAAGCGTGGGACAGATTAGAACAGAGTTGCACATGGTTCTGTCTTGACCATCCGGAAAAGTTTAGTTTAATGCAATTTGTCTTGACGCGATAATTAATTGAGTGTGGGACAATAAATATAAAAACAAAACGCAATTCACAAGGGCTTGTTTTCTTAATGTTTATCTTCATAAGACATGCTATTGTCAACAAAAAAAACCAGCAAGTCTCTGTTCTTCATGTTCTGTGATGATCCTAATTCCTCACCTGTACGGTCTAAATGGATTTAAAAATAGCTTAAAGTGGGGCACTGAAGTTTCTTAACAACACAACAACAAGTCTCTGTCACTGGTTAAGCTGTTCTATGATGATATCCACAAATAATACCACACATGACAGTTGTAATTCAAAGAAGATAACGATAGACGATGGTTTTTTCTGAGAGGGGTCAGTGTTGGGTTCGTGGTGAAGTCACTGCCGGGGACAAAGTTGTTGAGATATAAGCCAGGAAGACAAAAGCATGAGCTCAAGTTCCTCTCTTACGCCAAAGATTAAGGCATAAGCTTTCTTCAAGTACACGATTGTTATGATCTTTTTATAAATACCTGCTACTGATTCCTTAACAACTATCTCTCACTCGCAAAATTTCATGAGAAGAAGAAATTTTACAGTCTTAGAGCTTTCTTAGATAGAAAAAGAGTAATGCCTTGTGGGTTCTTTTCAGGCAAGCAAAGTATGCTTCAGTTCACATTAGGGAGAGGGAGAAGAAGAGCTAGAAGAGCAACAAAGAAAACCTCAAGAAACATAACAAGAAAGACAAGAGAGCATGTCATTTGGGTTATACATAAGATGTCAAAGCTAAGAGGTGAACAAGAAAGACAAAAGATCTCCCGTTAACACACTCTTACAGAGATTCAGATGGACCTTTTAGCTTCAACCCAGGAAGCTTTTGACGAGCTGAGCCACAGAATTCGCCAAAGAATCAGCAGCTTCTTGTGTCGATGCTTCAGCATATACTCTAACAACATCTTCTGTACCTGATGGCCTTATGAAAGCTCTGCCACGCGGATATTTCTTGATTTCAGCATTAATGGCATCTTGAATCCCCAAGGGTTTCAGAGCCTCGGTTTCTTCGCTTGTGGTCACAACTGCTGCTCTGTCTGGAACTTCGACCTTAATCTGTCTGCTAGGAAGATCTTTGTATAGCTCATTCCACTTCTGTACTGACCATCCCATGTGTTGCAGAATCACTTCAACCAAGAGCAATCCACTTAGAGCGTCACCAACCGCTTGGTTAATCAGATTACTCACCGCCACTAGTCTAGAAACCGCTTTGTGCTCTTCAGAGCCTTGAGTAAGATCCTTTTGTTTGGCAACTAACAACGATATGAAAGTTTCCGAGAAGAGAATAGTCCCGTGGCCATTAGCTTCAAAGTAGATTCCAATATCAAACTCTGCTGCTTTCTCGTGTAAATGCTTCACCCCTGTTTTTGCGAAAACAACATCTAAACCCAACTGCTTGAGATAATCCGTGGATGCACCATTTGCGTAAGCCGTCTGCACAACACCAAGACGAGAACGCGTCCCTTCTTTATCATCATCATCGAGAGTGTTTAGTTGCTCTTTGATAAAGAGAGCAAACAAAGATAGAATCTTGTCCCCATCGAGTAGCTCAACCTTGTCAGTAGAAGATTCTGTAGGAATGTAAAAGTAAACCAATCGATCTGCATCGCCGTCAAAACTCGCACACCTCGTCTCCACATCCTTTGACCCAAATCCTAAAGGTACAACCTTTTCTTTCTGCACAAAATCTGCACCTACACCTTCATTAAGCACACCTCCATCTCTTCCTGTGTTACGAATCTCAAGATCTAGATTGTTCAAAGACTCTCTTAGCTCCTCAAGCTTCAATCCACCCACACCATTAGCACCATCTACGATCACTTTGCTAACTTCTAACTTGTCCTTTCCACTATTTGGGATCAGATCAATCAAGCACCTGAATGAAGTAAAGAGATTCTCAAAGTAATCATTTTCCGTTGCCTTGAGACCTTTGTTCTTAGCTCGAACCATCCAATGTAGCTGCGGAGTTGTCAAAATCCCCTTGTCAATGGCAACAGATCCCAAAATCGATGAGACACCGATCTCCGCAGCTCGGAGAAGAGATTCACCACTAGGTCTCGTATCCCTTCCCAACCAAACCTCTGCACTTTTATTCTTCTTCTCTTCTCCGATTGCAATTTCTTCCTTCTCCACGAATTCTCTAATCAACGAGACGAGCTCTCGAGGAGAAGACGCGTTCGCGATCTGATCTGCGAAGGGCTCCCATTCTTGAGAGAGCATACCACCAGATGGATCCGCGACTTTAATGCCATTGTCGGAGACTTTGTTGTGCGACGCTGTGATCATGAGGCCGACGGTCGATGACCCTAGCTTGAGCGATCGGAGAGCTGAGAGGATCCCAACTCTGTAAACCGTCGAATCCAGCAATTTTGCGTCGCCTCGGAACCCAGCCGTTCCGTACGAAAGCTTGACGCTTTGAGGAGTCGGAAAGAGCTCTGATGATTTGAGGAGTGAAGCGATTTGGCTCTCGTCCATGGCGCTAGTGAGAGAGTGAGAGAGAGAGAGAGGGGAAAATGAAGATGCGCCCAAGTCCCAACGATCGAACAAAAACATAAAGGAAGCATTTTTTATTTGACTATATATAAGATTTACTTGTCATCTCTATTAGTCTTCTCTCTCTGCCATATCTCTTCTTATTATTTTGCTCTTTTTTCTCTCTTCTTTCGCTCATGACCGTCGGATGAACAGATCGGCGTTCTTTAAACTGAAGACGGTTCTCTGGTTAAGATCTGAACTTGCAAACGACAGCTTTCCTGATTCCACTTCTCAATTTGACCCAAAAATCTCTGTTAGATGCAAGATTTTGGTGGAATTGAGTAGTGAAATTGGAAAGTTGCCGATTGCAATTATTAGGCTTTCTTTAAATTTGATACCTGAGGAATAGTTTACAGTTACATTTTCTCCTCTTGAATTGATGGAAAGGTGGTTTCTTTCTTTCTTTTGTTATTTGTTTCTTGTCTTCAAGATTAGAGAAGCCAACTTGGATAAGGCTTACAAGCTTCACTAGAATCTAAACCGGTGGTCAAGGAATTAAAAAGGTTACCTCTTTGTTAGTTTATGTGAGTGAATTTTCAATATCTCATTTAATCGATTTTTTGTGATTCAATAAAACATCATAATCTGAAATGAAGACATCAAGAGTTTGATTATCTAGGAACTTTGAGAACGTGTTCTTTCATTAGTTAGAAGCTTACAACTCGCTGAAATGCGAGGAAAAATGTTACATCAGTCTAGGGAAAAGAGCTTTTATATGTACAAAATGGTGACTAACAACAAAAAATCTATAGAGTGAGATGTGTATTTTGGATATTGGAGGTGAGGTCAGCAAAGGTTTTCTCACTGCAGGGGATTGTGAGTCTACCCATTGGGTGATCAAACCCACATTCATCCTCTGCCTTCCTTAGCAGATCTTGAAACGATGGTTGGCTCAAGAAAGATATCGGAACCACGTATCTCTTCTTTTGGCTTTCCCCAACGTACACCGCGAAGTAACCCTTTGGAACATCAGCAGACTTTGAGGTTGCAAACAGTTTCGCTTGCCGGATGAGTTGCATAGGTTGCAGCATACGAGAAACTCTGAAAGCCATCGAATGTTTGATGGATATGTGTTATCTTCTTCTTCTTTTTTTTTGTGAGTTTTTTTTTTGTATAGAAAAACGATAGCAAATTAGAGAAAGTTCTTGTTGTTTCCTGAAGATGTGAGAAGTTCTTGTGCGGTTTAAGGGTTTGGTAACTTCTTTTTATAGATGTGCCACTTGAAGATAACTTGATCCGTCTTTTCTGGCTCTGAGAAGCTCAGCTAATATGTACTGACACGTGCTTTGTCAAGTCTTGCCCAACATTTTGATCTCATAAGGCCCCATCTGATGGTCACTCTGATGGTGGTGGTTCGATGAAGTGCTTGGAAAGATATCCACATGGATGTGACAGCCTGACAGGTTAGTCGCGCTTACACTCCAATCAAATTTAAGCTTCACAACATGAGATCATGTCCTTTGAACATGAATGTGTCATTCCTGTTCTCTTGGTAGGCAACTTAAAGTCCCACCTCATTAAGAAACCAGACTTGCCAATGTTTTGTCATAGACAAGAGAAGATTGCAATATCTCATATTTTCCTCTTTAACTATAAAGACACTGAGGAAACAAACCCTTGTGAAGTGCATATAATGTTGATTACCTTTCATTGCTTGTCATATATCGTAGCTGGAAAACAAAACCATGTGAAGCTCTCATCCTATATGTCCCACGCTAGTGGACCACAGTTTCATTGCTAACAGGGTGGTTTTAACTCCTTTATTGATCTATTTATACATCCAGAAACAGAACCAACTCTTCACATCACCAAGTAGTAAAGCAATCCAAAGCTTGATTCTGAGCACTTAACTTGTTATCCTCAATCCCATCTTCAGTTTCAAAAATTTTAAAGACTAAAATGGCTTTAGTGAGAAGTCTCTTGGGTGCAAAGAAGATTCTTAGCCGTTCTATATCGGGTACAACACCAAAAGGGTTTCTTGCGGTGTATGTTGGCGAGGACCAGGTCCAGAAGAAGAGATATATAGTTCCTGTCTCATATTTGAGCCAGCCTTCGTTTCAAGCTCTGCTCAGTAAATCCGAAGAAGTGTTTGGGTTTGATCATCCGATGGGTGGCTTAACGATCCCTTGTCCTGAAGATACCTTCATCAATGTGACTTCTGGGCTAAAGGGAAGATGATCTAAAAAGAAGAGACATTTAATATTAGTTAGCCCAAGTTAGAGATAGAATTATTCAAACGTAATAGTCCAACCTTTTTCCTCTTTCTTTGTGAGAAAAGAGTTGTTCAAGAGTTACAAAACTCATTGTGAATGTCTTTTTTTGTTGTGTAAGAATTGATGGTGTCAATGGAAATTTTGTTCCAAGTAAATAATTTACAAGTGTCTTTCACTTCACCATTTCAAGAGCAAAATCAATATTTCGATCTTTGAGGTTTGCTAGATAAAGGAAAAAAAAAACAGAGTAAAGAAAATGCATAGGATCTAACTGATTAAAAACAAAAACTGAGCCACGGTTAAAGAGAGACAGAGGAAACGGTTAGAGAGTTACAGAGCAAAACTCAAGAAACAGAACAAGAAATATGAGACAACATTTCATATGGGTTATACTTATACATAAGTCTTGATAGCTAAGGCAGAGATTCGGAGAACTTGATTAATTTCTCTATGATTCTTGTACTTCGACTTTCTAGCAGATTGAACATAAGTGTTAAAAGAATATAATTAATATATAAAAACTCTAAAACTGAAAGCTAATAACCTAAAGTAATATTTTTTCTGGTTGATAAAAAGAATGGAGAATATTAATGCGATCCGTTTACTTTTCATCTCTTTGCATTGCTCAGTTTAACTTAACGTCATCTCTTTCTTTGTTAGATGAAAGATTTCAATGGATGATAAGTACTCTCATTTAGTTTTATTTGAAAACAACTGAAGTATAATTAAATAGTGATTTGTAAGAAACCTTTTGGATATGAATGAATGAGTTGTTGAGCCAAAAAAAAAAAATAGTGCTTCAATTGGTGTTGCCCTTTCTTGTCCAATGATCGAGCCAACATGTATTAATTTAACATGAATCATTATTTTGTCTATAACATAAAAATGGTATCCACTTTCAAAACTTGTAGAACAACTCTTTCAAGAAGAAAGAGGAAAAACAATCTCCTCTATTTACAAGGAACAAGTCTATCTCTAACTCGAAGAAGTATATTTTGGATATTCATCATTGGAGCTGAGACGTCACAGTGATGAAGGTATCTTCAGGACAAGGGATCGTTAAGCCACCCATTGGATGATGGAACCCAAACTCTTCTTCAGATTTGCTGAGAAGAGCTTGAAACGAAGGCTGGCTCAAGTATGAGACTGGCACCACGTATCTCTTCTTCTGCCCCTCTCCTACGTACACCGCAAGAAACCCTTTTGGTGCCGACAAGGCTGCTCTTTGACTCGTAGAAGCAGCTGCGACAGAGCGGCCAAGAATCTTCTTTGCACCGAATAGAGTTCTCAACAAAGTCATTTCTAGTTCTTTTGTCTGAAAGTTTGAATTCTTTTGAAACTTCTGAAAATGTATGACAAATTTCAAGTTATTTGAATATTGCTTGTTTTTTGGTTGATGATAGAAAGAATGGGTCATGCTATGTATATATATAGAAAGATCAATGGATGAGCTGAAACTTCTCTGAAAACTCTCTGAAACTTGTGGTCTTGAAGTGTGGGACAGACTAGGACAGAGAGTCACATGGTTCTGTCTTTACCAACTGATAAAGTTATAGTTTAATGCAATTTGTCTTTATGAGATAATTAATTGAGTGTAGGACAATAAACTAAAAACAAAAGTAAAATTCACAAGGGCTTGTTTTCTCAATGTTTTTTTAGATAAGACGTGCTTTTGTCAATAATAAAGACAAGCAAGTTTCTGTTCTTCATGTTCTGTGATGATCCTATTCCCTCATCTCTGTGGCCTAAATGGAGTTAATAAGAACTTAAAGTAGGGACCTGAAGTTTCTCAACAACAGAACAAGTCTCTGTCACTGGTTCAAGTTGTTCTTTGATGATATCTCAGAAACATTGAGAAAACAAGCTCTTGTGAATTGAATATGGTGTTTATATAATAAGTAGACAAATTGCATTAATGCATCTTTTCCAGATAAAAGACTGAACCATGTGATAGGTTCTAGTCTGTCCCACACTTTTAGACCACAAGTTTCAAGGAAGTTTCAGAGAGGTTTCAACTCATAAATTGATCTATATATAATACACATAACCTATTCTTTCTAGAATCAAACAACAAACAAGCAATATATTCAACAACTTTAATCTTTTCATACATCTTCAGAGCTTCAAAAGAATTCAAACTTTCAGAAGAAAAAAAAATATAGAAATGGCTTTGGTGAGAAGTCTATTGGGTGCGAAGAAGATTCTTGGCCTCTCCGTGGCAGCAGCTTCTACGAACAAAAGATCAGCCTCTGCGGTGCCAAAAGGGTTTCTTGCAGTGTACGTAGGAGAGAGCCAGAAGAAGAGATATGTAGTGCCAGTCTCATACTTGAGCCAGCCTTCATTTCAAGCTCTGCTCAGTAAATCCGAGGAAGAGTTTGGCTTCCAATATCCAATGGGTTGCTTAACGATCCTTTGTCCTGAAGATACTTTCATCAATGTGACTTCTCGGCTTCAATGATGATTTTCCCAACATTTTCTTCTTCGAATTAGAGATAGATTTATTCATTGTAAATAGATGAATTTTTACTCTTTCTTCTTGAAAGAGTTTTTCGAAAAGGTTAAGAATTGAACTTCGTTTTTCATGCAATCGACACGATCATGTCAAATACATTCTGGAACGATCTTCGAAGACGAATTACGTACCACAGTCTTTAATTATAAATAACTGACGGTTAATCACTCCTATATGTATATGCTTATCATCCGGATCCGTGGCGCAATGGTAGCGCGTCTGACTCCAGATCAGAAGGTTGCGTGTTCGATTCACGTCGGGTTCAAAATCCCGAACTTCATCCGGAAATCTTTTTGTCTTTTGGTATTCTAAGATTTCCCCTTCGCTTTTCCTGCGGTTTAGTTAGTACCATGGTTCGGTAATTTAACTTATCGTAATCGAAAGTCTGAGTACCGGTCTGAACCTCAAACTTTCCGGTCCCCACCAAACACTACTAACAACACGACACATAATCGGTAATTCTTATCCTATTTACAAAATACAGATTTTTATACACGCATTTTTAATCCTACAAAGTTTTAGTAAAACAAAATTAAGCAAAAGGAAATAAATCGTGGTAGTATTCGGAAGAAAAAAATTAGGGCTTGAAGAGAAAGGTATAATCGTGTGGCGATCCGCCATGGATTCAGAGGAAGAGAAAATGGAAGAGATCCACAAAACATCATCACAGTCTCCAACGTTACGCCTCCTCATGCAGTGGTACGGTCCGTACGGACTCTACCCAAAGCACACACAACGGAGCTCTAAACAGTCGAGAACGTCCTCATCAAATGATGATCAAAATCAAGTCTCCGAGAGAAGATTCTCAGGCTCTTTTCCTCCTGATCTAGCGTGGGAGATTCTCTCAAGACTTCCTGCGAAATCAATTGTGAGATCTCGCGCCGTCTCTAAGCTCTGGTCTTCAATCACCACAAATCCAGATTTTATCAAACCGTTCCCTGCTCTGTCATCATCAAGTCCGTGTCTTTTGATGATTTTCCAAAAAGGCGAGACGCGATTCGTCTTCTCGTTTCCTCAACACCAAAACCCCGTCGATGATGATCCTTATTCGCAAGTGGAGCGTTACGAAGAATCGATAAACCCTGAAGATCGTCACTTGTCCTGTTCTGATTCCGTCCACGGCTTGATCTGCTTCGAGACTCCTACAAATCTCGAGATTTGGAACCCAACCATAAGACGCTTCTTCACTTTACCTAAACCTGAAAGCAGCTTGAGCTACCTAAGAGGCTTTTTGGGATATGACCCGGTCGAGTGTAAATACAAAGTTCTGATTTTTCTTCCAGAAACAGAGATTCGAGTTCTTACTTTGGGAGCTCAAGAATCATGGAGGAAGATCAAAGCCAGTCCTATGCATTGTTGTACCCCTACTTCAGGTAACAAGGCGCGATGCGTTAACGGGGTTCTCTACTATATAGCTAAATCTGGTTTGACTATGAAGGAGGCCATAATGAGCTTTGATCTCAGATTAGAAAAGTTCAATTTGATTGAATTTCCGATGGATGATCACAGTAACGTTTTGATGGTAACTTATGAGGGAAGGTTAGGTTTAGTTAGTTCCATGCCTGATGATGTTAAAATATGGGTTTTGGAGGATGCAGAGAACAAGAAATGGTCGTATAAACGCTTTGTTTTCCCTCAGTCGTCTCACCAAGAATGGATTTGGTTCGATTTCAAAGGTGTTACCGATGCCGGTGAGCTTATTTATACGCCGAGTAGTTTTTATGATTCGTTCCATGTTGTGTATTTTGATCCAAAGAAACAGAGCGTAAGAGAAACTAAGTTTGAAGGAGTTGCTTGTGATGAATTTAGACGACTTAAAGGACTTGGATTCCGTCCTTTCCATGATTTAAATGTTTTCCCGGATCACATTGAGAGCCTCTTTTCCTTGTAACTAAGAGCGCTCTTCACCACCATTAATGTGATTTCTCAAGATTAGGTTTGATGTATTTAGGGTTTTCGTTGTCATGATTTGTTATCATTCTTTAATTTGGATCTATCCCAACATTTTATATAACAATGTATAACAGCAGACTATTGGGCAAGTCTGTCAAAACAGAGTCCGCACTGTTTCTAGCATTTTGTCATGTGAGCCTAATTCCTTTGTAATGAGATGATTTTATTTTTGGCACTTTCTTCTTTTAAAGAGTTGTTCACAGAGGTTATAAGTACTGAATGCTGTTTTGTCTGCAGTGGACACCATCATGTTAACGCATAAAAGAGTGATTTTTTTTTTTCAGCTGGATCTGTAACTCCACTCCAGAAGATGCTTGTTCGATTTTGGTAGTGTGCATTAACCATTTTAGACTTTCTTATATGTTTGGTCATTGCAAGAGGTATTTGGTGGAGTAAAAGAATAAAAACAGGAAATTCATTGAAAAAAAATCAGAACAAAAGAACAAAAACGACACAATTCATAAAAGAATTAAGACTTGAAGACCATATTATTATACGCGAGATTGATATTTTCCCCAGTCAGATCAACAGTCTTGTGACTTGATAAAGAGATGCGCTTCTACAAATTTTCTTTCTTTTTTTTTTCCTAATTAGAACGACACCTAATTTATGCAACTTTATGATTCTCTTATGTATGTGTTCCCATGAGCGGGGTTTTGATAATTTGATTATTTCTTAGTTTGAATACAATGATCACTGTTTTTATTTTTGGTACCTCATGATGAGAGAATGCTAGCTTTAGTTTGTTCCATTGGCTTTGGCTCTGGTGTTTAAATAAGACCACCGTTGAATATAATGAATACAATGAAAAAACATTTGAAGGCTCGTTAGATTTTTGATTTTATGAACCTTCAGGCTCGTTAGCTTTCATTGTTTGTATTTTAGTTTCACATTCATTTTTATCTTGGAAGACAAAACATTGTGAATTTTAGCTAAGAAAACTAAAAAAATTCAGACCAGATAAAGAAATGGCTTTGATCCGAACTCTACTAGTTGCAATTAAAGAGGATTGTTAGACACTTTATACTCTATAGCAGCCGCGGCCAGAACTAGCGGAGCTCAGCCTCGGAGGATACCATATGGGTTTCTTGCAATGTACGCAACCCACAGAACAATAGACTAATGTTTTTCAAAGTATATATAGACTAATTTCTTAATTTTTGTATAAATATGATATTTTAAGGTCCCTAAATTTTATTTGCATATAATGTTTTCGGCCAGAAAACAAAAAATATGTTTCAATAAAATAATTTAGCATAAAGCGGTGAAAGATACGTATTTTAATTTTAGTATGAAAATACAAAGGGGATCCTCTGGATGCATCAACGCTTTCTTGTACCTTGTGAGAGAGATCAAATGAAAGGGAGGGATTTTCTACGTTTCCGTGGTATTACTGATGCTGGTGAGCTTGTCTTTGCACCATCCAGTTTGTCTGAATCGTTTTATATTCTATATTTTGATCCGAGGAGAAATAGTATCAGAGAAACCTCTTGTTTGAAGGAATTGTGGGTGATGATTTTAGACTCCGTTATGGACTTGGTAAACACAAGATACACGATCTGAGTATTTTCCCAAATCACGTCGAGAGTCTCGTGTCTTCTTTGTACGTAAAATCCGTCCACGTCTATTCATCGTTCATTGCTCTCAATCTCCTTTGTTTCTGTTTCCCCTGTCAATGACACTTTTAATTCTATATGAATCTCTTGTGTCTGTTTTTCTTTTCTTCTTGTGATCTTTATTTCTTCTGCCATTCAGTTTTGAGAATATATATAGGACATAAAACCCACAAGAAGTTCATTACAAAACATAGACTTGTTGTTCTGTTGTTGAGAAACTTCAGGTTCCCACTCTAAGTTCTTATTAAATCCATTTAGACCACAGAGGTGAGGGCATAGCTAGGATCATCACAGAACATGAAGAACAGAAACTTGCTTGTCTTTATTATTGACAAAAAACATGTCTTATCTAACAAAACATTGAGAAAACAAGCCCTCGTGAATTGCGTATGGATTTCTTTTTTCTTTAGTTTATTTCCCCACACTCATATCATCAAGACAAATTGCATTAAACTAAACTTTTTCCAAATGGTCAAGACAGAACCATGTGCAACTCTGTTCTAGTCTGTCCCACGCTTCAAAAACCACAAGTTTCAAAGATTATTTGGAGAGATTGCAACTCATTATATCCATTGATCTTTCTATATAAACACATAACCCATTCTTTCTATCAGCAACCAACAACAAGCAATTTAATAACTTGCATCTTTTCATACATCTCTTTAAAAGCTTCAAAGTTAAAAAAAATTCAGACAAACGAACTATAAATGGCTTTAGTAAGAAGTCTATTGGGTGCAAAGAAGATTCTTGGACGCTCTGTAACAGAAGCAGCCGCAACAGGCAAAAGGGCAGCCTCTACGGTACCAAAAGGGTTTCTTGCGGTGTACGTAGGAGAGAGCCAGAAGAAGAGATATGTGGTGCCAGTCTCATACTTGAGCCAGCCTTCGTTTCAAGCTCTTCTCAGAAAATCTGAAGAAGAGTTTGGGTTCCATCATCCAATGGGTGGCTTAACGATCCCTTGTCCTGAAGATACCTTCATCAATGTGACGTCTGGGCTCCAATGATGATTATCCAACATATTGTTCTTTGAGTTAGAGATAGACTTGTTCCTTGTAAATAGAGGAGAATTGTTTTTTTTTTGTTCTCTTTCTTCTTGAAAGTGTTGTTCTAAAATTTTTGAAAGTTCTATCACAATTTAACCAAATTCCCATCCATTGAATTCTTTCCCATAACAAAGATGAGATGACATTAAGTTAAACTGAGCATTGCAAAAAGATGAAAAGTAAAAGGATCGCATTACTATTCTTTCTTATTTTTTATGTGATCACATTGGCAGAAAGTTATCTCATCAATAATATTACCGTTAAATTGGCGGCAACAAATATAGGATTTGATGTACGGTCACCATTTTTTATATATATCTGTTTCATAATCCTAAGAGCTTCTCCATTAGTCTTCTCATTGAAACTCTAAACCTAAAGTTAAAATCTGTCTAAATCGGCAAGGTAAGGGAGCGAATTAATCCTCAATATTTAGTCCTTAAAACATGTCTTACTATATTACAACTCACATAACAGTGAGCGAAACAAAATCAATGTGACATCAATGATTTGATCAAATGTATCTTCTTTACTCTGTTTTTCCCTATCAAGAAAAGCTCAAAGACTGAAAATTTCTTGTTCTCCTGAAATAGTGGAGAGGGAGAGAGAGAGAGAGAGAGAGAGAGAGAGAGAGAGAGAGAGAGAGAGAGAGAGAGAGAGAGAGAGAGAGAGACTTGATTTATGTTTTTTACTTAGAACTATCATGTGTGAAAAAAGAAAACTATGACCAGTGCCAGAGACTTCTTGTTCTGTTCTGTTGTTGAAGAACAACAAGTCCCCACTTTAAGTTCTTATTAAACCCATTTCGACCACAGAGATTAGAGAATAGGACAACGAACCACTAAACCATCACAGATTCTAAGAAACAATGCAATTAATAATATCGGGCACGTCTTATCTCAGAAACATTGAGAAAACAAGCCCTTGTGAATTGAATATGGTGATTATCCAAGTAGACAAATTGCATTAATGCATTTTTTTTCCAGATGCGAAAGACAGAACCATGTGATACTCTGTTCTAGTCTGTCCCACGCTTCACAAAGACCACAAGTTTCAAAGATTATTCAGAGAGGGTTGAGCTCATTCATTGATCTTTCTATATATAATACACATAACCCATTCATTCTATCATCAACCAACAGCAAGCAATCCAATAACTTGCATCTTTTCATACATCTTCAGAAGCTTTAAAAGAATTCAAACTTTCATACAAAAGAAGTAGAAATGGCTTTGGCAAGAAGTCTATTGGGAGCAAGGAAGATTCTTGGCCTCTCCATCGCAGCAGCTTCTACGAGCAAGAGAGCAGCCTCGGCGGCACCTAAAGGGTTTCTTGCGGTGTATGTAGGAGAAAGCCAGAAGAAGAGATATATTGTGCCAATCTCATACTTGAGCCAGCCTTCGTTTCAAGCTCTTCTCAGTAAATCCGAGGAAGAGTTTGGGTTCGATCATCCGATGGGTGGATTAACGATCCCCTGTCCCGAAGATACCTTCATCACCGTGACTTCTCAGCTGCAATGATGATGAGCCAACATTTTGTTCTTTGAATTAGAGTTTTAGACTTAGTCATTGTAAATAGATGAATTTTTACTCTTTCTTGTTGAAAGAGTTATTCGAAAAGGTTAGAATATATATATTTCCGTTTTCATGCAATCAACACGATCATGTCAAATACAATTTGGAACGATCTTTGCAAACGAAATATCACAACATTTGATTGAAGAGCCTAATTACAAATGACTAATGGCTATATAAGTGTAACTGCGTGTGTTAGCATCCGGATCCGTGGCGCAATGGTAGCGCGTCTGACTCCAGATTAGAAGGTTGCGTGTTCGATTCACGTCGGGTTCAAAATCCCGAACTTTATCCGGATATCTTTTTGCTGATATTTGTTGCATCTTTGCCTATTTGCTGCATTGCGCCCGGTTTGATAATTATTTTTCTCAATTGAGAACGTCAGGTCCGGTACGGTTTCTTTTATTCTGACCCATCTTAACCAATTCACAATTCTTCCTGATGGCAGCTCTCAGTGCGTCCGAGAGGCAATCTAAGATCTGAGCTATGCCTTTGAGGATATGTTTTCATTCCAAATTATGTGTTAGCACTTGAAACTTAAATATAAGTTCATAGAAAACATATTAATATATTTGTAAAATGAATCTATATATATAAAGATAGCTTTTCTCTCTTCTGGTGTTGCCACCTCAGCAGCCACCTCAGCAGCCACCTGTACAATTATTTTTTTAAAAAATTTTTGTTTTGTCTGGTTTCTCTAATTACGGCAAATGATGAGACACTTTAAATAAATCAAATATCACACTACCATAAACTGAAATCAAACAAAATCATATGAATGACAACAATCACGGAATCACCATCAAAAGGGAATTGCATAAATAGATTTTTTGACGAAAGTGATATTTTCCAGAAAAAAAAACTCAACTCAGCTCAGCTTAACCATAAACGATGGACTTTATACCAATCCTAAAAAGGATCCATGAAATCCACGTCAAATTGGAGTCACCAATGGCACACCCAAAAAACCAATTCCAAAGCTGAGAAACCGATCAGCTCCCCAATATGATGACAAATAGAGGTATATCTAAGAAATCATGGGGAGGGGTTAGACCGGCACCGATTCTGGAAAAAAACACCGCAAGAGTGGAGGATACCAAAATTAAACGTCACTGAATCACCCAAGGAAGAAAGAGAAGGAGGATGAAAAAAATGACTCAATTAGAGACCAAAAGAATGGGTATGAACAAAAGGTTGGTCCGACCAAATTTTCAATCACCGTCTTTCAATGGAAGCACCCTCTATCATTAAACCAAAATTCCAACAATAGAAGGGTTTTGCCAACATTTGAGAGAGCTATCGATTAATACCTACAATTATGAAGGGATAAAAACGGACACGGCTTTGTATAATCAAAATAGGATTTCATAAACATCGAACGAACAAATAAATATAGCAGAAAAATAAGCCAATATAAAATAATACAAAAAATTACAGTGTGGGGTCACGTTTAGTGGAAGCCTATTTGTAATAAGTCGCTGTCTTTTTCAGAACTGAGTTACTAAAACAAGAAATTTGCTCTGCTTTTTGCGTGTCTGTGAAGTCTCAAGCTCACTCCCGTTTCCGTATATTATTATTACGAAAATAATTAGTTTGATAATACATGAATCTTCCCTAACTAACCCATGTGAAATCAATGTTGTAAAAGAAAACACTATGAATTTTCGGAGCTACCTTAGGTTGTTTTTAGAAAGAATAAAAAATGACAGAGCTCTCTCTTTCCCACACTTTGCTCATCATCAGAGAGAGAGATGGAGAAAAAAAAAGAGTAGCGAGTGAGTGCGAGAAAAATAGGAGGAGTAGGGAATTAGTGAAAGAGACTTAGAGGAAGGGGATTAAGAGTGAAAGGAACAAAGAAGGAGAGAGATGGTGAAAAACAGTGGTTTTGGTCAGATTATGCAAGAAGGAGACAATCCTGGCTTCTTCAAGATTCTTCGAAAGGAAGATTTATCTTCTGAAATTATGGTAATTCTCTTAATTTTCCCATACCTCATCACCGATTTCCTTGTGAATTTTTTGTTTGAAAGATCGAATCTTTTGGTTCGTCCGTGTTCTCAATGTATCCCTAAAGCAAATTTAGCGCTTTTCTCTTCAGTTTTCCTCTGGTGGTCTCATGAATTTAGATCTCTTTGTTCTTGGTGAGCTGTTTTTTTGTTCTTTCCGATTTCTTGTTAGGTATGTGTGTGAAATGATAGTACCAGAACTAATTTGCAAGTGAAAAAGTTGAAACTTTGCGTACAAGTGCTTAATGGATGTAAACTTGATTTACTGTAATTTACACTCAAAATTGAAGTAATGTATCTTCATTTTTATCATTTCTTGATGACACTCTTTTAATATCTCTTGATTTTGTTGTCCCTCAAAAGAGAATGATTCCTCATCAATTCATAAGAAGCATCTCTGACAACTCCTCGTCGTTTAAGATGGTATTAAAACTGCCATGGGGAAGCTCATGGCCAGTCAAAATCTCCAAGAACCCAAGTTTTCACTACATGGAAGATCGTGGATGGAACCGGTTTGTGAGTGACAACGCTTTGGGCGAAAACGAGTATCTTACCTTCACTCACGAGGCAAATATGTGCTTTAACGTAAACATCTACGAGCCAGATGGTACGGAGATGCTTAGACCAAGGGAATCTGCAACCATTGCTTCTAGTTCCGGTACGTGTTGCTGATTGTGATGCTTATGGAAGAAGAAAAAGACAGTTTTTACTATTGTGGTTGATTTTGGATGATAACAGGTCTGAACAAGAGAGAACAGAGGAAGGAAGTGAAGACGGAAGAGATCATAGAGTCTTCCTCTGAATCGAGTTATCCGGGTCTCAACAAAGCTGAATCTGCAGGAAGCAGATTGAAGAAGAAACGGGAGCTTAACTTGGGAAAGAAGAAAGCCGAGAAAACCGGAAAACCCAAGAAGAAGAAGGTGGATTCAGCAGCTGGGACCTCGTCACTTGTTCCAGAATTCAATCTCACAATAAAGAAATCACACCTCCTGTACTTTGTAAGAACATAAGGAAGAAAAGATCAGCAACTCGTCAATTTTTGTCTTTTATATATGCATAAATGTAATAATTCATATAATTTTTTTTTTGATTAAGGCAATCCCGAAGAATTTTGTGGATATGCATATGCCAAAGAAGACAAAATTGTTCAAGATTCATCCGGAAGGGGAGAATTCATGGGAGGTTTTGTATTTGGTCACTGGTGTACAGTCAAGATTCTCTGCTGGATGGTCTCGTTTAGCCAAAGACTTAGGTTTAGTGGTTGGGGATGTCTGCACGTTCAAGCTCATTAAACCGACCGAAATGCTTCTCAAAGTCTCCAGAGATGGTGATGATGATGCTGACGATGATGATGATGATGCTGACGATGATGATGATGATGATGCTGACGATGATGATGATGATGCTGACGATGATGATGATGATGCTGACGATGATGACGATGATGATGATGATGATGATGATGATGATGATGATGATGATGATGATGATGATGTGTGAAATGTGAGGTTTAGTTGGAGAACTAGTGAGGACTTGTGTTTGGAGCGACAATATGTTTTGTGGTCTAATGTTAGGACTAGTTTCATAATTGTCTTATTTCAATTTACTGTTAAAGTGTGGTTTGGTATTAATGGATGAATCTGATCTCAGTTTGAGTTAACAACAGAAATGAAATTTGGTCCTGAGACATTAGCTAGAGTTTTCCTTAGGTTTTCTGAAACAGTTGGGTTTTTCATCTCCTCCATTGATCAAAATGTAAAACAGATATTATTTGTTTTATTGAAGGTGATGATTGTTGTAATGTGTACATGGAGAATGAGGTATCTCTATCTTTCTCTCTGGTCTCTTCTGTTTCTAGATTGACAACGAAAGAAAATAAAGTTACAAATGTATAAGCTTCCTCCATCGTCAATCACTGAGATTTATGAGCTGAGTTAGAGATGTGAATCCATGAATCAAGCGTCTTAATAGCTTTGCCAGACGATTGTACTTCACGGGCCAAGGTTACTCCTTCAGCTAGCGTTTGAACTCGGTTGCTAACCAATAGAGCAGCAGCTGCGTTTAGGATCTGCAACAATTTTTTGAGAAAAAAGATGAACAAATTGCAGAAATTCAATAAGAATGGGAATGTTTTCAGAGAGAAAGGAGTATGTTGAATAATACAAAAGAAAACATACCAATGAATCTGCTATTGAACCACTTTCCCCTGAAAGCACACGTCTTAACACATCCGCATTGTACTCTGGACCTCCACCCCGCAAATCCTCAATTGTACAACGAGGAATACCAAAGTCCACTGTCGAAAAAAGAAGCTTTCATTTACTAACTCACCAAGTTGCATCTGCAAACTTCATTTTAGAGAGGGCATAGAAAAGCTAGAGAGTTGAAAGAGAAAACTTTACATGGGTCGAATGAGAATTCTTCGATTTTTGCCGGGGTTACATCATAAACTAGCCCTCCTCCTATTTTCATTAAGCCATAAGGGTTAGTAATCAATGGATAATAGTATACGTCAACGGTTTTGGGATGATATAATCTTACCTAACGGACTCATTTCGTCTAAGCCATATGAATGAACAACCAGTGCTCTTTTCATACCAAACCGCTGCAGTGCCTTTGCCATCTTAAGAACCTAGAAATCACCATAGCAAATGATAAGTATATGTCTTTTTTTCTTTTGTTGATGAACAACTAGTTCAAAGGTAAGAAAGTGTACCAGATTTTTGTGGTATACACCAACGACAGCATAAGACACGCTAGCAGGATTAAGCATCGGTCCCAATATGTTAAAAACAGTTTTTATTTTAAGCTTTTTTCGGACAGGACCAACGATCTTCATAGCTGGATGGTACATTGGTGACATCATGAAACCGATCCCTGATTCTTCAACACATCTCTTAATCCCCTCTGGTCCCAAGTCAATCACCACTCCTAGTGCCTCTAATACATCAGCACTTCCACACGCAGAAGAACTCGAACGATTGCCTTGCTGCAAAAACAGGCGACTGTTTAATGCACATTTTCGCATTTTAAGTTTCTGACTTCTTTTAAGGATTTTCTCATTCACTACCTTTGCTACTTTTGCACCACAAGCTGCAGCAAGAATTGAAGACCCAGTTGATATGTTGACTGTGTTTGCTCCATCACCACCAGTTCCAACTATGTCCACAGCATCGACTAATCCTTCTACTTTCCTCGCACGATTCATCATTGCCCTAGCCAACCCCACAATCTACTCAACACCGGATTATCGAAAGGTAAATGTGTGTACTCAGTGAAGTATTTCAAATATAGGATTATGTAAAAAGTTTGTATACGCCTAGATTGATTTAGTTTATACTTACTTCTTCGTATGTCTCTCCTTTAGCTCTCAGCAGAACCAGAAAGGCACTAATTAACGCCTCGTTTGCCTCGTTCAGCAAAAACTCGAGAGATGATTCAGTCTCGGATTCAGATAGATCAACCCGATCGATCAAAGCTTCAATCAACTGAGAAAAAAATAATAATAGAACAGAGCAAACACATTATGAGAACTGAGTAATATCATGATCTAAATCTATGTCTCCAAAGACATTGGGAAGCTAACCAAAACTAAAGCTCTTTTAAATCCATTAATTAACAACAATTTTTTACTCAAAATCCATAAAAGCCATCAACTTTGTCCAACCATACAAATGAAATTTGTAGAAGATACATGACCAATCATGTTTAGTCATAGAAAGAAGCAAATGAGTCAATCCAACTCAGAAAACAAAAAGAAAAAAGATATTTAACTAAATGATCACAAATCAAGACCCATAAACCATGGGATTTAAAAGAACAGAAATCACAAACTTAACCTCAAAGTAAAAAGGGCTTACCTGGTTGAAAGATTTAATGGAAGAAGGGGAGGTGGCATTTTCACAAGCACTTGGCAGAGCTTTGGGAGCACCGAAACCACTGATTCCACCGCTCAAAACGAGGTTCCGAGGGTAAGCGAAAGAGCTGCAGCAATTCACGAGAACGAAACGACAATCAGATTCCTAGATCCAAATCGATGACCACTAACAAGTTCAAGGGATGTGTTTTACTTTATGCAGACACCTAAACCCATATAGAGGCTTACCTGCGACTGGAAGACGGAAAGGGAGATTGGGCATCCCCGCGAATTGGCGACACAGCACCGATCGGTGAAAATCGTCGCCGACTAAATGCCGGAATTTTTTTAACTCCGGTGAATTCGGTTCTTCCGCAACTCGAGCCATCATCTGAGGCGTTGAACGAAGTCACGATCCCTGAAAGCTTGATGCCGGAAACAATGGAGGTCGTCGCCGCCATAACCATCGTTTGCCTAGCCCAGACTAGAGAAATTCGAACGATGGAGAGATAGAGCTATTAAGGATCGTCCCTCTAACAGCTAAAGCTAGCGCCCTTTGACCAAATGTTAAAAAAACAAAAAATTCAATTTATTGGAATATCCAATAATTTTTTCTGATTTTCTCTGATTTTTTTCAAAAACTGAAACAAACAAAAAAAACATTATGATAAGAAGGAAGCACTGTGATACAAAGTACTTGAACTAAATATTGCTGATTAAGATGGAGAAAAAAATATTTGGTTGGTAAGCTTGCGCAGTGGATATAACTTCTTTTCCTGACTCACCACCAACAACGTTTTCCTCGAGTATTTTTGTGTTTCCCCACATTTATCCACTCTAAAAAGTAGGTCACTAGTTTACTGAGAAAGTCAAATATCCCCACTCTACTATTAGAAAATACTTAATATTAGGCCTGGACATAGGACGAGTACTTGCCCATTTTGGGATACTTGATACTTGATCTGTCCAATTCAAGTATCAAGATATTAGTACTTGTACTTGACTTGTTAATATTAAGTATTTACAATTTCAAGTATTTACTTAAATTTTTATTACTTGTAAGTTATTTGGCTTGTCCCGTTACTTATAAAAGTACAAGTAAAATACTTAAAAAAAACTAAAATTTCGGGTCATATTTAATTAAAACCCATGATAATATTTAATATTTTAACCTTTAGACATTTGGAAAGCATTAAGTATTGAAGTCTAGCAATTTATTTGTCTTTTCAGACTCTTTTTTCTTCTTTTGTGTTGTAATCTATGTGGAACAAAATTAAAAAAAATCAGAGATTAAAAACGAGTAACGGATCAATAAGACCAAGTAACAACTTTTTTTAATACTTGATACTTGCCTTATACTTGCAAGTAATTTTTAGGATACTTGATATTCGACTTGATCAAAACAAGTACTTGGTTTTACGGGACAAGTACGGATCAAGTAACGGATCAAATAAGGAGTATGGAACGAATACTTTACTTGTGCCCAGCCCGACGTAATATAAATCCAATTAATAGCCCATAATGACCCAAGATGGCCCAATAATCTTAAACAACCCAAAATATATACAATCCGATCCAACAAAATACTATAAGATTCAAAAAGATTTCGCAAATTCCTCGACTCCAAAGTGCAAAACCGACGAACTCTTAAAGAACTCGCTGCAACAGATCACATGAGCCGATCAGATAAAGAGGGTAGTCGTCGGAAAAAGTTCAACACCGGAGAAGGTTTCCTATCACGGAAAATCGGATGCCGGAAGTAATAAAAACCCGACGCCATCGCCACCATCTTTGTCGGCACAAGATACAACACCAACGCCACCACCAAACACATCCCCACGAATATACCCGTCGCTCTCGGATCCCGCCACGTCACCAAAGCCTGCATCTTCTCCCCCTGCGCCGCCACCTCACCAAGTATCGTCTGAACTCTAGCTCCCACCGCTCGCAGCTTATCATACCTCGACCTGACCATCTCCGGCGGCCGGTTACTCGGAACCACATCGAACTCCTCGTCGAGCTCGTCTCTATCGGCTGCATCAGCCAGCGAGAGTTTCGGATCAAAATGCGGGAGAGAAACGCGTGATCTGAACCTGTAGTTCCACGCGCCGATTACGAACAAGTAAAAAGCCAATGTCGGGACGATTAGATCCGGGAACCAAATCAGCATCACGACAAGCGCGTGGACGAGGAGAGTCGATGTCGGATTCTTCCAGAAACGCGTGTCATCCACCCACCGCACCACGTCTATCATTCCGGCGACGACGTTTACAATCCGGAGCCAATTCGCTCGGACTTTACGCATACTGAAAGTGTGCGAATCGGCATCGAGCATGTACCGTACGATCTCCGGCCTCAACGGCGGCTCAGATCGGGACAAGTGTACTGCCAATATCTTCACGGCAGTGTTCCTCAGCATCTCTTCCTGAAACAGAGTCAACGGTTTGATGTAGTGCATCAAAGGCAGCAACGGTTGACTATACACGTGTAAGAAATCTAACGGCGGAGCTGATCTGACGAATCTAACGGCCAATTCTATCTCTCCCATTTTTTTAACGCCGCCGTTAACTAGCATCAGAAGCGGATACGTATTTCTATACGCTTTACCCGTTTCTAATGTAGAGACACGTATACGAACTTTTCCGATTCTCAGATCTTGACGCGTGGCTTCTTTTCCACCGTCGTTCTCGTATACTCCCCAGCTATCGAAGACTCCTATGCTCAGTACCGTACACGGATCGTATACTTTCCACGTATATTGCTCGTTCCATTTCGGATCCAGAGAATCCGATACGGTTCGGGTACGGACCCACTTAGTGCCGTATTTCGCCACCGTGTACGCGTCCGTCGATCCTTTTCCGTTCACCGTCTTCATCGGCAACAAATTCTTGCAACTGATTACACCGAGCTCGACGATTCCAACCGCCGGTTTCCATAGCTGCCTCGCCGTTGCTCGGTAATCGCTGCACACGTGCGCCGCCTCGTCCATCACGTGATAACCACCGTCGAAGCAGAGTCTCAGGTGTACTCTAGATCTGTTTCCTCTCTTCTCGTCGTTTGGATCTTCGAAACCGAACCATCTGGAGGCAACCAATCGATCGTCGACACGCCTCTCGATTGCTCCGAGCGGCACGCGCGCCATCCCGACGGTGACCGGTCCTTTCGACGTTCGATACTCCAAGGTGAAAACTAGCTGATCGGCGAAAGGCTCGGCGGCTACGAAGAGCAGATCTTCGTTCCATGACGGCGCGCCGTTACGTGTAACGGCGGATTTGGTTTTCTGCACTTGGAAGCCTAATTGGGCTTTCAATTGAAACGACGCTTCCTTAAACGCCGTTAATTGAGGCGGTAATAAGTCTTGAGCTTCGATCACGGTGGCGCGAAGATACCACAGCTTCGGCGACATGTAGACCTTGGCTCGGGCGGTTACATTTCCGGCTGTGTCGGTCTTCCACGCGTCGGGGAATGATTCGTCTGCTTGGGTTCCTGTCCACGTGGCGAGCATTAGATCGCCGTGGTGAGCTCCACCTCCTTCGAGACGGTACCATTGGGGCGCAAGTGGACTATCCGGCGGGTCTCGGAGCGGAATCTCCGACACGTCGAAGCAAATTCCACCGAGGAAGTGGCTAGTGTCGATTCCCGTCGATGGATCCCACACGGAGATCTCCAGAATCGGGGAGGAAGATAAATCCGGCGAATCGCGGAGGAAGGCGAAGGTTTGATCCCACTCGAAGGTAGAGGTTTTTCTTGCGGGTTTTGATTGGATCATCGTGCCGGAGAGTGAGATCTTTGTAATCGGAGACCCGGAGGTTGATAGCGACCGAGCTTTCACAACGCGGACAAAGACGTAATGCATTTTCTCCACCAAATCAAACGCGGATCGTTCGATCGTCGATACGTCGGAGATCTCTGATGTGTAACTCGCTGTTTCTGAAACGCTTCTCCGTAGTGGCTGCGGTCCGCCGATTCCTCCGATATTGGTTTCTGGTATGGAACCGGATACAGATCTCGAAATGGTAACTTCCGGTAACGGTGATCGCGGCGTCGAAACCCAGCTTGCCGCATCTCCGGTCTCAAGAACATTATCTTCACCGTCAGGTTGATTCTGCTGTGGCTCTTCCACCGGTAATTTCGGGTCTGCCTCTGCCTCCGCTTCATTCTTATCTGTTTCCGATGGCAGAGTTGGTTCAGGCACAGCTGGATCTTCTCCACCAACCGTAGCATTTTCCTGTGACGCCGGTGAAGCCTCCTCTTTAGGCTTAGGACCCTCTGCTGGTGAATTCTCCGGCTGTGGCGGTGGTGATGGTTCGGCGGTTTCTTTCACTTCAGGAGGACCGTCGTTATTCTTTGGTGGTGGCTGAGAATCGTTTTGATCTTCCGTCGTCACCTCCTCCGCCTTTTCCTCCACCACCGTCTCAAGAGGAGCTACCGCCGGTTTCAAAGCAGGAGGCGTCTCATCGGCGTAATAAATCCTAATCCCAATCTCACCTTGCACAAGATTAAACAGACTCTTCTTCTCCAGAGGATAGTATATCAAAGCCTCCTCTCCTTTCCCGACAAACTGATCCGACCCGAGTCGGATCCTACCGAGAAAATTGTTCCTCCGGGTGGGTCCAAAGTTCTTGTCATGGTACATGTCAATCTCAAGAACATCGGTAAAGACCTGATGAGATGGTCGCTTTGCAAGACTGAACTCGAGCGTCTCGTTCCAAACAGGGTTTAAGTCACGGACTATGGTTCTTGTCCGTCGTCTCTGGCCGTAGTAGTCGACGACAACGTACGGACTTGACGTTCCATGGCCGTCCTTTGGTGTAAGGTCTTTTGCGTCTACTACTTCCACTACCAGTTTCCGTGTTACCGCCATTTTTTAATCTTTGGAGCTGTTGCTTCATGCATGCATGAGAGAAAGCTAGAGTGAAGAACAGAAGATGTTTGATTTGCAGGATTATGTTAAGAAAATAGTGGGAAAGAGAATCTAAAGAGCCGAATCAAAAAAATAGGATAATAATTTAATTCTTTTAGGTGTATCTGATAGGAAAGAAAGAGCCTGTGTTTGTGTGTATATATATGTAAAACTATAGTAAAGTAAATATGAACTGTTGTTTTATTGAGATATTCACTAAGGATAGTTGAATGAAAGAAAAATATGACAAATGTCCAAGTTGTTGCATGCACATTTAAAACTGTACAATCGAATCAGTGTCAGGATTTATGAATTTTTTTTTTCTCTATTGACTGTATATTGAGTGTGAAATATTTGCCTTCGACTATTCTGAAATTAAGCCTTAAAATTCCATATATCTAAAAAAGAAATTCATGTGCTACTTTACTTGGTTTAGAAGCAACTCCTGACAATTCAAACTTAGATTTCTACTTCTTTTCTTTGTGTTTTCCCTTTTGCTTTCCCTTTTCTTCTTGTTAGTATGAAATACATTCAGATCTTTTCTCTTTTCGGTCATAGATTACGTAATTCCTTACTTTCGGCTTTTGTTTTTCTAAGTTGCTTTTGACTAATTGAAGATTCTCTTATTGTTCTTTAATAGCTTTAGTTCAGAAGGAGATTGAAGGTGGTGGATGACACTCAATGCCACCAAGGACATGTCAGATTTTAGGCAATTTCTTTTGTTCTCTCTTGAAAAGGTGATTGGTCTCTTTGTCTCTAATTTTTCTCGAATCTCACCGACCTTTAGCTTAAACTTTCTACTCTCAATCTCAATAGTTCCTCTCAATCAACCTCACCCATATTCCAATGTTCATCTTTTAGGCGAGATAAATGAACTTTGGTTCAATGTTTTCTTTTTGGTATTTCAATGTTTGGGTTAAGAACTATCTTACATATAAAATATAAAAGTTGCTCAACTCTCTCTATATGAGTGACACATCAGCATTTGAGAATTGATATGGGAATGATACGTGTCATTTTAAAGAAAATTAATTAATAAATTTTAAATGTTAAACCACTAAAGAAAATGAAAAGTTTTTTTAATTGATTCTTAAATAACATTTATGTAAATATTAAACAATAATTTATGTTATAATTAATTGATGTTTTTAATAACTTCTTGATTTTTAATGATATTATATTTTAATTAATTGATTTATAATAAAATATTAACAAATGATGATCATATTTTTTTAAAAAAATTACAAAAATATATAAATTTGAAATAGTTGAAGAAAAAATCTATTTAAAATTACAGTTTTAAAAAAGAAAATTAATTAATAAATTTTAATTTTAAATTTTAAATTACTCAAAAAAATATCTATTAATTGATTTTTAAATAACATTTATGTAAATATTAAACAAGTATGTTATAATTAATTAAATATATTGATAGATAATTAAACAAGAATTTATGTAAATATTAATTCTTGATTTTTAATGAAATTGTATTTCAAATTAATTGATTTATAATAATATACTAACACATAACAAATAATGTTTATATTTTTTAAGAAAATACAAAAATATATAAATTTGAAATAGTTGAAGAAAAAAATCTGCACGTTACGTGCGGATATTCACCTAGTAGATATAAAGTATGCACACAAAGAAAATTAGGAATTTATTGAATTTAATCATTTTTTGTTATCAAGAACATGTATTTTTCGGTGGGTGTTATTTGTATTTGACGCCCAATAAGGTCATCTAAAACTTTCAGACTTTGGTCTTTGACTTCGCAAATGGGGTATTGGGTTCTAAAAAACCAATAGGAGAGCACACCTACAATTATCAGTGTCAGTTGGACTGTCCATGTCTAAATGGGCTTGTCCAAAAGAATATTTTTATTTTCTGGACATTAATGGTCTACACCTAAATAGAACCATGTCCAAATAAGACCAAATCGATTTTGGACCATGACCAATTGGGCTGTCCATAAGTCCAAATAAGACCATTTTCAAAATTATAGTAAAATGAAGAGATTCAAAACATGAGTTTAACGTAATTGCAGCAAAAAAAGAAATTCAACTTACAAGATACAAGTTCAACTAAAAAATTATCATAAAAAAGATAGAAGGGAGATAGAGACATTAATAGCTTCTATGTTGTTCGGATTTTTTTTCTTCCACTTTCACTATCATCTTCTTCATTTTCTTCATATGGGAGATAGAGTCATTTTTTAAGACTAACATTTTAGTCGTTCTCGATTGGTTTAGGATAAGCAAACAATAATTAAACCATTAGATCAAACGGTTTGTTTGCAACAATTAGAAGAAAAAAAAGCGACTAATTTTAGAAATAATTAAAATAATTAAAATAATTATAAAAATTAATCATTGATTATAAAAATTTATGAACTATAATAATTAATTAAAATAATTATAAAAATTCTAGGTAAAATAAATTCTCTAATATGAACTATTAGAATCATTGATTCAACAACCGCCTCATACTTGTTCATACTTAAAAAAATCCCAATTTGATTTGACTTATAATTTTTATATCATTGGACCGACCAAAAACCATATGGTTTAACCCATTTATTTTCTAGACAAAACTAAACTAAAACCATTTAGATCCATTAATATTTGGGTGTGTCCATAACCGATCCATTATAATTTGGACATGGGTCAGCCCGCCCATGTGACACCTCCGCCTACAATTAGTTAACCTTCTACGTATTTACACGCTTTCATACTTCAGCTGATGTTTATACAACAATATACGATATCACCGAACTCATTGATATAGTTTTGAGAACGAGGGTGGTTAGAGGAGTGATATTTTCCCTAAAACATAGTTTCCAGTTTCCACACATGAAATATCATTGTAATCCCCTTAGCAGGTATACAGTATATATAATCAGTTCCTCTGAATAAACCCAAGTGACGGACAAAGTTACAATGATCACATGAGAAACATAGAGCCCTGTAAGATTTTGCATTCTTTGCCGCCATATGAATTCCGTAGGGGTATAATGTGCGCCCCAATGAGTGAGAGTCCGTGACCTCAGACCCTCAGACCAAGAGAAAAAAAGAAGGGAACAACTCTTGGAGCCATGTTCCTGCAAATATTACTGGATTGCTCACCCTGAGTTATCGACTCTACCGCACGAGGAGAAGCAATAATTGAGAACGTTCAAGTGTTGTAGAGGGAACAGAGAGGACAAGCAAGAATCTGAGAATTAGCAACTAAGAAATATGGGCGAAAATCTGAAGAGACCAACATTGATGCTTGTGTGTGTCTATATCATTTTTTCAATATTGATATTATGTGTGACTTTTAAGTTGGTTCGTTAACACCTTGGAGGAATTGTACTAGATGATGTGCTGATGGGTTTTAAGTGTGGTTGTGAGCGAAAGTGACAAAACTTGTTATCAAAGGAACTAAGTATTTTTTTTCTCCTGACTGGTTCACAACTGTTTTGGGAGGCAAACTTTTGCGGATTCCAAGAGAAAGAATTTCACTGTCCTACTGCAGGAGCTGGTTTTCCCTTATCAGTGTGAAAAAAACTGATCTGTTTTATAACTCAGGAAAATAAAAAATTCTGATTATCTGTGTTCATTTATTGAATGTAGAGTTGGATCTTTCGGCGAAAGAGCCTTGCTTTGTTATGTTTAACATGAGTCGCCACAAATTCCGTGGTAGTCTTCTAAGCCAAATCACGTTCACTTTTGTCTTTTCAGGTTTAAAGGAACAAGAACTAAAGAAGCAAAATTTCCTAGCGGAATCAAGTTCGCTTGAATCATGCATTTTACTGTAATTTTATGGACACAACTCCATTTCAAAATGAAATGAAGATCTTATTCGAATTGTCGTGTCAGGTCTCTGACTAGTCAAAGTGAACATGTGCCCTTATTTTCCAAGCGGCAGATCGTGATTAAGCAATATATTATGTATTTGGATAAATCGCTGGCAGCTTCTTTTGATCAATTACATTCACTGTTTTGCATATGGTTCCTAGTTGCAGTAATTCAACTGTTATTTACAAATAAACAAATACTTCACCGCCATTATATAATTGACGTATATATTGGTCAATTAGCGGCTATATTTATAGTTAAATTGTATTGACTTGAATATGAAGTACAAAGACTAATAAACCAGGATTAGGATTTAGGAATACTGTATAGATTTGATGCTTTATGTAGCTGGATAACACGATATTTTATTGTTTTTCTTCGATAGTAATCTTCATCTCGGTGGATCTTCCAATAACCGATCAATGTTTCGAATCTCCTAACATATATTATGATGAATACATTTAGATTCCATGTGTCAACAGGCTTTTAATTACAATTAAAAGTATACGTATAAAGCGGATCTAGATCTGATATATATATATAAAAATAAAGTGTCTCGAAGTACCAACGGAGATCAATGTAATAGAAGTGTATCTTTGAGTACTAACACGTAGTATTAATTCTATATATATATATATATATATAGCAGGCTGGTCTTCAAATAGCAGAAACATGAACCAAACCCAAAGCAGAAAAGAAATGGTTGAAAAAACAGAGGATTTCAAGTATCTAACGCCTAATGGATATAAACAAAGATGTCCTTTGTCTCATCCGACTCAACCTCACACCCTTTCTCCTCGAGCCAGCCGGACCCCTGAATCCAATTGCTTCATATGCGGGAAGCAAAAAGACATTACTGATCCTGGTTACCATTACCACTGCACCACCTGCGATGTTTGTTTCCACAGTCACTGTTTCGAGCAGCAGCCTAGAAAAATCACACATCCTTTTCACCTCCAACACCCTCTCCTTTTAACCTTTGGCAAGCATGGAGATATCATTGACGGCAGCAATATTTTAACGGATCAAGACAGCTCTAAAGCTGTCGCTGTCAACTCCAACTTCAGCACATCATCGCATCCTGGTAAGTCTGGATTGCGTAGCTTATACGATAACTGCACTTGGTGTGGGAAATATATACCATCATCATTATCGGGTCCTAGATGCACAGTTTTCTATCGATGTTCTATTTGTAGCTTCTGTTTGGATACTTCTTGCGCCAAAACCAACCCACCTCTTACTATTGAAAACCCTAAATGCCATCATCATCCACTCGTCTTTTTCCCTCGACCACTTTTGGTTCCTTGCGATGCTTGTGGCCTTGTCGACAGATCAGAATCAAGTTATGCTTGTTTCCAGTGTAATTATATGGTCCATCAATATTGTGTTGATTTACCACGCGTCATAAAGATCACGCGTCATCCTCATCGTCTCTCTTATTCTCCTTACCTTCTTCCACCTCCAAATTCACTGTGTCGGATCTGCTACAAGACAGTCGACGTCAAATACGGACAGTATTCTTGTAAAAACGAGGATTGCTCTTACGTTCTCCATTCCAAATGTGCAACACATGTGATGGTGTGGGACGGAAAGGAACTCGAGTGGACACCTGAAGAAGCCGATGTAGTTGAGGATATTCCACCATTCAAGAAGGTTGGTGATGGTTTGATAGAACATTTTGGTCATGAACATCATCATCTTAAGCTCGAGAAATATATTAGTGTACGAGACGCAAAGAAACTATGCCAGGCGTGCGTCCTTCCAATCGGCCAGCGTGATTTCTACAACTGTGTGCAATGTGATTTATTTTCTCCACATTGTATGTGCTGGTCTACCTAGAAAACTGGATCATGCGTTGCATAATCATTCTGTTTTCCTCGATCCATTTCCACTGCCCAAAATCAGTAACTTGCAGTGTTCAGCTTGTGCTCGATGTTCCAATGGTTTCAAGTACAAGTGCTATAAAAAGGGTTGCCAGATTAGTTGGTTCACGATAGATGTTCCTTGCTGTTTAGTTCCTGAGTATAGCACTGAAAAAGTCCATGAGCATCCCCTATTCATCGCTCCGTACAATTACGACCATGAACCTTATCGCTGCAATGGTTGTAAGAGACGTCTTACGAAGACTCGTCTACAGTGTACACTCTGCGACTTTTCTATTTGTTATGAATGCGCTACGATTCCAAAGGAGTTACAGAATAAATACGATGAACATCCTCTCACTCTTTGCTATGGAGAAGACACGGAAGGTGGTGGCAAGTATTGGTGCGAAGAATGTGAAAAGGAAGTGGATCGGTCAGAATGGTTCTACACATGCAACAAATGTTGCATCACTATCCATCGAACATGCCTATTCGGATTCTACGTTTATCTGAAGCCTCCTTACACTTTCGAATATTTTTCTCCTTCTACCACGTCGGTGGAAGTTTTTGGCAATAGTAGTAGCCCTCGACCAATTTGCAATCGGTGTGAGGATCGTTGTCGGGGTTCTACTTACTTCAAATTCGACATGAAGACTCTTTGTTCTTGGTGTCTTTTTGCACCCCCTAAAAGATAAAACATAAATAGAAAATTATCTTTTTTACATTACATGTAATATGGTGCAACGCATCTTTGTTACTCTTTTTAGTCCGCTTACCAGCTTACACCGTGTTCGACCAAATATGTTTTAGGGTTTTTCTTCAGTTCTCGCATTTTGTGTTTGTTCAGTTCCCTCTTCTTCTTTTTCTATTCTCATTGCCTTTTATTTAGTGTAAAATATCGTTCCATTTTTTTATGAATAAACAAGCCGGGAATAATCTTTTCTTAAATCTTTTTTTTCGGTATTCAGATTCGTATTAATGAAAATTGGAAACTTTAAAGATATGATGAAGTGGCAATGACCGTGCTCAGCAATATATCGGGTTTCACACTTGGTCAGTTCCCCACTCGCTATCTTGGACTGCCTCTGAACCCCCGTCGAATCACATTAGCCACTTTGCAGCCATTTATCGATCGTATTACCTCTAAAATTCATTCCTGGACGGTTAAGCTGCTGTCATTTGCAGGAAAGATACGCCTTATCTCCTCTGTGATCTACGGTATGGTCAACTTCTGGAGCTCTGTTTTTACTCTTCCTAAGTCTTTCTATAACAAGATTGATTCTCTCTGTGCGGCATTCCTATGGAAGAATAAGACCAACTCGGCAAATGGAGCAAGAGTTGCTTGGGTGGATATATGTAAGCCAAAGCAGGAAGGGGGTCTTGGAATTCGGATGTTAGAGGAATTCGCAATGGTTTTTCGGCTTAAACATGTCTGGAATTTCTTCTCCAACTCGGGTTCTCTCTGGGTGGCTTGGTTAAAGGCACACATTTTCAGAAGAAAGAACTTTTGGCAAGTTGATGATGCAAATAGATTCTCCGCCACAATATGCAGTATGGTTCAGTTGAAATATGTGTTAAGGGACTTTCTGCGTTGTGTGGTTGGAAATGGGCAATCGGTTTCGTTCTGGTATGATTATTGGAATGATCTTGGTCCCCTTATCTCAATGTTTGGAGCTTCTGGGCCTCGGCAACTCCGTATTCCAGCATCGGCCCTCGTTATTAATGCCACAAGACATGGTACTTGGCACTTACCAGCGGCTCGTTCGGACATCTCTGAGACTCTTCATATTGTCCTCAGTACCATCACACCCCCATCCAGTTCCATGGGCGATGATTACTACCTTTGGCCTAATGTTGGGGGATCGTTTGGACCTTCATTTTCCTCTAAGGTCACTTGGGATCATATACGTCACTCATCTCCGACAGTTTTGTGGCATAAGCTTGTCTGGTTTAAAGAGGAAATTCCTCGCTGCTCCTTCATAGCATGGCTTGCTATGCTTAGGCGCTTACCCACTAGAGATCGTCTCTTGAGATGGGGAATGTCGGTTCAAGCTGTTTGTCCTCTCTGCGATGCAGACCTGGAATCACATGAGCATCTATTTTTCCGATGTTCAGTCTCTTCTGATCTCTGGACTCGGTTTACTGGTTCTATCTGGTCTAACCCCCCACTGTCTCTCGAAGCTGTGGCTCCGTGGATTGTTAGCAGGAACTCAACTACCTCTCGTCCTCTCCAGGTCCTCGCCAAGCTGATGTTTCAATGCATCTTATACTCTTTGTGGAAGGAACGTAATGCCCGCGTGTTTACTGCCTCGACGTCTTCGGTTACCGTCCTTCGTACCCGTGCTGACCGTTTGATAAGGGATCGCCTCCTCTCCTATCCAACCAGGAGCCTCTTTTCTCAGTCGTTGCTCGAGCTTTACTTTCAGCAAATTAGATCTATTAGTTAATATGTAATCTCTCTCTTTCTATCCTGTATTTCTTCTAATAAGTAGCTCGCCACAACTCTGTATATATTTTAAAATCTGGTATGAAATCTTAACATTTTCGACAAAAAAAAAAAAAAAAAAAACTTTAAAGATAAAACTATTGCTGTACACGAAACGAAAGTAGAAAGTTTTGTGAGAACTCGCAGATAGAGTCAAAACGGTCAGGCCCAACAACTTGGCGGGCTTTAGTTTACCTCTTAATAAATATCGTTACAGTTTCAAAATCAACAAAACCCTAATTTCCGCAATTAACCTTCTTGTTGTGTCCGGAAGCCGGCAAAGCCCACCGAATTGAACCTAATTTTACGACAGAGAACGGTGAAGATTGAAGCGGAGGCTCCTCCGTACATCGTTTCGAAATAGTTCACTTGCGCAAGTATTGCTCAACCTTTTATTTTCAGCCTTCTCTTCGATCCTCTGTTTGGAATTTCTACATCGGATTTCTCGGGGATTTCAGTTTTGTTTTCGGATTTTTCAAGGATTTGAGTTACGTCAATTTATTTTATAATTTTGGGGAATGAAATCCTACATTGGTTTACTGATGTTCTTTCGATTATTTATTTGGATTCTAACTGGAGTTTTTCTCGAGTCCTTAAGTTTCATAGGGCTATAGAACTACAATGTTGAATTATTGGTACCCAAAAGGGTTATAAATAGTTAAGAGAAGCTCAATTGTCATAGTCCAAATTATTCAGGATTCTAATATTTTTTTTTTTCCTTTGTTGTTGGCAGAATCTGTTGCTGGGAAGTTAAAATGGGTAAGCTGATAATTTGTCTTAGCAATGGTGAATGGTCTAATCTATCTGTCTATTTCAGCTAGGATTTTTAAAAGAATCTCCATTTGTATGTTTTTGACCCTCGACAGGGAACTCACGTCATGAAAAGCGAAAAGAGGCTCGCTTGCTGAAGAACCAGAAAAAACATGAATCTTGGCTTCAGCGTCAGGTACTGAGGGAACCTTTGTTTAATAACTATGGTATACTTTACTATGCACAAATCAACCCCTGTTAAAATGGTTCGTTGATGTGTAATGTTGGTTTTCTGGATCTCAGAAGTCGCAAAAAGAGAAAGGAGTATCATCATCAGTTCAGAAGACTAGTGAAGTGATCAAGTCTGAAAATTTTCATCAGATGAGTGATAGTGAAACTGAACATTTGGAATCAAGTAGACCTAGTGGAAAGAAGGATGATGGAAAATCTCTTACACAAAAGAAAGGCGAGGTTAGAGTCAAATCAAACGAGAAGAAGATGCAAAAAGTACACAGAATGAAAGATCTAAAGAAGCCAAAAAAGACGAAATTTGAAGAGTTTCTTGAAATGGAGACACAAAGCGCTTCAGTATCTGCTGAGCAGGATCTTGTACTTGAGAGGAAGCTCGCAAAGAAGCTCAATGTAAAGAAAGGAAAACTAAGGGGCTTGGATGATGGTATGAATGAATTGTTTGAAGGACTTCCATCTTTATTGGATTCGATGGGATCTGAACTCGGTGATTCCAGTAAGAAGCGTAAGAGAAAGAGATCCGTAGAAAGACAGGACGATGAGGTTGTTGAACAGCAAGAAAACAGAGATTTGGAGCATGAAGATTCTGATTTTTCTGATGAGGCAAGCGAAGAAGAGCCTAAAAGAAAAAGAGACCGTAAACAGCGTAAGAAGAAGAAGTCTCTGGATGAAGCACTAGAAATTCATCCGATGAAAATCACAGATGGTGGTGAGCCAGAGATTGTTAATTATCACGATTCACCGTCAAGCTTGGAGAAAGTAGAATCTCCTCTGCAGGAACGTAATCCTGAGAGCAGCATCAAATATGTTGCTCCTCGTTTTAGATCTCAGGCCAGAAGTGAACCTGAAGAACACACTAAAATACGTACTCGGGTAAAAGGTATGGCTAGCAAAGGCAGTATAACCTGTGGTGTTTCTAACTCTGTAATCTTAGTTTGACATGCTTGATATGTGTTGCAGGTCTTCTTAATAAGATGGCTGAATCCAATGTAGAAACAATAACTTCAGAGCTTTCAACAATCTACCGCGTAAGTTTCAATATCCTTCGCAGTTTTTCCTCCAGAATTATTGATAGTTGTATTGTTGATATTGTGTGCTTATCATAATCATATTTCACTATGAAAATTGCTTCAATACTATTCTGTTATTGTTTATTGCTTCCCTGTAGTAACCCCTGTAATATTTGCTACTGCAGACTGTTGCGAGAAGTGTGTCCTCTCAGATTTTCTGTGAAGAGGTTTTGGCAACTTATGCCAGAGGCAATGAGCAGTTAAGATACTTTCTAGAGTTTCAGCTGGTGTTACTACTAACCCTTGAATAATGTAGAACTGCTTGGTTACATTGGCGACCATATTAGTCGATTCATGTCTGAAAATTTTGTTTTCCTTGTTAAGGTACTCTGTATTTGCTGCTTTTATAGCTGGTATGGCGTGTCTAGTTGGAATGGATTTTAGTGCAAAGCTTATTGCTTCACTTGCCAAATCTTTCGAGGTATGTCCTCCTCTATTCAACCTGTATGGATTGCTTGCTTAATTCTCCACAATATGTTTCTTTTCATAATACTGCGTTAATTACAATTCCTTAAATTTGTCTTTAGGATGAATACCAGAAAGAAGACAGTCTCTCTTTGAATGGAATTACTCTTTTACTCTCTTATCTGTGCGTATTGGGAGTTTGCTCCAGGTAAACTTTCTGCAGCTACACATTCTTTCAGTTTAATCAAGAGCTATAGCCTATAGGCAAGTGTAGTTATTCTTCACTGTTTTGAAATTTCTAGAACTGAACCAAGAAAGCTGTTTACTTATCAGTTTATCAAACCAGATAATCTAAACACACTTTTTCGTCAGAATCTTGTGGAAATGAATTTTCTACACTTTTGAACACTCTCGAGTGGTCGTCATGCACTATGGATTTTAATTTTTTTCTGGCATGGATGTTTCCTGCTTTCTTACCCCAAAGGACTATCTAGTTCTTTTATGCAACAGCACTAGAAAGTAGAGTTATCTTATTTTATTTATTTTTTTACTTTTTTCCATACACTTAAATTCACGATTTTTTTTGGTTATTTTCTGGGACGGAATGTAAATTTTTATATTTGTTTCTGCAGTGATCTTATTTATGATTTTCTTATGACATTGGGGAAGCGGCTGACTGAAGTTGATGCATGCACTATTTTAACTGTTTTAGATTGTAAGTTTTATGATTATCCTTGCATGGTCATATTAGGTGTTTTTAGTTTTGATGTTTCACCTATAAATTCTTGATTATGCTTTGAGTAGGCTGTGGAATGAAAATAAGAAGTGATGATCCTCTGGCTATGAAAACATTCATCATAAGCATCCAGAACAAGGCAAATGAAATTAAAACTTCACCGGATGGCCAGACAAAAATAAAAAAGTACACAGTAAGTGATCTAACAAAGATTCTCTTCTTGAAGAAAATGTTTTGATATAATTTTAAACCGTTTCTTACACTGAATTTTGCAGATGGAAAAGATGCTTGAAACCATTGCTGCCATCAAGAACAACAAAGTGAGAGCCAAAGAAGATTCCGTCCAGAACACGAGGGTAAAGAAGTGGCTTCAGAAGGTAATATCTCAGCTAGTTTTTCCTCTATATGATATTTAATGGATTTCATCATGACAATCATAAACTTTGCGCTTCTGCTTCTCACCGTCACTTTTGGATGAGTAAGTTTGTGCCCTTATTTATTACAATCTGCACAGTTGAGAGTGGAAGAAGTATTACTAAGAGGGCTCACATGGAGCAAGCTGCTTGACCCCGAGAAGAAGGGTCAGTGGTGGTTATCTGGCGATGTGGTGGTTAAATCAAACAATGCTGAAGATGTAGCACAAACAATGGACGCAGAGGTTGTTGAGGCCCAGAAGATGTTAAAGCTAGCTGATTCACAGAGGATGAATACAGATTCCAGAAAAGCTATCTTTTGCGTGATCATGAGTAGTGAAGACTACATTGATGCATTTGAGAAACTTCTTAGATTGGATTTGCCAGGAAAGCAGGACAGGGAGATCATGAGGGTTCTAGTTGAATGCTGTTTACAGGAGAAAGCATTTAACAAGTTCTACACAGTTCTCGCTTCAAAGTTTTGCGAGCACGACAAGAATCATAAGTTTACACTACAGGTACTTTTCTACTATCTTATAAAGACGAAACTGGTTTATGTAACGAATCCATTTTCTCTTTATCATCTTGTGTTTTTTTTTCTTATAACAAATTTCCTGCAGTATTGCATCTGGGATCATTTCAAAGAACTAGAGTCAATGTCACTTCAGAGATCAATGCATCTGGCGAAATTTGTGGCAGAGATGATTGTATCGTTCAATCTTTCCCTTGCGGTGCTCAAATCTGTGGACTTGGCAAATCCAGTGCAGTTAACTCCAAAAAGAATTATGCACTTTCGAATGCTGTTCGAGGCCATCTTCGAGCACACTGAGAATCTTGTGTGGAACGTGTTCACGCGCATAGCCTTGAATCCGGACTATGAAGCTCTGCGCGATGGCATCAAATTCTTTATGAAGGAGTATGTTGTGAAATCTAATAAGTCAATCTTTGGGAAATTCAGGAAAGCGAAAGAAGCTCTTAACAATGCAGATGGATTGCTCATGTGATTCTGTTGCCATAAAGGATGTGAAGGCCAACAATTTTCAAGCTCTTTTTACTCCGATTATGTAGAAACTTTTTCAATTGACAGAAATTTTTGTGTAGTTTCTATTTTTATTTTAAGGTTCCAAGTTTCAGTAGCTTCAATAAAAAATTGTAGAGATCTTAAAGATATTCCGGTTTTCTTATGTCATCAAGTTAGATGTTCTTTTATACTTACTTTTTGTAACATTATGTTACAAACGTTCAGTGAACACTAACATTGAGAAGTTAAAATTGTACATGGATTTTAAAAGCTTATTTGGGAAACTGTTTCGATAATGTCTTACATTGTACACATTTTCTTTTGACAGAAACTTTTGTGTACTTCTATTTATTATTTAAGGTTTCCAAAGTTTCATTAACTTTAATAAAAATTTGTAGAAACATAGTAAAAGTTGATGTTCTATAACTTGTAACTGGTTTGGTTGATTTCACACAAATTTTTTGCAAAGTAATAACATATGCTGTTTAACTGCAAATTTGCAATTTTTGCTTCAGAACATTTTTATGAACACTGTTGAGAAGTCGAAATTTATTTGGGAAACTGTTTCGATAATATGTATAAGAATCAATCTTTATTTCCTTTCAAGAAACCTTAGAAAAAAGACATTCCATCAGAGAAATAAAGGAGACAAAAGGAAAACACAAACATTGCAGCAAATCCAAAGGATGCCATACCCTCTCTCTCTCAGCAAGAGGGAAACCATATGCATCAAATCTAACTTCGTCTAAAAATATTTCTTAAAAAGTAATTAAAACAAAAACATAACACAAGCATTGTAGATAAAAGAACCGTATCCTCGTTCAAATCATTCATATCTCAATATTTCAAGCTTTCTTCACTTGGCACTGGCGAGCTGGGAGCGGATGAGCTTAGCCGCATCAACCATGTTCTTGAGCGCGGGCTTAACCTCTGTGTACTTACGGGTCTTAAGACCACAGTCAGGGTTAACCCAAAGGATGTTCTGCTCAAGAACAGCAAGCATCTTGTTGACTCTGTCTGCGATTTCCTCAGATGATGGTATTCTTGGAGAGTGGATGTCATAGACACCTGGACCAATACCAGCGCCGTATTTCACTCCCTCACGGAACACAGAGAGAAGCTTCTCATCAGATCGGGAGTTCTCGATGGTGATGACATCAGCATCCATGTCGATGATGGAGTGTATGATGTCATTGAAGTGGGAGTAGCACATGTGAGTGTGGATCTGCAATTAGCCAACAGAAGAAGAAGTTAAAGCAACTGAGGAAACATAGATAATCGAGCGAGAGATGTTTGAGGAAGCAAACCTGGGTGCTGTCTTGGACGCCACAGTTGGTGATTCTGAAGGAGTGAACAGCCCAGTCCAAGTAGAAAGCGTGCTCTGATTTCCTGAGTGGTAATCCTTCTCTAAGTGCAGCCTCGTCAATCTGAATGACACCAATTCCACCTTTCTCAAGATCCTCGACTTCGTCCTTGATGGCCAAAGCGATCTGGTAACAGGTTTCGTGCCTACAAAGTTTTAAAACATATATGTTTTAGTGGTTTTTTCTTTGGGTAAGCTGTATTTATTTTTGGATTAAGGTCTTTTATGTACCTGGGCTGGTCATTTCTGACAAAGGACCAGTTGAGAATGGTGACGGGGCCGGTAAGCATTCCCTTCATTGGGCGGGAGGTCATGCTCTGAGCCATTGCGGACCAGAAGACAGTCATTGCCTTGGGACGGCTCACATCACCGTAGATAACTGGTGGTTTCACACAGCGAGATCCATAAGATTGGACCCATCCGTTTGCGGTGAAGGCAAAACCAGACAACTGCTCCCCAAAGTACTCAACCATGTCGTTTCTCTACAAAATTGTTGAAACATGTTCGTCAGATACATTAACAAGAACTACCAAAATTAACTTTGAATATTAGTCTCGGTCGACTCAATTCGAGGGTTCACGCGATAGCATAGAATTTTTTTTTTTTTTAAAAGAAGCTCACCTCTGGCTCTCCGTGGACAAGAACATCGATGTCAAGTTCCTCTTGAAGGTCAACAACTTTCTTGATCTCTTCCTTCATGGCCTTAACGTAGTCCTCCTCAGAAACCCTAATAAAAGAGAGATCAGTGAAACCGTTAGCATCATACAGATTTAAGGAGATACAAGAGGTTGAATTTAGGAGACTAACTTCTTCGCCTTGTACTCTCTGCGAACTCTCCTGAGCTCTACGGTCTGTGGGAAGGAACCAATGGTTGTGGTTGGCAAGATTGGGAGGTTGAGCTTCTTCTGCTGAGCATCTAGCCTAGCACTAACATTAGTTGAACGACGGTGGTCAGATCCCTTCAAAGCAGCAGCCTGAGATAACAAGAATCAGAAACTATCTCAATCAATAAAATATTAAGAAAATAGATCATTTGAATGAACATGGCTTAGGTTTGACGTCAAACTTACAGCCTTCTGAACACCCTCGTTGGTGACTCTTGGGGAAGACCTCCTTGAAGCCAAAGCAGCAGCGTTGGCAGAGAAAAGGGCCTGAAAGAAAAAAAAATTAGAGTTCTAGTGTTTACCAAATCATTTACATTGCAGATTATTTAAGGAGCCAATAAAGAAGCACGTGGGTATATTTTTCCAAAGAATACCTCATCCTTCTGACCAGCCAAAGCCTTGGCCAATGCGTTCACTTCAACGACCTTCTGGGCAGCAAACGCCATCCATGACTTGATTTCATCGTCAAGCTTAGTCTCATTGACAAGATCGACGGCGGTGTGGAGAAGGGAGCAGGAGGTTGAGACCACAAGCTTGTCTACATCAATGCAGAAAGATAACAGATCAACATTCAAATATTTGATTTTGAGTACGCCCCCTAGTATTGTCAGGTAAAAGGCAGTGGAAGCAAATAATACCTTTTCCAACAATACCCTCAAGTGCCTGCAAAGTGCTGAGAGACGCAGCAAAGTCATTGGCCCAGATATTCCTTCCATCAACAACACCAGCAAAGAGGTACTTTCCCGCGGGGAAACCTGCCTTGACCAATTCAAGAGTCTTTGTGCCACGGACCAAATCCAATCCAAAGGCAGTGACACCCTTCAACGAAGTTAGGGTCTTGTATGCTTCAGCAGGGATATCAGCGAAGTAGGTCTCCACAAGAACATTCAAACCAGAAAGAGTTGATTCAAGTTCAGCATAAGCCCCAGTAAAGGCCTGGAGTTTGTGGCCCTCAAGATCCATAACAAGGACAGGCTCATCAAGCTGAATCCAGGTGGCACCAGCTGCCTTAAGCTCGGTAATCACTTCCCTGAACACAATCAAAGTCATCATTACAGTGGTATGTCAGAGGATCATTCATAACATCAGGGACATTGATGGCCATAAAGAAAGAAAAAAAAACGAGGTGATTTCTTACTTGTAGACTGGGAGAATTTTGGGGAGAAGAGAAAGAAGGTCAAATGACTTCTCCACACCCTTGGCAGCCTTAGAAAGCAGCAAGTAAGAGACAGGGCCAACAAGTACAGGGACGGTCTCAACACCAAGCTGCATAAACATCAAGCTTATCAGATAAGCAACTTTAAGGTGTACAGAATTCAACAAGAGTCAAATGATTTCTAATAGCTATTCTATCAATTAAATGTGGTTTATGAATATTCAAGTCAGTTAATATTCTTGACAAATCAGCATCCTCGGTGAAACACCATTCAATAAATCTAAGCTCAAACACTAAATCTTCGAGACCTAAGCCTATGATCTCCAATAAAATAATCCTCGATCAGACATAATAATCTCATAAGTAAATGGATAATAGTGAATGATACGTACTGCCTTAGCCTCCTTGTACTCATTCACTGCCTTGTGAGATGCGTAAGAAAATTTGACCTCAGGGCCCAATTCAGGGACGATGTAGTGACTGCATCCAAAAAAAAAAAAACATTATCACATTAGTTCACAACTCAGAAAAGCCCAACTATCAATGTCATTGCAAAAGACACAACAAGAGAGCAGGAGACTCACTAGTTGGTGTCAAACCACTTGGTCATTTCCATGGCGGGCACAGAGGCATTTCCTCTGGCCATGGAGAAGTAAACATCTAGACCGATCTCACCACTGGTGTATCCATATCTGGGAGGAACAGCACCTAGCATGGCGGTGGTGTCGAGAACCTGGTCGTAGTGAGCAAAGGTGTTGCTTGGGATGTACTTGGTCCCAGCCTCAGACATCTGTTTCCAGATGGCCGACCTGAGATCAGCCGACACCTTCTGAAGATCCTCAGCAGTGCTCTTGCCATCCCAGAAGGATTCCAATGCAAACTTGAGCTCTCTCTTCGGGCCCATACGAGGATATCCAACAATGTGAGACGCCATTTTGATTTTCTTTTACTGCATCAAAACGTAAAACCAAATCGAGATCAATATCTAACTCAAATAAAATACGAATTCTTATTCATTTACTTGTTAATATATATAGAATAATAAACCGGCGTTTCAGACTCCGAGAAAGCGAAAACAAAACTGACAGAAATAAAGTTCACGTGCTAAGAAAAAAAAAGGGTGAAAAGTTTAGCAGCTTTTGTCGTATTAATGATTGAGATAAACAAGATGAGTCCACTTCAAAGTAGAATCGAAAACATGCGACATTAGTCCTTGCGAGATGAAATAAAGCGGATCTAAGCCATATGAACAGAGAACACCAATCATTTTCACAGATGACAATAGATCGCAATCAGATCCAGAACCAGATCTACGTATCAAGTGACAGCAAAAACTCAGATCTGTAATTGATGAGCTCCTCACCGTTTAGATCTCAGAGAAAAAACACAATACGTACAAATAGATCGCGGAGAGATCGAATCAAACACGATATTGAAATCGAAAGCACTTAATAAGTAGTAATAACAACGTAGGTGGAGACGAAAACGAAATGAAAAGCGGAGCAGCTAAATAAGGGAGACGTGGGGAAGCCATAGAAACTCGGAGACGTACCTCACGGAGGAAGAATCGGAGAAGAGAAGAAAAAGGGTTGGCTACGAAGAGAAGAGAGAGCGAGGAAGAAGAGTGGGCTGTGTGTGTTTATTTATAGCAAAACTAAAATGATAGATCGTTGGGCTCCGTCTATGTGTGTGTAGATCTGGTGGTTGATATTTTCGGCATACTTATTTATTATTTTATGTGTGTGTTTTTCTCAAAAATTGATATTTTTCAACATTCTTTGGTACAGTATTTTTTTTAGGGAAAATTTACCTTATTCCGGATCGTCCCGATCTGGTTCCCTCAAAAAAGGAAAATTACAACTATATCATATTGGTTCGACATAAAAACCTGGATTACCAAAGATAATAATATATATTTTTTTTAAGATAATAATATTGCCACCTTCTATACACTAATATATAAATTACCAGATAACTTTTATTATTCCCCCCCCCCTCAAAGCATATTACAGTAGTTGAGAGAAGTACCTACGATTTTATTGTTAATTATCGATGGGTTATCTTTAAATTTTGATGGTTAATAAAGTCAATCATTTAATTAACGTATTTATAAAAGTATATAAAGAGATTAAATAGAGGATTAAAACGTGACTGGGAGTTGGTGTACGTGGGAGGTCGATGAGTGGGTGGCATGGGACCCACGGAGGTTGGTGGAATCACATTTCACAGTAAAGTTTCTATTAAATACGACGGCGTTTAGTGTCAGCACGATGAGTATCGAAAATTGTTAATTGAGGCCTGTTTATGCTCATCTCTAGAGCAAAATTGTCCGATATTATAGTCGACTCACGACTAGGACAAACAAAAATATTAGTATGTTACTTTTTTTTTAGTATGAATGAACAAAAATATTAAGTTCGGTGAATAGAGTAGGTAAAGACTAAAGAAAGAGGGATTATGGACCCACATTACATATAAATTTGTGTTTAAGATTAATAAACAATGTGATGAGTGGTCTTCATCTTGTTGTTTGCTGATAATTTGGCCACCAAACATTGATTCTTAACTTTATTTATTAACTCCATTACTTCGCTTAATTTACATGCCACTTTTTCTTCTAGTCTAGGTTTTGATTTTTCTTATGTTATTATAACGTTAAATCTTATATTGGTACGCACGATTTATGTAACTACAATAATACATAGGTAAACAACTAAACATCCTTAAAATCTCGCTGTCCTCAATCCTGCGTCACAAATTCATAAGACTAAAAGTCCATATCTCACACTGGTAAATCTACAAAATATAAAATATGCATAGTACAATCAATATGTTTTTTTTTTTTCACGACCAATCATTGATTTTTAATTTTGTTACGTAATTCAAAGTTTATATAATAGTCTAAATCATACCACATACACCAGTTGATTGTTATAGCTCTTTTGCTGGAGTGATACTAATATTCTAAGCTTTGGAATATAAAATTGTCTTTAACCAGTTTACTAGTTTGGACTTTTGCGTACGATTCTCTAATCTCTTGTGAAATTGTGTAGGTCTATTTTGAGTTTAAAATAATAAATCAAAAAGATGCTGTTGCAAATAGAGAAATCAGTCAACAAAGAACTGCTATTTTCGTAATAACCGTCAACAAAATGCTTATACTCACACAATATGGATACAAACTATAGGTTATAGGTTATATGACTTGTATTCTGTCTTTCTGTGGTGTAATATAGGGGCTGGGCAAAATATCTGTTATATTTGCTTCGATCCGTCATCCGTCTCGATTTGATCCGAAAAATCCGGATATCCGTAATTTTATAGAGCAAAGCAAATACTAAAATTCAATATCCGTTAAAAACGGAGCAAATCACAAATACTAAAATAAATTAAGACGGATATCCGCTCCGCTCCGCTCCGATATAAATATATATGTATATATAGATAGATAATAATTCATATAAAGTGTATAATTATTCTATATAAATGTAATTTTTATGAGTTTTTGTTTATAAATTTGATTATTATAAATATTAAAACTTAATAAGTTAAGTAAAAATATATATTTTTAAAGAAAATATTGTCATTTTTAGCTAAATTTTGATTTTGAAAATTTTTATTTTAAATATATTATTATTTAAATATTTTTTTGGGGTGGATCGGATATCCGACAATTCAAATTTTTAGCGGATATCCGAAAAACGGATATCTGGATAGTTACAGAGCGGATACGGATCAGAAACATGATTATCTGGACGGAGCGGATCAAAATCCAGGATATCCGCTCCACAGCGCTAGTGTAATATTATTATCAGCAGTAATTGTCAATCACAACAGTTACATGAGAGAGTAGCAAGAATATTGCATAGGCATCCTTAAAGATGGCTTGTCGGTGGATTTAGATCTAACATTATAATAATAGCAAATACACAAGCATTTAATGAAAATATCATTTTCATTTTCACTTTTGTTTTCCTTTTGGTAAAAGGTTTCATTTTATTGTCCTGCAAACGTTGATGCCAAAAAAAAAAAAAAGATCAAACGCGAAATAATGGAATTTGTAATGTACTTTGTGAAATTAGTGAAGTAACTCGTCCGTATATTGTGACAAATTATAGGGCCATTTTAATATATGTATGTTGTATATCTCACACTTTTTTCGCCATCTTGAGTTTGGTAGATCGTATATAAACGAATCACAAGATCCAAAAACATCCTTATGGCTGGCTTTTAAAACTTTAAGATTAAACAATGAAAATGCATGCTTTTCGCCATGTGAACTAATAAAGTGACGTACATAAACACTATGATTTGACTCAAGAGTTGATTACTTAAGTTTCAGGAATTATTCACCTATCTCAATCATAAGAATTCATGTTGACAAGAGAGTAAAAATGAAAATGCAAGTGAAAGCCAAAGACCTTGTTGAAGCTTAACGGCAATAACTGTCTCTTAGATAATCCATTCTTATAATCCAGCTAGAGTTGAGTTGAACTAGACCTGATCAAATCCGAGCCAAATTACTAACCCGATTACATCCAAAAAAAAAAAAAGAATTGAAAAAAATTGATATAACAACTCTAATTTACCATTTCAAAGAAATATCCAAACAGCAATACACATCTTCTCATTTCTCAGGTTCAATACAAAATAATTTAGAACAAACCCAAAAAAGGAGAAAATATTTAACAAACCAAAACCCTGAAAAACCTTAAAATAGTATCAGGAGATACAAATCAATCAAATCAATAAATATGAAAGCTGAAACAGAAGAAAAGGAAAACACAGACAGACAAAAACCAGCGAAAAGAAGAAAACTCGGTACAAAAAATGATTAGCGGCTCTTCTTGCCCCTTTTAAAACAGAGCACACACAAACAAAAAAACAAAACCCAGAAGTGCTTATCATCACCGCGCAACAAACATATATTTACTTGAGCTGAGAGTATTACCCTTGGATTTTTTAATCCGAGTCACTCGAACTAGAGCTTGAGCTTGAGCTCGAGCTTGACGAATTGGACTCATCCTTCTTCCTCTCCTTCTTCTCTGTCTTTACTTTTTGCTCTGCAATGCCTTCCCCTGAATTAACTGCAGTTTCTTTGGACTCGGGACTCTGGACACTGGCACCAGCGTTGCTAACGGTCTCAGCTTTTGCTTCCTCGGTCACAACTTCATCGTTTAGTGTTACACTACTAGACCCAGTGGCTTCTGTGGGAATCACCACTCTTTCAGAGATTACTTCCCTTTCCGTCGCCGCTTTTGATTCACACGGTTTTGGAATTTCCTCCAGTGATCGAGTTTCGATAGACGAATGATCAGATGTGGTACTCTCTTTTGGCCTACTTTCCTCTTCTTCTTCTTTCTTAGGTGTGTTGTTCAGAGGAAAATTTGTCTCATCAATTGATCTTTCTTCAGCTGAAGACTCTGATGGTTCGGTTTCAACTGCACACTTAATCTCTCCAGAGCCACCATCTGATTCTGGTGACTTTGGTTGCTTGCCCATACTCTCTACAACAACCTGATTCATAGCATTATCTAGCTCTTCCTTCGACGTAGCTTCCACAACTGCTAAATCTGACTTGGTCTTTGTTGAATTTCCATAATCTTCTTCAGCCAATTGATCTTGAACGGTGCTTGGAAGTATAACATCCTCAACCTCAGATCCTTCTTGGATCTGCTGGAAAGCAGATTCTATGTCTTCAACCGATCTCGCTTCCAGAACAGGCAGAGCTTCGGTCAGTTCATTGGCAGTGTCTGATCTCATTGAAGATGGCCCTGGTTCAGAATCTGTCACAACTTCCTTAACACTGAAGTCTCCAATCGTGTCAAGTTCAGACAACAATCCTTCATCAATCTCTTTTATCTCGTCTGCCTCTTCAGTGATAACTTCAGGAGGACTTTGAGATATTGCATGTAAATCTGTAAGATGATCCAATCGCTCTACCACATGGTCAAGTCCCTCATAAATAGGATCTTGGAAGAACTCCGCCCTTGAGCCTTCACCAACCATAGGTGTTTTGTACTCAGGAGACTCTGCTGGAGATGAGGATGTCTCAGACGTTAAACAAGATAACTCGGCTGTATCCTCAGGAGCGTCGTGATACTCGTGGAAAGTGATGTTTCGGGAAAAGACCACACTCACAGGAGGTGCACGAGTTGTTACCTGCAATAACACAGCACAGCGTTAAGAACCCATCTCCTTCTCAACAGATATAAAGAACAAAGAAGTCCAAACATTTTGAGGCTCAGCCTGTTGTTATTTTCCGCCCCAGCTAAAAAACAACAAATCTAAATGACATATTATTATCAAATATGACATAAGAATAAGAAACAATATAAGTATGAGATTTGTAGAGAATATGTTTTTGAACACGTATCCATGCACCATCACGTAATTGATTCCGTATAATCCTTCTATTACTTTGTACTTGTAGGTTATGATGTTAAGTTATATCACATAGACAATCTTAAATATAGAGGAGAGCAGTAGAAGAAAGTATGTTAAACTCATCAGACATCTGCTGTAACTATGTGCATCTACGAGAGAAGATGAGTTCCATGACTTACTTGATCTTCACCAGGTTCAAGAGATGATTGTTCTACCACAGATTTATCTGACCAGGTTAGTTCTCTATCAGATTCAGATGGAGTCGTTTCTTCAAATCCCACATTTTGGGCAGTAGCATTTACGGAGTCTACTTCGATATCCATAGTTTGGTTGAGGTGAGTTTCTTCCTTGGCATCAGAAACTGGTGACTGAACTGGATCTTGTTCCGAATGTGGAACATCTTCGTCATTAAATGAATGCGTCTCAACATACTCCACTGCTCCGGAAGACAAAGTGGAGTAACTGTCTATTGGGATGTCTGCATTGAATGTTTGAGGGCTAGCTTCATCTTTTTGATTCCGGGCTCCCTCCTCCTCGTGCATTATCCCTTCAGCTACTGACCTGTTTACTGAAGTTTCAGCTATGTCATGTACCACATCAGCTGATTCTTCCAGTGCTGTCACATGCTCCCTCGTGTCACCATATCCCAAAGGTGGACTTGTACGCTCAATTGGGAGATGTTGTTCGACCATCTCTGTAGATATTACTTCCTCTTCTGTAGGAGAAACCAAGTCCACCAAAGATGCATTAACGTCTACCGCTCTGGTATGTACGGCTTCTTTCACGTCTTCATGCAGCTCTTCCAAGTCATCTTGACTAGAAACAGACAAATGGTCATCCACCTGGTGATCAGCATTCTCGTTCTTATCCAAAGGCAGAGAAGATGGATCAGGTAAGGCATCCTCAAATTCAGATCCTGAAACGGTTGAGATATTTTGACCATCAATTCCAACCTCCGCAGTGAGAAGGCTAGCCTCTCCTGTAACATGCGTGCTCGTCTCTCCTACTTCCCTTGTACTTTTTTCGGTCTCATCAGAAGTGGAATGAATTTCCGCAGGACTTATGCTTTCAGAATCAACTTCTCGTTCTTTTTCTTGCACTTCTTCTTCATTTTTCCCAGGTAGATCTGGTTTGTAGTCAGAAGATACAGAAGAAAATGATGGGAATCTACTGGCTGAGGGAGGACTCGAATCGTAAACAGGTTCTTCGTGGTGTTCGTCCACCAAACCACAAAGATCATGAATTGCTGACTCGTCCAGTGAGGGGTGCGCAGTAATGAAAGAGTCTTCAGCAGGCGCTTCATCATGGCGAGAATCATCCTCCACCTCTCTTGCATCATGGATTTCTAATCCTCCAAAAGAAGGCTGGGACGAAGTACCTGATTCCCCATGAAGATCAACTTTCCGCTCCGAAATCAACATTGCTTCATTCTCACTATTATCCGGTATCTCTTCGTCTATATCTGATAAAGATGAATCACTATCGCTGGAATCTTCTTCATCATGTTTTGTCTTATCAGAAGTCTCTCCTTCCATCATGTTTGATTGCTCATGGTGTGTTTCTGCACTTCCCAGTATTATCTCAGCTACATCATGATGAAAATTTCTGCTATCAGCTTGTTCATCAAAATCGGAATCTTCTGACGAATGGCTTTTCTCTTCATCATGGTCAGAAGCTGAATGGCTTTTTTCTTCATCATGGTCAGAAGCCGAATGGTTTTTTTCTTCATCATGGTCAGAAGCCATATCAACTTTACCCATTTCGGTTTCTCGACCAGCATCATGTGCATCCACCTTCTTTTCGTCATCCTCCAGGATTGTGCACACAGATTCAGTATCAGGAACAGAGCTGACTTTTGATTCACTAACTTCACTGAGCTGCCTTTCAAAGGGATAATAGCTCGTTCCCTCATTTGCTAATCTTTCTAGCACAAAGAAAGGTCGTAGCCTATCATGTCTGGGACCTCCGAGCATTGATGGACCTACACTAAAACTCTCATGTCTTCTGAACACTGGATCCTTCGGTTGTTGAGAAGAGAACTCTTCCTCGAAACCGTCGCCCTTAAGATCTGGCTTTTCTTCATTGGGCTCATATGGAAGATCAAACGGGTTTCTCCTCGCTAGCATAATGGATGGGGCAGAGCCAGGGATAGGTGGTAATCCCATATCATCATACGGATCATATGGAAGATCAAATGGATTCTGCCTTGCAGTTGAGATTGGCGGCATATTAAAGGGAATATCAGCACTGTCAAAATCAATAAGATTTCTCTCTGCCATCAGTCTCATATTGTGGCGAGCCCTTCTCCTGGCAATAAGATTCTCCAACCGCTGGTTTCTTTCAAGCTCGAGACTTCCTAGATCCATGACATTTTTTTGGTCAGCCTCTGTCCATTTGATTGCTGATTTACTTTCATCGTCCTTCTCTTCCTTCTTCTCCTCTTCCTCTTCTTCATCCTCCTCCTCCTCCTCCTCCTCCTCCTCTTCGTTCTCGTTGTCGCCCTCTTCTCCATGACTTTCACTGTCAACATCAGACTCCATTCCTTCATCACTACTACTCCTATTTGGCCCTTCTGAAGCTGCATCTGATCCTTCACCATCTGCAATACCACGACCTGGAGCTGCTGAGTGTAAAAGCGGGTGAAGCTCATCAAGCATCGGGATGATGTCTGTCATAGAAGCATCCGGTGAAGAACTCTCTGCCCCATCAGACCCAGAATCCAGAGAATCATCACGGTCTGCATCATCATCCTCGTCCTCCTCATGCCTCATAGGTCTCCAAGGTGAAACTGGAGATACATCCACCTGATCTTCCTTCGAATCGTCCATCAATTCATCTAAAGATCCACCATTTTTCCTCGATTGCTCTGCACCCGAAACTTGCGTCCCACCATTTTCAAACAATGTCTCCTCTACTCTATCTCCCCTCTTCTCCAACTCCAAAACAAATGCTTTCTCCTCAAACCTTACTTGAGTATCCCGTTTGATCTCATCAAGAGTCTCATCAACCAAAGGCCTATAATCAAATGATCGACTGTCGTCCTCAACTTCACTCAGTAAGCTTTCCCCTAATCTATCATCACCATCATCATTTCCATCCTCAAGTACGTCTTTCCCCGAGCTCACGAATCTCTCGACCGTAAAACCCTTATCGCTTCTCTCAACAACAGTAGCATCCCTCGAAACCTCAGTTCTGAAACTAGCAGCCTCGTGGACAGTTTCAGGTTCTTTTTCGATTTCAGGTATGTTTGGTTCTCCGAAACTCAAAATTGTTCCGAGCAAAACGAAAGTGCATACCAAGACAGGAGATGCAGCCACCAACGAAGAAAACAGAAGAGGACAAGTTCTGTGCAGAAAATACAAAAACCCAGCAAAGCCCAGTAGAAAAGGATGATTGCAGATCCATCTGTATGTCATTCTGATCATAGTGACAGATAATCTCCGTATCTGGACTCTGAAGTCCGACCGATCACTGATCATCTTCTTCCTCCAGGTTGTTTCTGTATAAAAGAATCAAGAGCAACAGTAAGTTTCATACTAGAAGAAATCCGTAAAGCGGAAACAAAATTGACAGCTTTACAGTTTCACATTTTCAAAAAAGAGTGAACATTTTAGCAGCTTCTTTTCTGTCGTATTTATGATTGAGAATGAGATAAACAACAAGATGAGTCCAATTTAAAGCAGAATCGGAAACTAAAGATCAAACTTAAGACATCAATGTCCCCTCAGTAATATAAAAAAAGGATCCAAAGCACACGAGCCTAGAAAGCCAATGATTTCAAAAGATGACAAAGAGATCGCAATCAGATCGAGCATCAGATCCACAAATCGAATACACAAATCTATGTCGGGTAAACTCACTCACCAGGTAGGAGCAAACGGATCGCAGAGAAATAAAATCAAATACGATATTAAAAAAATATCACTTTGGTTAGCCCTACGAAGGGAAGAAGAAAAAAAAACGAAATGGAACAAAATAAGAGAGAGGGGGAGACGTGGGGAAGCCATGGAAATTCGGAGACGTACCTTAAGGAGGTAGAATTTGGATGGAGAGAGAGGAAAATGGTTGACTATACGAGAGAGAGAGAACGAAGAAGAAGAAGAAGAGTGGGCTATGTTCTGTTGTTGGCTTTCTTTCTTTACAGCAAAAAAAACAAATGATAAAGATCGTTAGGCTCTGTTGATTACGGTGGTGGCTGGCTACTTTCGGCACAATTATTTATTTCCAGTTCTAATTTGCCATTTATTATACTAACATAAACGCGGTTTTTTTTTTGCTATTTATATAAAATTATTGACCTTAAATATAAATCTTCATTATAAAAAAGAAAATTACAACTACTGTATAAGTGGTATCAGAAACATTAAAATCATAACACAGTTTCTAGGATGACCATCATTTAGGAAAAAAAAAAAAACTGGTGTAAGACCGGGACTGGCGATTCAGAGCCGGGACTGGCGGTTTAGGTCTCCCAATCTTTCATCTTCTTGCTCCCCTTTGGTTTTGCAATAGGAGCATTCATGCCTGCCATTTTCTTGTTGTATTTTTCGCGTAGAGGATCATTGGAAGTCCACCTACACAATCATTCATTATGCAAAACAAAATTCAAAATCTGCAGCTCCATAAACGAAATAACAGAGACAAGATTCTCCCGACATAACCCGGTTCACATTTGCATGCAAGGATTCAGTTCAGTTCGCAGCTTAATGTTTCTCTACTCAAATGCCAAATAAATCAGATTTCAGAAGATGAGACCTCTTTTCATATCAAAATGTCCATGACTAACCTAATGTAAGCAAAGTAACGCTGAAAGCAGAAAACTTACGGGTTACTCCAATCTGTTGTATCCTCATTGACAAGGTGAGTCCATTTAGTTCTTCCACTACGACCAAAGTGCTTGACTTGCATGACTTTCGGCAGAATCGATTTGTCCAACCTATCTTCTCCAGTTGGGGCAGAGAAGTCCCTCTGGAATATACCATCGGTTCCAACAGATCCTGCCTCGTCATCAGGATCAGCCTGGAAGAACGCACCCTTGTGGTAGTATTTTTGCATGAAATTCCATTTCTTTTTCGGTTGACCTGATGAAGATTTCGGATTCTTCCTCTCCCAGTCTCTCCTCTCTTGCTCCGTCATGTTCCTCAACTTCTCTATTTCTTCCCTCTCTCTCAACATAGCTTCCTTTGCGTCTCTTTCTCTCTTGATCCTAGCGATCTCTCTTGTCTTCCAAACTTCGTACTCCTCCGCTTCATTGAGCTCATCATCAGTTTCCACATCTCCAATATTTGCTTCTTCCAGTAGCATGTTCTTCCGTATCTCTTCGTCTTTCCTAACTTCCTCAACCACTATTTGCTTCGTCTCTATTTTTCTCATCTCCAGTTTTCTCTTTGCTAATTCCTCAAGAGCTAGTTCTTCAGCCTCAAGCCGCTCACGCTCTGCCACCGTATCTCTCTCAGCTTTTGGTACAAAAACAGGCTTGATCATGGTAATACCAGGCATCTCATCTTCTGAATCAGTCTCGTACTCGGACTCCTCCTCCTCCTCATCTTCATCTTCTAGCTCTTCTTCTTCTACAGGAAGTAGAGCAGCCTCCTCTTGCGCTCTTTTAAGATTTTTTTCTCTAATTCTTCTTCTTCTTTCTTCCAGAGCATCCTCATCTTCTTCCTCGTCTCTAGTCTCCTGATCCCTCATTTCTTCTTCTTCTGTAGATATAATCTCAGCCTGTCTAACTCGCCGATGATCGGCTCTAACTTCTTCACGGTTTTCAATTCTTGTCTTAGCTAGACGGCGCAGCCTTGGATCATCCTTCCTAGCAACCCCCAAATCATCATCATGCTTTGGAAAAGCTTTATCCAAAACATCAACCTTATGCATCCTAACATCCTCATCTTCTTCGGCTTCCTCAGCCCACTCGGGAGCTTTTCCAGGCCAATATCTTTTCACTTTAGTCTGTCCAATCCCGCCTCGTAGTTTTGCCCTTGTAGCAAGTGCAGCCTCGCTCACTCCCGCTGTGACCGACATCTTTGCACTTGGGAGTAATCAAACTCAATAATGTTGGCTATTTGTTTCTGCAGCACGAAAAGGAAACACAAATAGAAACAGGGATTAGAGTCAAGCTTTGCATCATTAGCATTTATCAGGAAATGAAATGACCTACTTCGAAATCTGTCGTCAAAAGCTAAAATCTGAATGAGACAACTTATAATCGACAAAAGGCATTTTGCAAAATCCATAACAATAATATGTGTGTATATAAGTATATCTCAATCCCATTCTGATTTTAGCGTCAGCACACAAAACCCATTCTCTCACATAAGCACACAAACCCATTATGTCACAGAGTACATAAACCACTCGGGAAGAGCAAAGAAAAGGCAGAACAGAGGAAGTAAAAGAGAGAAGAAAGATGCACACATGAAAATCAGTATCTTAAGCAAGATCAAACAAAGGACACCCGAAAAAATCGATAAAATCGACAACAATCTTCAGTTTTCACGAAATAAAGGCAAAAGGGGATCGACCTCTACAAAATTTGGCGAGGTTCAACAAAGAGACCAACCTTAAAGTTGGATTCGTGGAGTTATAAAGCTAAATTAGCACACAAATTCGCAAGGAAAACCAACCAGAATACGAATCAGAAACGGACAATCCCAAATCACGAAACTCAATGGTTATCTAAAAGAATACAAGGAAAAAAAAAAAAAATTCAAAAGAAATCGACGACAAATTAGCGAACTTACACTTTAGAGAAACCAATATGGATAGAGAAATGAGAGGATTCCAGTTCGGCGAAACCGTGCAAACAAAAATAAAAACCTAAGAAATCGTGGCGGGACGGAGGGGAAGAAGACGGTGCGGCCTTGAAACCGGGACGATAACTAAAGACTAAGCCACGCGAGAACTCACAAGCTAAAAGAAACTTTAGTGGGCTTTCATCTGCCTTTTTAAGTTTTGTTCTGTGTTGGGCCATTAATTTAGATTCTCGATCTAAAAACTGTTTATTTTTGTCACGATTTAAAATTTTCACTTTAGAAGAATAAAAGAGATTGATTATTTATGCAAAAATGAATTTTTAAAGTTTTAACTATAGAAAAAAGAGGAGATGATGATCTGTGTGCATTTGGGAGTTGTACAAGAATGGTTTGGATCTCATTAGTGAAACACGCCCAATCTTCATTCAGTTATTTACAAAATGTTAAAACGGATGAAAACTAGTGGGTAGGGTTTTTGTATCTATTATAACAACCCTACTAGTTATTCATATGTTGGTCTTGTGTAGACATGTGGAAAGACTAACATTCAGTTGTGCTAAATTTTTGTTTTGCTCATGCCCGTGCACAGTATAGCATTGTTGGCAAAAGGAAAAAAAATACATAAACAATAATAAACCGGTCTGAATAATTTGTATAAGAAATTAGTAAGAACTCTTATTCGTCTCATTTGACATGGCGGTACAATGGTCCATCTTTCTTAATAGCCTTTTCTTCGTCGTAGTAGAGTGCTATATCTTTGTTACAAAGAAACGGCAAGACAAGGTAGAGTGCTATATCTTTGGACCACTCCTTTGTGGTGCTTTTTCTTGCCGGTTGTCCGATTGGCAACTTTTTGGGCGGCGTAGACGACACCAGGGGAAAACAATTTATCCATTTCCAACCCTTAGATCCTACCTTACTAGGAAGCTTTTGTGGTTCGCTGGACGAAAGAGAAAGACTCTTTGCGTCTGGCTCTTCTCGGGGCAAATTAGGAAGAGTATCCTCTTCAACAACACTTATACTCTTGGCCTCTGACTCCTCAACAACACTAATTATATTAGCTTCATGGCTTTCTCTAGTGACGCTTGTATCACCCGTTGGTGCCGTAATTATCTGGACATCACATTCTGTCACCATGCAATGAGCACCTAAAAGCTTGTTTTCCCCACTCACTGTGTGGAACTCAAATCTGATTTCGTCATCTGGTATATCAGAAACGTTTCCTTCACGTAGATGCATTTCTGTATCATAAAAGACAAATATGTGATCCCATTCAACTCTTGGAGCTTCCGTTGGAGCCCAACACTGAAATACTCTCTCTATTTGATCCGAGTGGCCGTTCCTGGTCGTCCATGTGCATATACACCTAATGCCGAGACCTACAGTATTGTGGTAATCATCTCGGAATGACACCACAACTGACATGGCGAAGCCTGAGAGAGCATTTCGTGTGCAAGGAGCTAGCTCTATCATTACATTTGGACCTGCTCCCAAACAAAATGAGGATTTCTGACGTGCGTCTGCAGGAATACATATGTTGACTGCGGCTGTTTTGAGGAGTTCCTATTCAAGCAATTGCAAATAAATAAATAAATAAAACAGTAGTCAGATATTCAAGCAATTGTTAATAATATATATATATATATATATATATGCATTTTCTGAAGCAGAGCAAGAGAAACACCTGTTGTTGTTGTTGTTGTTCCCTTGTTAACATTGCTACTCTAGTCAAACCTTTCTCTAAAAATCCAGAGATCACTTCTGAAGATAGATTAAAACAATTACTAAAAGTGTAGTGCCTAGGAATCCGCACAAAATCCAAACGAATCAACTTGAGATGCTTGCAACCATGAGCATTCAAGAATTCAAGACTTTGGGGAAGCTGTGGCACTTCTCGTATGGCGATGCCCCCAAGATATAGCTTTCTCATGTTTCTAGGGAAACCTTTAATTTCCTCAAGCTCTGAGCATCCAGACAGATGAAGAACTTGCAGAGATTCTAGACTGACCATGTCAGGAAGACTTCGCAAATGAGAACAATCTTTCATATTCAAGAGGACAAGCTTGCTAAAACCTTGTTTATATGATGAGCCAACTTTAACCAGATTCGTTACGCTCTCCAAATCGATATGATCTTCATCCTGGAAGTTTTCTAGAAGATTCAAAAGCTTTCTCCGGTCCAGCTTAACTTTGGGGGAGTGGCTCACATTGGATATTGGTATTTCCCTTATACGAGTTCCTTGGAGATGTAACTCTTCCATATTTGGTGGAGCTCCTTGGAAACTTTTGATCTCTGTGCAACCTGAGAGATTTACAACTCGGAGATGTTCTAATTCATTCGTGTCTGGAAAACTCTGCAATCTTGTACAACCTTGGAGATCAATTATCTCGATGTTTTTAGCATATAGAAGTATGTCGCATTCGACTAGATGTTGGGAATGAGGAACCATGATCCTCTTCAGCATCTTGAGATTCTGAGCATATATATGATAAAATTGGAATGAATGGCAGATGTGTATTAACTAGGGCTAATAAAGGTGAATACTAACTTTCTCTACCTTGGTTCTTGTCCCGAGTTTCTGAAGCTGACTGTAAGGCAAATGGAGTTCAATAAGTTTCTGAAAGCCAAAATCTTGAGGCAAGGATTGCAATGGATAGTTCTCCCAGTGGAGGAGCCTTAGCTCACAAGGCAGAGAATCGAGGCCCTTGGGGAAGCTGAGTCGACGAACATATTTAGAGTCGGAACTGTATATCTTCAGAAATCTAAGATTATACATGTTCTTGAAGGCGTCATGTTTGACATCAAATTTCATGTTCGATGTGTCCAAATATATGCTTTCGATGTCTTCAGTGACCTGAAAAGAAAAAAGAAAAACCGATAAGTGTGGCGCATCTCTAATATAAAGAGCAGCTGAGGTACGCATATAGAAGCATTTGACAAACCAAATCACATTTAGGCGTTTCTCTGGATCCTCCATTTGCTTCAAGTCCATCATCTTCTAGTAGATATCTGATGTTGGAAGATTCCCACAGTCTGGTGCAGCTCTCTATGTCTCCATTGAAGATTTCAAGGCAGATGTCTTGGATCAGATTACTCATTAGCACTTTGTTTTCTGAAATAGTTAGCAAACACTTATCCACAAGAACATCTATTCCAACACGTGGAAAGTAGCTACATCCCTCAAGCAGTTGCACCACATGGTTGACATTTTCTCCACTGAAAAAACAAGCAATGTCCAACAAAATGTTTTTCTCGTTGTCGCCAAGTGCAGTATAGACGTTTTTAAGCACATCTTGAATCTTTTGGGGAGGACATTTCTTGAGCTCGAAGAATGCGGCCTCCATCTCTGACTTCTTCCCCGTTAGCTCTCGGCCATATATACTTAGAGCTAACGGGTTTCCATTAACATATTCGATCACTTTCATTGCCAATTCCCTGTCATTCTGCTCCGGAACATTTTTTCCAAACGCGTTCTGGGAGAATAGCTGCAGAGCCTCGTGCCCATTCAAACCTTGAACTTCATATACTTGATTGATACGACAAAAGGAAAAAACCTGTTTGTCTATGGAGGTTATGATTATCAGACTTCCGGGACCAAACCAATCAAGCCTTCTAAGGAAGGTCTCTGCAGCCAGAGAATCGCGCACATCATCTAGAACAACTAGAATTTTTTTATCGCTTAGTTTATCCCTATAGAGGCTTGGTGTCATAATATACGAACTCTTAATCTCAAACTCTTCCTTTAGAATGATTCCAATTCTTTCTTCGAACAAATGGTGAAGTCCCTCCTTATGAAACGCTTCATCAAAGTTTTCGATGAAGCAACAAGCATCATAATCTGTGGACACGTGGTCAACGACTGCTTTTGCAAGGGTCGTCTTGCCTATGCCAGGCATACCCCAAATTCCTATGCGTCGGATGTCCCATGGTTGCTTGTAAAGCAAGTTTTCGATCTCTAGTAGCCTCGAGTAAATTCCTACTCGTTCTGCAGGATTTAGCTTCCCATAAACATCTCTGACGATCTCTTCCACTAGTTCGGAGTCGGTGAGTATCCTATTGCTTGAGATCCTGCCCAAAACAAAAAAAACAAAAAAAAAGAAAAAGGAAAACACCAACTTACCCATACATTAACTTCAAAACTTCAATAATATACATACCATTTCAAGTTAATTATTAGATTTGTAACCTTTTATACCTAACCAATTCCGTTAAGTTTTAGGAAGAGTTTACTGTGACTGAATAATCTTCAAACAGCGAAAATACACAAAATATTAATATCTTCAAAACATTTTCAAACGATGGTTGTAAAGTTGTCCTATATTTATTTTTTTTCCTCTATTTTGAATATTTAGTCCCAAAAGTTTGTATTTTATCTGGAATCTTTATATTTTTGATTTTTGCAAACTAATGTAGTAATGCCTATTCTACAACAATTCTAGAAATCTATATTAATATCGTTATGCTGGTTCAATATTTAAAAAGCACAATTGCATGTTTTCTTGTCACTTAAAGCGTTCACATGTGGCCAACCATAATTAAATCCTATTAGGAAGATTCGAACCTTAGTTAATGAGTCTTTAACCACTATACCATTGTAAATTTTTTTTTTTAATGCTAAAGTGATGTTCGAACAATTCAAAGACATGAAGTGAAAATTGAGAAAACAAAATCAATAGAAATTTAGATAAGAGGGGAATGGAGAAGTGATCATGATAGTTAAGTGCGTAAATTTAATCATATTTTGAAATTAAATATTCATGAGTGAATATATAGATGTTGCCAAAACAAAATAAATATAGTTGAAAAGATGTAAATGTTAACAGGGAAACTTTCATGAAATAAACCGTTATAAATCGAAAATATATAACAAGTTATGATAAAAAAACGACAATCAATAAAAGCAAACCACAAATCTTGCGTTTTATCCAAATATCTCAGGTTTTGTTCCACACATATCTTGTTGAAAATTGAACATATATATATATACAGTGGCGGAGGCATGTAGAATGAGTGGGGGGCAACTGCCCCCAATAAAAAATAATTGGTTTAAATTGTTAACAATAATGGTAATTACCCCCACACTAAACAGCATAAATATTTCCAGTTGAATATTTTTGCCCCCAATAAAATAGTTTTCTAGCTCCACCACTGAATATATATCAGATGTCGTGACTTTTGAGTCATGTTTATGTATCTCTAACCGTCTATTAAACATAATTTTTTGAAATTCCAGATTAGAGGTAGTCCCTTGGAAGTGAGATTTATACTTTCCGGTTTATTGGGGCTTGCTATTATATAATTTAACAGATAATTAAGATATGTACCTTGATTGGTGGGTTGTTAATTTTTCGGCCTCGAGGCGTCTATTGGCCCACCCGTAAACTCGGGTCAATGGATCGACGCCGTAGAACACTGGAACCACCACGTGGCCGCTGTTCCTCCGACGCCTGATAACTTTTATGAACTTGACAACCCAAGGATCGTATAACTCAACCATGTTTGAAATAACTACCACAGAAACCCTAGGGTTTGCCCCATCTGTGACCGCTTCATTCTGTTCAACAGATGAGAAGGACTTTGTTTCCTGCAATTTGCATGAATCCACGAACACTGATATGCCTTCCCGTCGTAAAGCTGCGGCGAGGTGGCTCACGATGGAGTACTGTACGGATTCCTCGCAGATGATGTTTACGCTGTGATTATAATCGGCCATCATCGGCGGCGTAACAGTAACACGAGCACCTGCTTGTTTCATATAATCCATCTCTCTCATCCCATCTTCCGTAGCACACACGTGAAGCCCACCCAATTAATCACCAACCAAAGCTGAGAAAGTTTCCAAGGATATGCAATACATATATTTTTTTTTTCTTTGGCCTGGAATTTCTTTGTTGACCAAAGAGAGACTGTAATAAAGATGTTTTTCCAACAGATAGAGATGTAATAGAAATCTCTATATTGTTAAAAAAAATTATACTTCAGAAACTGTATACAGTTTTGTGTTTTTTTTTTTTTTGTAGATTATATATTGTTTTAATTTTAGGTAATTTTTTGTCGGTATTTTTTTTGGGGGGTGGGGGGGGGGGTGAGTCTAATATCGTAGGTATCTGCGTTTTAAACCAATTGAGTCCTAGTGGTTTAGCTGTTCCCTCGTTTAAGAAACCCCACGATTCATACCTGTGGTTCCATGGCAAAAGCTAACAAAAACATGCATTATAAGTTCTTAAGACCCAACTCGAAAATATAGTAAATTAAACGGATGGAATTATTCAGACATTAAATTGGCATCTCAAAACCGATTATCTGTGGATATTGAGTTCAGAGTTGTACGAATTTCTCGGCTTTTGTTTTGTATCAACATTTTGATTTCTATATGAACCATACTTTGCCACAATATTATAATCCATTCACATGCATGCTTTACCGTTATCCTTTTTAAAAAAAAAAAAATTGGAGTGGAAAACAGATGGAAACAAAAGTTGAAGATATTTATTATCTAGCTAGATTGAAATTCAGAAAAGTCCGAAGGAGCTTTGTTTTGGAGCAGGTGTGGTGTGGTCGAAGGCATCAATCAGTGGAGGGACCAAATTGACAATACTGACATTTTCTTCTCGATGTAGAGCCGCTCCTATGGGTTGACAAAGTCAATGAATAAAACCGTCCATGACTTCATATATTCCAAAAGTCTATACTTTTCTCACTCTTGAAATTACGGTTTGTAACTTGTTATCTATATACGATCTATTATATTAAAACAGAAGTACATTTAGTACTTGCTTCCAAACAATCCTAATTTTTTTTAAGTGTTTAAAAATAATTTTAATAATTATTTATATTTAATTTCGAAAAGTAGTTATTAATTTAAATATTTTTAGAGTTCCTTAAATATAGGTGATTTAGATTTGATTTGATTTAATTAAAAATAATAAATCAGATATTCATTTAGATTTGATTTAAAGATTCTAATTTAAATAATTTCTATACTATTAAACATTTTTATCAAAAATATCTAGAATTTTTGAAAAAAAAAATTCACATATGAAAAATAATGGTCATATTTGAAATATAAAATATTTATAATGATGTAAATGATATGATATTTATGTTGCTTATATAATATATTTACGATTATGATTTATTTACAAATTAATAATAAAATAATAGGTAAAATTCAAATGTATAATTTAAATATTAAAAATATATTTTTTAAAATTCATAGATATAAAAGTATATATAAAAAACCGGGTTAAAAATATTTTGGTAACTAATATCACTAATTTTAAATTATACATGTATATCGAAAATATATTTTTCATACAAAATCAAAACATAAAAAATTAAAAATTATTGCATACACTATAATGTGGTTTGAAAAATCAGTTGTACACTCCTTTCATTGATTAAATTTTAGAAAACTATGATGCTAAATAATACCGTTAATACAACTCAAACTTTTAACAAATATTTATATTATATGGTAATATGAACGGAAAAATTATATTTTATAATCATAATTAATTTTAATATTATAAAAATATATCTAAACACAAAAATCAGTATTTTCACTTATTAAAAAATATATTTATAAAAATAATTATATCTAAACTCAAAAACACAAATTATATTACAAAATTCGTTAAATAATAAAAAATATTCTCGTGCTGATGCACGGGGTTAGAATCTAGTTAAAATTAAAAGAGAAACATTTTTGTAATCCGTTTCAATCGTTTTCTTAATTTTTATGATAAATTAAACACCTTATCATATATTTAATTATTTATTAAATATATTATAAACGTAAAAATTACAAATTAACTATATTTAAATCAATAATACCTAAATTATTTTTAATTTTCATTTCTTATTTTATATATTAGATTTCTTTTAAAATCCCATGACACTCCTACATATCCCCCATTAAAAGCTTTTAACAATTCAACAGATTTTTTGAAGTGAGTCAAAATTTAAAAATCCTTTAAAACTTCTTAAAATGTAATATGTATCCAAATAAAATAAATCACTAATCCAAACATAATATCCAATCATTGTTTTAAAATTTAACTAAGTGTTATAAACAAATGAACTTCTAGTAACCGGCCTATTAACCATCAGGTTAATGTCTCATGGCCCATTAGGGTTTCTGATACATTAGTTATGTAATGTATATATACACTGCTTATGGAAATAATAAGATTAGAGTTTTTCCCTTAATACATTATCAGCACGAAGCTCAACTTCAAACGATCATATCTCTCAAAATACAAGGAGTTAGAAGGCGATATACATATCATTTTGAAGCCCTGGAAGAGAAGAATCTAGTGGTGAAAACCGCTCCTCAATCCGACACCAGACGCGCCCTCAAGACTCAAAACAATCGGCGCTGTCCCACCTTAGCGGGTGATTCTTTCCAAGCGGTGGTTCCTCCATTGTAGCAGCTGTTCGTCCTCCCTTCTGGCCATCATTCTCAGGAGTTTCCAGTAGATATCTGTGGTCTTTAGCTCCCAGATCATAAGCCGGTCAGAAATCCATTTGGCGAAAATGTATTATCTAAAACTATAGATCCTAATCAAAGTTTTGGTTTTTTTTTTGAAAACCATAATATGGATCGGTTCTTTTCATGATTCTTCATCGTCTTTTTCGTTTTTAAAACCATAACCAAACCGATCCTCTTTCTTCTTGTCAAAACCCTAATTGGTTTTATTTTTCCTAATCGGCTTTATCATATAAAACCTAAACCCTAATGCTTTGTTCAAACCCTATATCGATCGGTCCTAGCATCATCTAAACCAATCACTAAAATTTCTTGCAAACCGAAACCTAAATCTTTGCAAAACCCTAGATCTAAAATCGTTTTGGTTTGTCTATCGTTAAACCGAGATCGATCGATTTAAATCCTAAATCGATCAGTTATTTATCTTAGATCCGATCCTTGAAAACCCTAAAACCGGTCCATGCAAGCTCCTAAATCCTAAACCAATCGACCCCTTAAACTCTAAACCAATCGATCTACCTAAACCGTTTATAAACCGATAAATTCTAATCCTAAATCGATAGGGTTTAAGTTTAAACCGATCGGTTTTTCCTAATAAAAATTAAACCCTAGAAAATCCGTTTAGTTTTTAGATTACTTCATAAATTTAGTAATCAAAACCGCAAACATTAGCACTATAGCGGGTAGTTCGAGCCTAATAGAGGGCCATGGCCAAGCTAATGTGTTGTTATCAAATGGCACATATCTAGACATCTCTGATGCCTTATACTCACCCAGTTCTAAGAGAAACCTATTGAGTTTCAAAGACATAAGATTGAATGGTTTCCATATCGAAACTCAGGATGAAGGGAACAAAGAGTTTTTAACTATCACTAAAATGATAAATGGCCATAAACAAGTTTTTGAAACTATACCCGCCGTATCTACTGGCATTTACCATGCTAAAGTCAATATGATTGAGGCTAATACTGCTATCAAAGCACGGTTTTTAGATTACACTATTTGGCATGATCGCCTGGGTCATCCCGGTGCGAACATGATGCGTAAATTAGTCCAGAATTCTAAAGGGCACAGCCTTAAACCAAATGGTATTTTCCCTCAGCACCTCAAGTGCACAGCTTGCTCACAAGGGAAACTGATTACCCGACCTTCACCAGTCAAAGTGTCTAAAGAGACCTTGAACTTTCTGGAAAGAATCCAAGGAGACATATGTGGACCAATTCACCCACCTTGTGGGACATTCAGATATTTCATGGTCCTCATTGACGCATCGACCCGCTGGTCGCATGTCTGTCTGCTCTCTTCTAGGAACCAGGCTTTTGCTAGGTTATTAGCCCAAATCATCAGATTACGAGCCCATTTTCCAGACTTCCCATTAAAGACTATACGTCTTGATAATGCTGGTGAATTCACTTCCCAAGCGTTTAATGAATATTGTATGTCCATGGGGGTAAGTGTTGAACATCCCGTTCCACATGTCCATACACAAAATGGATTAGCTGAATCCTTCATTAAACGAATTCAATGGGTTGCTAGACCATTACTCATGAGGTCACAACTCCCGGTCTCAGCTTGGGGACACGCAGTCTTACATGCCGCTGAACTAATACGCATACGACCATCTAGTGAGCACAAATATTCACCATCCCAATTGCTAACGGGTCATGAGCCAGACGTCTCCCATATTAAAACATTTGGGTGTTCAGTCTATGTACCCATTGCACCACCACAGAGGACTAAAATGGGACCTCAAAGGAGGATGGGAATATATGTTGGTTTTGATTCTCCCACCATCATAAAATATCTCGAGCCAACTACAGGAGATCTATTTAAAGCCAGATATGCAGATTGCCGATTTGATGAATCGGTATATCCTAGATTAGGTGGTGAGACAGACAAGCTGGTAAAAGAACTTTCATGGAATCAAACATCCACACAATGGCAAGATCCTCGGACTCTAGAATGTGATTCAGAGGTCCAAAGAATTATACATTTACAAAAGCTAGCTAATCAATTGCCAGATTCCTTTGCTGACCCGAACAAAGTTACCAAATCGTACATACCAGCTTGTAATGCACCAGTACGAATAGATGTCCCCTCAGGGAAAAGTCAAGTTGCTACAGAGTCTGACACACGTAAGAAACGTGGCAGACCACCAGGTTCCAAAGATAAGAATCCCCGGAAATCAAAGAAAGGTGCAATGATTGAAACCGGGATTCAAGAGAACACGGATACAGCCTCAGCTGATACTTACCCTATCGAACCATCTCAAGAGGTTTGGGACGCCAAAACTCAAGGTTCTGAAGGGATTGATAATAATGAGATCTCAATCAATTATATCATATTCGGTTCTCTATGGAACAGAAAAGATGTCGACATCAATGAAACTTT